ATATATATACTCTCTGAACTAGCAACAAAAGTTAAATCTAATCTTTTATCTTTTTCAGATAATTATGAATTAGATAATAGTTTCTTTTATTATTATTATTAATTTGTTAAAATATCGAATAAATCCTTTTAGTTAGCCATTCCATCTTAAAAAACAGGAGAACAGAAAGTATTAAATAATACTAATTAATCATCATCAAAAAAGAATAATTTTAAACAGTCAATTTCATAAAGTTTCTTAAGAATATTAGTTAGATCTAAATCATATTAAATTTTAGATTTTGCTATTTAAGATATAATGATCTCTTTTTCTGTTTTAAAGAAATTTTAACGTTATATTGATCTGAACCACTTGTAAATTAAATACTTTATGTATTAAATAAATGAATAGGATATTTCAAAATTTAATATCTATATTATAATTATACATATACTTGTTATAATTATCCTGTTTTAATTGGAGTAGTTGAAGTTCTTTATTAAAATACAGTCCCTGATTATTCTGACTAATAAATAGAAGATTATCTCTTTTTTTTGACACTTTCTAAATCAAATTTAAAGACTGAATTCATAAGAACTGCAAATGTTTTGTGTTGATTATAACTATGATAAAAGATCTTCAGAAAACTCATTATGGCTACTGCTAGAGCTGTAGCTTCAGATAATGAAGAACTAAAAATAGTAAAGAGGTCTGATTGAGTTATAAAATAATATTAATTGACAGGTGATGATCTTATATAAAAAGAACATAATGTAGATCCTTCTATAAATTCTATTGGTTCTAATCTTCTTTCTTATTTATGAAAAGTAGTAGTTTAAAATAATGTTTCTTCCAATTTTATATTCATTAAATCATAAAATATTGAATTACTTTCTTATAATTGATATATATATATATTACTTAAATCCATTGAAAATGGCATAATAAAAATATCTTCATTGTTTGACATTCCAAGCACTAATTTCCAATAGATATTAGTAGGATATGCTTCTATTGGAGATGAAAGATTAAATTATTATCTAAGTCTTGATCCTTTTACAAATAAATCTAAATTAATTCTAAAATAATTAATAAATATTCTACCCGCTTTTTATAAATTATTAGATTTCATCTTAAGTTTTACAAGTCTAATTTGTTATATTTTTGCATGATTTAACTTAAATCTTCAAATATGAAAAGAATGCATCAAAATATTATCCTGTGATTGTATACTATCCATCTGCACAATAAAGATTTGATTTTTAGGAATTTGAGATAGTTATTACATCAAAATTAAATTTTTCAACTGTGGTAGTTTCACACTTTTTCAATATTAAATTAGTTGAATTTCTTTCATATCCTATTTTAGAAGCATCTCTCTTTTATTCTACATACTAAACATTTATTTGAATGTATCTAATATTAACTTAATATACTATTAAATTTCTGAAATGTTTTCAAATATATTTCCATTATAATCAGAAACCTCAAATGCAAATATAGTGTTATTGTTATTAATATATGTTTAATTCAATATTGTATTCTATGTACCAACATAGACAGTTTCTTAATCTGAAAGTGCTTTTTAAATGACTCCAGCCATATAAAATATACTAAATATTCCAACTAATATTGTTAGCACACCACCTTGAATAACAAATTATATATACCAATTACTGTTAATGATTTTTGTCTTTAATTGACATTGAACTCATAAGGAGTTACAAGCATATCAGCTCTCTTTAATAAATTTCTCATATAATAAATTATTATTCCTGAAATACATCAAACTCTTTCTATGATATTGATTATGTATGATAAGTTTTAAAGAAATCATTAAATAAATGATGAAACAATAGTTAAAAACCATAATGAAAGAAAGAAATAACAATAAATATAATTATCAATTGCAAATAATAAAATCCAAAATTAGAACAAATAAAAGACAAGCAATAAGTACAAAGATAATATTATAAACAAGATACTGTATTTTTGAAAATATTTATTTTGTCTATTTGACAAACATTATTATTGTTATTTATGAATATTATTAAATAAAACTTTTAACATTCTTATAAATATTTGTACTAATATCAATTTACTATATTCAGTACACCTAATTTTCCATCTTAAGTTCCATAACTAAGTTTATTATAACTTGTATTATGATCTATTGTCATTACACCACTTAATGAACAACAATATGTATCAACACATCTATATTAAGAATCAAATTGTCTTATTTCAGAAAATACACTTAAATAATTATTATTGATTACCTTCCAGCATTTGCAGCATAGATAAAATTAGTTCTTTTATCAAACTTACATGCATATAATTTACTAACATTCTATTTTGGTAATAATCCTTAAACATTATTTCCATACTCAATCCAATCAATAGTCTATAATTTATGTAAAGTTCTTGTATCCCAAATTTCTAATTATTTTTCATCTCTATATGATCCAGTAATCAATTAAAATCCTTTTGAATCCATTGCATCTCCATAAACACAAGGACCAAAGATATAACCAGTTGATTTCTTTTATCTCAAATCCCATTAAATCACCATTTTATCCCATCCTCCTGTATAAAGTTGATTATGATCACCCTAATTAAATTTCATACCAAATATTCTATTCTAATGAACAGCTGATTATCCTTCAATAAAGGTTGTAGGAGTCTTACTCAATTTTCCACAATCATAAAGTTTAACATGACAATCAGAACCACCAATTACAAACTTATCACCATCTAAAGAGAACTCACAACAATTAATTTGATTATCCTTATCTTCTATATTAAATAAAGATTATTTTGATGTTGCATGCCAATATATAATACTGCCATTAGTATATGTTGATAATAAAGTGTGCTTTAAATGTTCTGTAACTTAACTAGGTCTCCATTTAACACATGTAGCTGGACCTGGTTTCTATTTAGGATCTTATAATGAAACAATTGTATAATCTTTTCCCAAATAAGCAATATTTACAAGACCATCTGAATTAGATGAAGCTAAAAATTAGGCTGTATTATCGAATGCACAGGAAAGTATTTATGTTGGCTTTTAATATAATTACAATTCATACTTCTCCTGTTACAATATCATTCTAGAATTAATAGTTTTTTAGTTATGAGAAGGATGATTATGCGAAAATATCCTTATATGCTAATTTTATTCTTTCTAATAAGTTAGAATCTTCAATTCCTCCAATATCATTTGTATCGGTTGATTGCGAAACTTATGTAGAAAAATTCCTTTGACCTTCTTTCATACTTTACATTAAATTATGATTGAATTGTATTTTTAATATCATTTTACTACCCATAAACTAGAATATGAAGTTTTTAATTTGATACGAACTACATAAAGTAAATATTAATAATCAATTGTTATAAGAATTCATATATAAGTTACCCATCCCATTTAAAACAAAATTTATTTTAATCTTTTTCAATTAATTAATAAATCAAATATACTATAGAATAAGAAAATTATTAAAATATATATAATTATATTGTTTATTATTTACAAAATTAAATATTAGATGTCAAATTGAATATTATAAATATTTGAATTTTTAACTTCAATTACTTTTTTTTTAATTTAGTTATCAATTGAATTTCTTACTAATTAGATGATTATATTTAATCTTAAAATTCATTTTTTAGATTATTTTTATATTATTAGTATTAAATTGTAATATTTTCATTAAGTATTTTTTGATATTATTAAAGATAATAAAACTAAATAACATTTTTATTAAATTATTATTAAAATCTAAATTTTTACTAAAATTCTATTGGATTGTAAAATCTTAATTAGAATACATAAAATTGTAGAATTAAATAAATAAATCAAAAGATTTTATTACTTTAATATAGAATATCATAAATATTTTCCATACTTAGTTTAAATATTCTTTATTAAAGTACCTTCTATTTCTTTGAGAGTAGATGAATAACTTTTCTTAGGTATGTACATTAATTTAATTTCTTCTTCTGCCACATAAGTAAAAGATTCAACTGTACCAGCTACAATACTTTGATCTCCAAAGTATTCCCCAAATTTAATTAATTCAAACAATTTTTCTATGATAAAATCACAAAATTACAATTATTTTTATTTACACTCACTTTTCCTTATTCTAATATAAATATTTCATTGCTTTTTTATCCTTATTAAAGAATTACATCTCCTTTTTTATATTACTTTTCAAATAATGCATCACTCATTTTTAATTTATCATAAGGATCTTTAATTTCTTTTAACAAATCCCAATTTTCAAGAAAACTAAAAAATAGATAAAAATATTAAGAATACGTTTCAAATTATTATCTCTTTTTTATAGATGCTTCTTTTACAATTAGATTAAATGTTTCTCTATCTAATTACCAAAGAATAGCTTTATCACTTTTTACAATAATAGATGCAGCCTAAAGTATTCAATAGAATAAGATACTCTTGGGGATTAAAATAATAATGCTAGTTCACCAAAACTCTCTCCTGGATAGTATGTTTTAAGAAAGATATCTCCTTTACCATAATTCTTAAAACATTCTAATTCTCCTGTATCAACAACATAAAGTACATTTCCTTCCTCTCCTTATTTAATTACATATTCTGTTTTATTAAAGATCTTTTCTTCCATAGCTCCAACAACAATTTCAATTTCTTTATCATTTAATGCACTAAACATGAATCCTGCTTGCATTCTTTATTTAATTCTTTCAGATTGTTCCTTAGTTTTAGGAATAAATTTGGCTTTAAAATTCTCTTTTTTATTAAATTATCCATAAGCTTCAGCAGAAACTGAGAATCTCTAAAATTTTTTTAGGAATGATTACTTGTTTTTGTACATCTTTTTTGATTGCAACAATTTCATCTACTTCATCATCGGATGATTCAGAATTAGAACTCAAAGCACAATCTACATGTTTTTTCTTATTGACTTATTACATAAAATTGGGACCATTTTTTACTTTTTAAGGATTCATAAATAAATAAAATAATTAACATGAAAGAATAACTGCTTGGTAAAATAGCAAGATATAGAATATTTTTATAATAAGGATTATAGATACCTGATGAAAATGGTGATGATTTAAGATGCATAGATTTTAATTTTGATAAATATATTGAATAGCAGTTATAGATTGAACAAGAATAAAAAATTGAATAAGAAGATTAAAAAATAGAATAAACAGATAAAAAAATAGATGAATTAGATTTAAAATTAAATGATTAAGATTTAGAAGGTTTGTTAAAGGATCTAGAAAATGTATAATTTAATGGGGAAATTGATTTCACTAAATAAAATATTAGTGATCAAGTATTATATATTAATCTAATAATTTTCATTAGACTGTTATTAGATTATCAGTTTTGATTTAAAAACTTCCAATTTCATCATTAATTTTAAGTGACACTAAAATTTCATATATTGGAGGTTTAGAATTAGGTAAAGCAATTCCTAATAGTAAATTAAAGAAATTAATTCTTACTAATTGTAATCTAGGTCATAGTACAAAGTAAGTATATATCTATTTTTATTAGTATTTTAATGGAACAATTGCATTTCTTAGAAGAAGTAGATTTTGGAATTCTTGGTAATAAAGCACTTAGATATTTATCATAATAAAAACATGAATTATCACATATAGGATTTTAAGAAGATCCAAAAGAAGTTTGGGATGTATAAACTAAAGAACTATTTTTATAATCAATTCAAAAATCATTATTAAGCATTTAATTTTAAATAAATAATGCTGATCATAAGAAGTATAATTATCAAATAATAAAGATTCATAGGAATTGCAGAAATTAAATGTTAAGAAAATAGAGATGCATATTTAAGAAAAAGAGCCATTGAATATAAGAGTAAAGATCTAGATCCTGATCATCCTGATTATTATGATTGGTAAAAATTAATCATATAATTTAGTGATGATTTTAAAGTCAATGCCTTTAAATTTAGTGTGAAATCTTATTTATCAAATGTTTTTGAATCATTACTAGATGAATCTTTATATTATTTAGAAAAAGAAAGACAAAATGTACTAAGAGATGATGCTATATATCATGTAACTAATGAACTTTTACCTTAATCTATTATGGAAGATATTTGTTAAGCAGATGGCTCATTAATTGTTTTAGCTAAATATCTTTTAACAAAAATTAAAAAATGATATCATAAATTATAAATTGATCTTATAAATATCAAATACCAATCAAATTTATTAAAGTCTATTCTAAAAACAATCTGGAGATTATTGAATATCTAAATCTTTTAAACTTTACCCTTAATCCTTGCTACCAACAATTTCAGAGTTTTTTCTTCCATATTCTAATTCATTAGGTACATCTAATATAATCTGATCTTCTAAGTATCTCTACTCTTCTTCATTTTACTAATGTAAAATTGCTGAGTAATTTTATTAAACAAGATTAAATAAGCTTTTATTTTATTTAGCAAATTGTATTAATTAATCATTTAATTAACAATTTTTATTCTTATTTTCATTAACCTTTTAAAAATTGTCAACTAATTCTTCAGCATTTTCTGCTCCAAGTTAAGCTTTAAAAAACCTTGTAAGTTTTGCTAATCTAATATTGATTGGTACTAAAAATATTATAATACTAAAATACTTTCTGAAGTGGCTGCATATTTGATAATATTTTAATTATTATTATCAATGTTAGCTTAATTCTATTATTGTAATTGATTTATTGATCTTGTCTATTTATAACTTGCAGTCAAAATATCGAACAACTCTTTCTGATCAGTCATTTAATCCTAAAATACAGGTGAACAAAATGAATTGAATAACATTAGTTAATCATCATCAAAAAAAAATAACTTTAAGCAATCTATCTCATATAATTTTTTTAAAATATTAGTTAAATCTAAATCGAATTCTATCTTAGATTTAGCTATTTACGAAATCACTAATTCTTTTTCATCTTCAATTTTTTTACAGCTTTTGAAGTATTTTCTAATAATGTAAAGTATATATTAATAAAATGAGTATTTTATAGTATAATCAAATATCTTAATAAAAATGCAAAAATTACCTATTGTAATTGTTTTTTTGAATTCTTTTCCGATTATTACACCTTACCAGGTGTTTATGATTAGTTAACTTATGATAATTTCCTCTTTTACACACTTTTTAAATCAAATTTAAAAACAGAATTCATTAATATTTCAAAAGTCTTATGTTGATTATAAACTCTATAAAATATCTTGATTATTTGCATAACAGCTAAAAATAAAGCAGTAGTTTCAGAGACTGCAGATAATATAGTAGAAGGCAAGTCTTATTGTATAACAAAATAAAATGAGCTATCAGAAGAAGCTCTAAATTTTAAAAACTTAATACCTTAGATAAAATGTGCATAATCCTATTCCTGAAGAAATTGATATAGGTTCTTGTCTTCTTTCTTACCTTTCAACAACAGATCCATTATACAATCTTTCAGAATTCTCAATATTAAAAATATCACTGAAAAATTATATTTTTTCTAATTTATTTAAATGTATTTTACTTAAGTCCATTTACAATGGTTACATATATATATCTTCATTATCTCCAATTCCAGTTGTTAATCTCCAAAATATATTAGTAGAAAATAAGTCTGCAGGACTAGAACTATTTAATGATTGTTTAATTTTTGATCCTTTGATAAACATATCCACATTAACACTTAATTATCTAACTTTAATACCCTTTATTAATGAAATTTTCTATTTCCTTAGAAGTTTTACATGTTTTTCTAGTTGAATTGTTACATACACTGACAGTTAATTTTACATAAGCAAAATATGGTTCATAGAATTGTCCTTATAATGTGAAATTCCCATCAAAACAAATTAAATTTTCTTTTTGTTCTTCAGTCATTGATGCTGAATTAAAATTAAATTGTTTGACTTTTTCTTTTGAACATTTTGATTAGTTTAATGCAGTGTAATTTCTAGTAAATCCTATTTTACCTTCTATTCTTTATTATTGAATATACTATGCAGTTAATGAAAAATAACTAGAATGATATCTTATAATTTACTCATTAACATTTGTATTATCGTTCAAGATTTTTCCATCAAGAGTTGATAATTCAATGGAAAATATTGTATTATCATGACTCAATGCAAATTCTTAGTTTTAGTCACTTTATGTACCAGCATATATAGTGTTCTAATTTTGAATACTTTTCTGGAAAACTCCAACAATATAAAAAGAAGCAAAAACTAATAGAACAATACTAATAAATCCTCCTAAAAAGTTATTTAATATAAAACCTAATGGAGTTAAAGATTTCTCTTTTTATGAAATATTAAATTCATAAGGATCAACAAGCAAATCAACTTTTTTTATAAATTTTCTAATCATTAAAATAATTTCAAATATTAATAATATAGTATTAATATTTTTATTTACAATTTTTCTAATTAACTTTTGAAATATCATGTAGAAATTAATTAATAATACTTAAAATAATAATATTTCATATACTCTATTTAACATTCTTCTGTCTCATATACAAATATTAATAATATCAGTAATAATTAATAACTGAAATCATGAAATACACAACAGTAAACAATAATTTCAAAATATTTATATCCTCAATTATTATAAATGGTAGAACCAAATCCTGATAATTCTTGATAGTTAGTTTTAAATTTATTTTTCTATCGATTTTTATTTTGAACACCCTCTGATACATATTATATGGAAATTTCAAAATATTATTCTCAACATTATAAGGTTAAAATTGATAATAGTTAATCCTTACATCTTGGGGAAAAAAATTTATTATAAGCAAATCATCTTATCTCTAATGTCCTCCTGTGTCTTAATATAAACTTGATTGTTACTTGAGGAAAAAAAATTTAGAAATTTTTCAGAAATTTAAAAAAGCTATCTTACTTCTTTTGAATTCTTTTCATCTTTATTTTAATTTTCAAATTTTTTCTTTAGAAATGATTGTATATTTATAAGCTAATCAATTTCTCAAATGTTAAATAATTTTTAGATAAATTATAAGGATCTTATGAATTCTATAAGGACTTTTTTTAATCGATTTATGTATTTCTTAAATTTATAGACTATTTTTTTTAAATTTAAATTGAATTTATTATATTAATGCTTTATTTTATATAAAGTTATAATAATATGAATTAATCTAAAATTCTTAATGCAAGTTGTATATTAGTAATATATGTATATAATAAATTATCTAGTGATATGTTATTAAAATGTACATTTTGATATACTTTCGATTTCATAAATCGATCGTTTATTTTTATTATAATTATGGATATATGTATTTGATTTTTATCTATTCCTCTTCATTTTATTGTCTTATAGGTTTGTCGAATTTAAATATATGTAAATTTTGATGTAAATTGAAAATTTCAAGATAATATTTTTAATGGTCATTTTAAATAGGAAAAAAGAATACAAAAAAGAGAATTTTAATATTTAAAAAAAATAATAATTATGTTAAATATTTAATATAAATCTAGAGTTTAATATAAAATATACTAAAACTAAAATTTCATTCTTAGATCGAATCTTTGTTTTAGATTTATAGATTTGGATTTGATTTTTGTATAGGTGTATTGTATTACTAAATAAATTGAGGTAATTATTATTTATTATCTAATTATTAATTTGGATGATAGAGATGATTTAAGACTTTATAATTTTTTGGCTATCTCTTTTCAGTTTTAGATGTACTATCAATTTAGTTAATTAATAATACTTTTGTCTATTTTCTTCAACAGTTCCTGCACGAACACCAAAATTGATGTCTTAATATTATTTAATTACTCTTGTCAAATCGTCAATGTGTTTTGCTCTATTATCCTCATTATTTTTCTAAATTAAAATAGTTCAGTAATATTACTTCATCATTAGCCACTTTACCATCAAGCATTCTAATTGTTCTTGTAGAATAGTTTTTTAAATTAGTATCATGTGTAACCATTATTATTGTGATACCCTTTTCAATATTCAAATCAATAATAATTTTCATAATCAAATCTGAATTCTTTGTATCAAGATCTCCTGTTGGCTCATCCAATAATAAGATAGATGGATTATTAGCTAATGCTCTTGCTATTGTAACTCTTTGTTATTCTAAAACTAAATATTAATTGTACCTCCTCCTGATAATTAATTTGGGTAATGATTCAATCGACCACCCAAACCCACTTATTCTAATAATTATTGCGCATTATTTCTAATTTGATCTTTATTCAATGTCCCTTTTAGGATCATAGGCAATTCTACATTCTCTAATGCTGTCAATGATGATATTAAATTGAAAGTTTGGAAAACAAATCCCAAAGAAGATAATCTAAGTGAGGCAAGAAATTTATCTTCTGTAGATGCCCTAATTCTTTGACCACAAATTCTAACATCACCCTATTTTAGATTAGGATAATGGATTTTACTTTTGTTGGTAAATCTATACTACCTAATAAATTAAGTAGAGTTGTTTTGCCACATCCAGAAGTACCTAAGATGGTTATGAATTCTCCTTCTTGCACATTAAAGGATACACCTAAAAATTATATTGATATCATTGAACCTCTTAATGCAGTAACACCCTCTAATCCTAATAAATAAGTTTTATGAACATTTCTGACCTCTATAATACATTTATCTTGTTAGATAAGAGGGTCTATTTGAATTACTTCCTTTTCATATATTTCTTTATCTACAAAGTCATTATTCATTTTCTGAAATATAATATAATATTAATATTAAAAACAGCCTGAAATCTCAGTTGTGAATCAATTCTAAGATAATTCTATACTGTAGATAATCTTGGTATTCTAATTCTTCTATAACTAAATATTAGTTTCTATATTTTTTAGATTAGATTTCATATTAGAATAAGAAAATTCTAAGTATTAAATTTGATACTATAAAAACTTAGATGAAAATAGTCTTTATTTTATATTTATGAATCATAGAATGATTGATAAAGTCTTGTTCTTAAGATTGATCAATCTATTTAAATTATATATGAACTTTTTTTGAATAGTTCAGAATTTGGAATTTAATTTTGGAATAATTAATAAAATAAATAAAGACAAGAAACCATTGTAGAAAATAAATATAATCTATAGATTTATAAATGTCAAAAATGTTGAGAATTATTCATTATACATAAAGTTTCTTATTACTATGGATTAAGAAATATTGGTTGTTTACAAAGAGATTTTTGACTCCTTCTTCAATCACTATTACTTATAGTAATTCTCCATTTCCACTATTAGATATTAATAAATAAAGTACTAATTCTATTTAATAACTTAGCCATTAGAATTTCCACTTATTATAATATTATTCCAAATACATTATATACATATTATTTTATTTTACTGAATATTATTATTTGTATATTATTTGATTTATTTTCCATTTTCAGCATTCATCAATATTAAAGTATCACCACCAATTAAAACATTTTAAGTTTCCCAAGGAATTTATTATATTTTTGATATTAATTTCATTACTTAAACAGTTCGAGTTTAACTTAATTAAAATGATTGTCCTTATCTCTCTCTCTTCCATAATCTTAATCTTCCATCTACTTGAGTTGTTAACATTTAATTCTTATTGTAAAGTATGATATTGTTAATATATGATTTATCAAAGGTTTCCTAAATATTCAAATATGATTGTTTACTTAATATTCAATTTTATACTCATTAGAAATACTAAGCATAATCAATTTTTTATCCTCAGTGGAAATCAATAAAGAGGATTCCATAATCTAAGCATCAATAATACTTTTATCACTAATTTATAATTCTTAATATTTATAATATATTTATTAAGATTCCTTTTTATACAATTATACTTTTCCATTTTATAATCCAATTATTAAGATATTATTGCATAACTTAAGTAAAGTAATACTACTTTCTAAATAACATTCTTATATTTTCTTAGTTGTAATTGTGTTCAAAATTGAAAAACCATCTTAAGTAGAATAAATAAATAGATTGTCATCTTATATTGTTGAATATTCACTTTCTAAAAATACTTCATATTAGAATTGCTATTCATCTTAAAATTGATTTTCAATCAAATGAACAATATGTTCTTCATTATTGAATATAAAGAATCCAAACATCCAAAAACCTTTACTTCTCTTAATTTTATAATCTCCTAAATTTGTAACACCATATTTTGTTTATAATAATACTTTAATCCCTTAAATATGTCCTTTTATTTATAACCCAAATCTAAAATTTTCATCCAATAAATCTACATACCATATATCATTTTCCAATTTTAATGTAGTTTCTTATCTATCTAAAATTCAAGTATATAATTACTTTTATAATAACATTTAGGCACATATGAATTTGTAGATCCAATAAGAATTAATCTTGAATGATCAATTTCTTATTGATATTTTCTATGTGTTGAAATATCATTATAATATAATATATGGCTATTTGTTAAGACTTATAGACAAGTTTCTTGAGGATTCATATATAAACTAACAAATCAAAAAAATATATATACATTTATTTTTTAAATATCTATATTTAATTTTTGATATTATATTTTTTTTCTTCATCTTATTAAAGTAAATATATTATTTAATTATCCCTAACCAAAATTTAATTCTTCTGTTGAAATATTTATTACAATGGATCCATAGATAATTTTAGATGATCTATTTCTTATAAAGTATAATTATATATAGATAATACTCCATCTTCTCTTCCAAAAAATAAATTTTATTATTCTTAATCATTATAACTTATTCTCACTTAATTGTGATTAACACTTTATTTTTTTATTTAAAATAACACATTAATAGGAGTTATCTATAATTAATATAATGTTAAATAAGATTATCCAACAGAAACTAATTGAGTTGTTTCAAAATCTTAACAATGATAACAATCTAATTTTGCATATCCTTTTTATTTTAATGAAGAATCATAAATTGCAACAAATCCACAATTTTCAAAATATATAAAAATGTCTTTATGAATTATTTGTACCTTTATAATTTATAAATTATTATTTTTAAAAGGCTATTATTACATTATTTATTAATTCATCAATACTATATTACATTATTATTCTTATTAAAAAGATCCTAATTATATAGAATTCCCTTCAAGAATTACATTTTAATGTGTAAATATAATTGGTTATTCATCACAATTAGGAAGAACATCAATAATTTATAATTTACTAATATCAATAACTTAATTCTTCCATATCAATTTTTATTAAGTTTAATAACATTCTGAAGAATATACTTTATTTATATTTTAATTATGTTTCTCTAAATCGTCATAAAGATTTCTAAATTCTAGATGAGATACAATTTCATTTATGATAAATAATTGACAATCTACTTTACTACATATTCCTAATATCCAAAATTAAGGAAAGGTTATGAGATCGATATCAGGTTACTTTAAATTAATTACATCTTCTTATAAGAGAATCTTTAAAAGTAGATCTTAGAATTTCTAATTTTCTATGATAATATATAATATTTAAGGACAATCACTTGATATTTCAAAAAAACATATGTTTGATTGATTTTATTGTTTTCTAATCTTTTAATCATTTTAATAAATTTCAATATTATTATCAGATATGATTGACAATTGATTTGTTTTTTTAATTAATTTAAATGTATTTCTGGAACTTTTTAAATCTATCTCTTCGTTTATTCCATAAGACATCTCAAGTATATAATATTAATCATGTTCTACTTTAATAGTTCCTTTATTTAAATAATTAAATAATAATTTAGCATTACCTTAAGTATTAGTTGTGCAAGTGATTATTTTATTAGAAATAGAATCAGTAATAATAATTTTAGCCTTACTAATTATTTATTCTGTAAAATAGTCAAATACATACATTTAACCTACTTCAAGAAGTGATAATATTTTTAAATTAACTTATTATGGTGGTTTAATAGTTTTCTTTTTTTTAGAAATGAAACTTGAATTGATTAAAGTTTAATTAGTATTTTAATTAAGAAGTGTAGATACTTCAGCACTTCTTGTTGTAATTTGAATTTTAATGTTATTATTCCCACCACTTAATTCTATAAATTATTAAACTGTTTCAAAACCATATTTATAAACAATAATTGTGTATCTACCAGGTTCAAGAAAACCTTCATATATTCCTGAACTATCAGAGATTTCCTTTAATAACATTCTTTCCTAATTCTATATGACATTTACTTAAGTATCAGTAAAAGGAATCATCACATCTGTTTATTGATGTGGTCCAACTACTTCTACTCTTAATAATGCTAATTAAGGTTTTGATAATTTTATTTGATGAAATGCTCCATCAGTTCTTACTAATTCTTACAAAGTTACTACTTCATAGAATTATTAATTATTAGTTGACTCTTATATATGAATTTCATATCTATCTATTGGAATATTTAAGAATAAGACTCTACCTTATGAATCAGATTTCTCACTATATCTTACTATATTGCTTTATTAAGATAAAGCTCTTTATCTATGAAGTGAAGTAGATTTACATGATCTATTTTCTGACAATCTACTTTAAGGACGTAAATGTTAACTTGATGCAAGTTATTTATTTTGGTAAGATTGCATAGTTACATTAATCCCTTTTAAGTTAGTATCTCCATCATTATAGACTAATTAAATTAATAGATTAGTTTTTCTGAATTATTAATGAATAGCTTTAAGAATATCACTAACATTTGGCCAAGATTTAGTTTATAACTTGCTAAATAATTATGATTATTAGCCATTTGATTAAAATTAGATTTCAAATGCACCAATACGTCTCTAAAGGAAAAGTGAAGAAATGGTTTTTTCATTATCAAAAACTAAAGGTTTCAGATATACTTTAATATCTGGATAATTGAGTAATATTGATTGCTTAATTAGTAATGCATATGATAAATATTGTTCTTCATTATGACGAGTTGATCTCTAATGTTCTTTACAATTAGTGCTATTAAAATATTAGATTATATTTACCAATATTCTATCGTAACAACCATTTCATCTGATTTATCTTAAAATTCAATAAAAGGTCTCCAGTTACCTTATTTGGACATAATTTCCTTTATTGAAATATTTCGTTGTTCTAAATCTTAGAAATTTTTAAGTTTAGTGTAATTAGTTCTAACTTCACTCAATCCAATATCACTATATACAATCTATTTAGAATCACTAGTTAGTATATATAACATACTTTAATCCACAAGGAAGAAATGGTGTGGAATGTAATTTGGAGTCATAATGGTTATCAATATATCTAGAATTGCTCCATGTCCGTTTACTTCTTGATCGAATACTGTAAGTTGATAAATTCATGATTATTAAATAATATATATATGATCAATCACTCATGTAATCATCCTATTATTTTTATTATTATTATGAGATGATTCTATTCTTAGGATTCTAAGGACAGTTAGCTTAAGTGTGATGAATGCTATTGCAAATATAACATCCACCACCATAAGCATATAATCCTTTAGAATTCTTAGGACAATCTCTACTTATGTGACCAGATTCTTTACAAACAAAACATGTTGCAAATTTCAAAGAACCAGACTTAGGTTTTTAACAATCTTTCAATGTATGTTTTTAGGAACCACAATTATAACAAATAACATTAACAGTTACTTAAACATTCTAAAATTTAATTGATAATTATATACTTCTCTACAATGTTAAGCAGTATGTCCAATCTTTTTGCATACTAAACAAACTTTATCTTTCTCTTTCATTTTTATTTTCTTCTTTTCCTATTTTATTTCTTCAATTTCTTAATACTTTTTAGTTAACTTCTTTTAAATTCTTCTCTCTAAATCTTTTTAACGCTTCTCTTCAATCAAATTTGGATCTGCATTAGATTTACTCTGATACCAATCAACTTCACATTCTTTTTTAATTATGCTAGTTCATGATACAATCTCTTGCGCTTAGTCTTATTTTCAGAACCTTAAAGTTCAGATATTCGAGATTCGAGACTATTAATTTTCTCTTAATATTATTCATCTGTCATATGTAAAATTCTATTATTTATCTCTGATTTAGTATCCTTAGCAATCTATTTGTTTACACTAGATTATTTGGATCTAATAGGTGAATTTTTGATGATTTATTTTCTCATATAAAAATTAATAACCACATATTATTATCATTTATTTGGTACACGATATTCTTCACCTAAATGTTCTGGTGGTTACAAAGGTATGTTTAAACTATATAATACACAAAGTTTTCATACACATTAGATTAATCTAATTTCTATCCTTTTTCCAAAAAATACTCTCTAGTATATTTATAAACTGCTGGTTCTGTTTTACATTAATAATTCTTAGAATAATCAGAATAGAATTCAGGTTATCCATACTTTTTCAAGACTCTCTCTTCAAATGAAGGTAATTTTGAGCATCTCTCAATCTTATATATTATTTGATAAGATTATTACTTCTTATTAAATCCATTCTTTAAATTTTCTAAAGTCTCCATATCTAGTACAATTTACTCTAAATGGGGCTTTCTCTTCTTGACTCCAAAATTCTTCAAATGTAGGCCATCTCTTCTTTCTGTAGATGGGTTTCAAATACTACTATTTATTATAAAATTATTCTGATCTGTTGGGTCCCCAATACTTTGTGGTTTATTTTGCATCATACCTTGAAATATTAATTTAGGAATCAATACAAGCAAAACTTATCCAAATTTGAATCTTCAAAATCAAATTCTTTCGTAGCTAATTTGTTTCTCCATGGATCCATTCCCATACCAAAGGCATGAATAAGTCCTTTTGGTGATAAATATATTTTGCACACCACAATTTCTGAATATTCATCTGGTTTATAATATGGATCATGAAATGATGTCCAAACATAATAATCAGTCAATGATAAATCAAATCTATTTAAATTAGCACTCATTTTACTTTGGACGATCATAAATTGCAACACGTTTTTATTTTGGCTAGATCACTTAGATTTCTTTCTCTCTCTCTGCCTTTACTAACTTGGTGTATTTTAGATAAGTTTCAAAATTGTAATTTGTAGTATGAGTGAATCTTTCCTATTTAAGATTTTCATCTAATAATCCACTTTATTCAAGTTATTATTATTTTTCTTTGATAGCTAATTATAGTGCTCTCTTCTTTTAATTAACATTCTTTGGAGGTACAGGTTTTACAAATCTGCTGAAGATTTGACTCATGAAAAATCGAGGCAGATATAATTACATATTTTTAATAATTTAATTTACATTCATAACTCTAATTTATCAACTAAATCACTCAAATAAGGAATTGTAACTTTTTAGAAATGGTTCCATTTCCATTTATCTTTTTATATTAAATTATGCATTCTAATTCCCACACCATGATCTTCTACTAACACCATTATTAACATCCCATTACAACAACATCATCTTAACTCTTTTAGATGCATCATCTAAATATTATATGATCAAATTAATATATATTATTTCTACTTATGATACAATTACTAATTTATTTTCTTCAGCCTTTTCTAATCCATTCCAAATTATCATTTAATTAATCTGCTACAATCTTTGGAGATTTAAGAATTAAATTAATTAATACTTATTCAGCTATCTTATCTATATATTTCAGATCTTCCAATTGACCACTATTATAAATCCATCTAAAAGGTCTAAAACCAAGATTCAAAATATCTCCCAAAATATCCTAAAAATAATTAGGATAACGAAATAATTAATCATCATTTTCTGAATTAATATTAGCACTAGCTCTTCTACTTTCTAATAAAAAAAAAAGATTTCCATAATCCCAAAAATGCATACCCTTTTTTGTCAATTTATTATAAAATAATAATTAAATATTTTCCATTATAATTGCATATACTTATGATTCATATACTAATTTCTTGAATTATTCTAGATCTTTAACAATCATTATATTTGCTTCTTCAAATTATAATTAAACAAGATAATATCCTCCATTAAATGGATTATGTAGAGATGTTTGATCACATCCTAAATCTACTAAATTTATTTCTTTCTATACCAGCTCCACTCATTCCACCCAATCCATAAGAGACAAAAACTACTTCCTAGCTGCATTTAATAATGTCAGAGTAGTTCCATGTACAATACCTTGTCTTCCTATATAGCAATAACTTCCTGCAATCGTTTATCCATAAATTTTATTACCAATGTTTCTCATAATGTAATTAATTAGAATAATAAGGAAATCAGGATGACTAAGAAACAATCCTTATGGCTGACTACTATTCATAATTAAAGTTTGATGTTCAGTCATTTCACTTAAATATTTCATTGTTAAGTGATATTATGCCCAATTTTAAAACACACTAACATTATCAGAATTATAATGGTCTTAAGTCAACCACCATAAGTAATTAATTCATGTGGAAATTGTGTTACTTCATCATTGAGATTATTCATTATCATATGCATGATAACTTAACTTATTTAAATTTGCATGGAATTCTTAGGATTACTTAGATTCATTCTTATCATATGGATAGGCTTTCATCTCATAATCTGGAATCAATCTATACATATATTTATGTCCATAATTTTGTAATTTATACATAAGCTCTGGTGCCAATCTTTCATGAAGATCTGATTCAAAGTATCTCAATGCATTTTTTATTCCTTTTCTCTTTCAAAAGATTTATCAATTTGTTTAAAAAGAAATTCTTGTAAAGAGCATGAGAAATCATTTAATTTCTGACATAGCTATTCTTGTTAAAATCAACCTAAATTCCTTTCTTTAAACTTTCCAAAGATGTGTAATCAATTTACATTTTTAATAATAATTATGATTTTATTCTTATTTTATATTCACTCCTTAATCATGCTACCACCATATGAAAAATCGTAATAAATTCTACCCTCTGAGCTTGCAGTATCAAAAGAAGCAATGGTACACTCTGTGAATTCCTATTTTATTGAATTTTTCAATTAATTACTGAATCAAAATGAGAAGTGTCTTCCTCACTAGTTAACTTTGGTTTAAATGGTGCTTCCACCTTCTTTTGTAATATGTAATCCCAGTTGACCTTCTCAAACCAAGGATGTGATTTTATTTCTATTGCTCCATTATAACCCAATCGCTCTAAGTATTTCTACTAATTATATACTTTCTGGTTGTTTCTAGAATAAACCCTCTAGTAAATTTTTCAAAACAGGACTCAAATTATTTGGGTATTTTGGAAATTAAAACTTTATCTATTCGAATAACTCTCCTCTTTAATTTGAATAATAAGGGGGCATTCCTGTTATCATTTCAAAGATAATGCAACCCAATGTCCACCAGTCTACTGGTTTTCCATGTCCTTATTTCATCAATATCTCAGGAGCCAAGTATTCAGGTGTTCCACATACAGAAAATGCATCCTTATCTTATTTGACATTCTTTTTGGACAATCCAAAATCTGTAATTCTTATATAGCCTTCTGCATCTAATATCACATTCTCTGGTTTCAAACTATAATTTATAATTCATCACTTACTCTCTATATATAATATTATTTTCATGCAAATATTCAATAGCCAATATCATTTAACAGACGTAGAATCGGCATCTTTAAATAATATCAATGTTCTTACTAGTCTTCTGTCAGTTTCTTTTTCTTCTACAATAAATTGAATAACTCTCCACCTGGACAATATTCTAAAACAAAGTATAGTTTTCTCTCATTTTAAAATGAAAATGCCAATTTAATAATAAATTGATGATTTGCAGAAACCAGAACATTTCGCTCCACCATTATATGTTCCTATATAATTTAATCTAATTCCATACCTCCTATCTCTTTTATTGAATATACTTCTTCTTTAAGGCCTTGATAGCATAAAGTTTTCCTGTGTCATTCTTTCTTACTAAAAGCACTTTTGCATAAGATCCTTTTCCTATAACTTTTATCAATTAGAAGTGATTTATTGTTAAATGACTTGATTATTCTTACTACATTGCCTAATTTAATATTATTTTATTACTTTTCAATATTTTATAAGCAAAAAATTAAGATTTAAAAATTTTCTTTATTTTTTATCAACTCTTCAAAAAATGCATAATATTAAATTAATAATGTTCAAATTACTCAATTGTCTTAAATATCTATCTCTCAAGACCGCAACTTCACTTCTACAATTACTTATAATAAGCATTGTTATTGGGCTTTGTTTAATTGTTCTCGCAGTTAATCGTATAATGATGGATGCCCTCATCTCTGAAATTTCAGATAAATTGTTGTTTAAATAAAACTTTTAATAGTATGAGCTCTAAACTGAAATGTTGAAATATTAAGTAAACTGGCCCATGATTTAAAGATTTTAAATGATGAACAGCTTTAGCAAAATATACTAAAATTTTATGCCTTAAGTATTATTTTAAAACTTTAATTATCCTATGGAATGTCCTATATATAAAGGTCAGCTACATGAATAATATAGTACATTATTTTAATTGCCTGAATTTTGCATTTCATACAAAAATTAAACCAGATAGATAGATAATCGACAATTTTATCCTTTCCTTAACTTTCTCAATTAACTAATTATTCCTTTTACATACACTCCTATCTCAGAACTTTATATGACAAACACTGATGAAAATTATTTATTTGCTTCTAATCCTCCTATCTTTGATTATCCTTCTTACAACCCTTAAGTAAGACCTTGGTACATAAACCATATGGAATAATCTCAAAAATCAAATAGTTAAGGTTTTGTATCTTATGTCTATAAATCATATGGAAATAATTAATACAGTTTCACAATAACATATTCTTTGTTTGAAAATAATCCATCAAACAAAAATTAGAGAGGAGATTTATAAGCAGTGATGGGTTATGATTTGAGTTTTAATCAATATGCAGATCATCTTCGTTTTTAGTAATTTGTCTTTTTAATAACAAATCTACTTGGTTAAATAATATGTACAAATTCTATTGAAGATATAAGACTTGATTAAGAAATATATTATGTATATCAACAAAATTTGACTGGTTTTACAGAAAAGGATTGGTAATAAATGTAATATTCTGCCTAAAGATAACCATACATTAATAATTGTACTTTATAAATTAATCATCTCTGTAGATTTAATACGAAATACTAAGAAGATATTATCTTACATGTATTGAACCTAAAATCCGATTTTTATCTTATCATGTATTTAACATTATATATTTAGATTTTAAAATGTAACAATTCAGAAGGAAAATATAGAGATGGCTGAAAAAACCAAAATGGAAATTATTTAAGCATTTGCCAAAAATATCTCTTATTTAGTCGGAGCATCTTTGGCTCTTCTAATATGTAGTTGGATAGGAATGTACTTGTTTTTCAGACCAATTAAATAAATGAGAGAAAAGATGGATACATTAATACGTAATAAATTCTCCAGCCATAATTGGATGTAAAAAATCTAAAATGAATTTGATGAGAAGAACACTAACTATCTTAAATAAGCTTTAAAGAATTTGAAATCAAAAATTACTAATATTAAAAGGAAGAAATGTTTAAATTGTTATTTAATTGAAAATTTTAAATACCCACAAAGAATTCTAACTATTGATTTTTACTAAATTAAGAATCTAATTAAAAAAATGCCATAAGATTAAATAAAAGAAGAATAAATAAGTTAAAGGGAAATAAAAATTGATAATATCATTAAATCTCCAGAAAATACAAATATAATCCCATAAATAATTACAAATAAATTATATTCTTAAAGTTTAAATAGTGAAATAGACGAAAATGTTTAATTAATTAATAGCATGGATAGGATATTCTGAAATATAGTTATAGAAAATAGTGCTTGATTATGTTATTTTTTATTTATCATTCTATATATCTTGGATTGTATTAAGAATAATAATAAAAAATTAATGAACTATAAGATTTCAACTTTAATTTTAGGTAATCCTCATCATCATGGATTTGAACTCTTCAAATGTTAACTAAAATAATATAATAAAAAATAATACTTTTCCATCAGAATTCTGATCTACTTCTTCTATCATTTATTTCCAAACCTCCTCACTGATTCCAGAATTTTAACCAAAAGCTAACTTAATTTCATCTTTTGTTATAGCCCCACTCTTATCCTTATCTATAATTTTAAAGGCTTAAAGCAATCTTTCTGTAGCCAATAGTTTTTCTCTATTTATTGTTGCATAAACAAACTCTATAAGTTAAATTAATTTATATACCTGAATAATCAATAGAACCACTTCCATCTGCATCTATTTTTTTCATAATTTCATCTACTTATGATTCTGCATCTATATCACTCATAACCTTTTTGTATCCATTTATTAATTCTTCTCTACTTAATTTCCCATCATTATTTGTATCTAAAGCCTAGAATTACTTTAATAAGTCTTATTTCTCATCTTTAGTAGCTATAAAATTAACCATAAACATAAGTGCTGCTTCTTACAGTTTTTTTTCTACCTATATATTTAATAAATTTATATATTTACTCTGAATGCTTTGATTCTTTATAAAGCTTCAGTAAGAGATGGTAGATCTTCTTCTTTCTTTTAACAATATGTTTAAATCCAGAGATGATTCATGGCATCCTTTGCTGAAATTCTCTTTTTAGTATCTTTCTCTATCATTTTCATAACAAGATCCTTTGCCTCATTTGATATTTTTTTCCATTCCTACTCCTTAAATTTGAAAACTCCTTTTCTCACTGACTCCATAATTTAATAATCATCATCACCATTAAATGGAGGAGCTTTCATAAAATATATTTATATTACCTCCACATAACATAATATAGAGAATTACACCACATGACCAAATATCACATTTTTCATTGTACTTTCTATCAAGTACCTCTGGAGCTATATAATATGGGGTGCCAACTCTTTGATCCATTTTTTTATCTGGATTGAACTTTTAACTAGTTCCAAAGTCAGCTATTTTTATAAGAGAATCAGTGTTATTGGTTTCATATAGTATATTTTCAGGCTTCAAATCTCTATGTACAATATTTTTTTCATGACAATATGTTATTGCACTTAACACCTATTTCATAACTTCTGCAGCTTTTTTTTCTGAAAAATTCTTTTCTTAAACTATTCGATCAAATAATTCACCTCCTTGACATAATTCTGTCACAATATAAAAATATTCATAGTCTTAGTAGAACTCATAAATTGAAATTATATTCAAATGATCCTAATCATATCAATTATTTTCATACCAATTATTTTAAAATATCAACTTCTCTTGTTAACATTAAACAATCTTCTTCAGTCATCAGTTTCTTTCTTATCAACTTAATTGCTCTAACTTAATTTGTAACTTTATGTACTCCTCTGTAAACTTCACCAAATGCACCTTGGATGTAATAATTTGTTATATATACCTTTTCCAAGGCATGGTTAAATTAAATTATAGTCAGCAGTGATTTTCCCTTTTTTCTCAGTAACGAATCCTTGATATGCAAATTTAGTGTCCTCTATCTTAGTAACTTAATTAAAGATGATTATTGCTCATACCTTTGTTTGAAGGTTCTTAAATACCATTAGATGATCCACATCCCATTAGTATAAGAAAATAAGTTATCTAAATTAAATATTAAATAAAATAGATATTTTATTCTTTTGTAAAATCTATATTATTAATTCTATATCATTTAATCTCTACTAAATTTTCCAAAAAAATAACAAATTATTTCTAATATTAATGAAGTGAATATAAATTTTTAACTTAGTAGTAACAGTTGTTTTTTATTTATTTACTAATGTTTTTTTGTTAATATTATATTCAAAATTGAAAAATAAAATATATCGAATAAAGAAATGAACGATTGTATTTATTTTATAATTCGATTCAAAACTTCTTATTATAATTATATAACCTATTAATTCTGTAACATTTTCGTTGCTTTTTTTATTATTAAAACTGAATCTAACAAATTTTTAATAATAAAATTAATTGATGTTTTTAAATAAAACAAATATCCTGATAAAAGAAGGATAATTTTCTTACTTTTGTCTATTATTTTTTCATTAAAGCAACACTATTAAATCTAAAAATGAATTTAATTTAGCAAGCTTATTAAAAAAATATGAATCATAAAAACATTATTAATTAAATTATCTTTATAAATTGAAAGGGTATAGTTTTAATCTTAAATAACCTATCAAATTAATAATAGAAAAAACTTTCCAGTTTAAATATTGATGATCAACAAAAACGAAAACATCAATTTATAATGAAAAAATTTTAATTATTTATCTATTATTACACTAGATCCTATATATATAGTCTTATAAAGCATTTCAAAAAATCTGTATTTAAGTATTAATAATGATTGTTATTTTTCTAATTAAATGAATATAAGAATTTAAAAAGAGAATGAAATAAGGATGTCACTGTACTTTTTGTTTTTTAAGTAATTGTTTTTATTTAGATTAACCTAAAAATTTTTAAAGCTGTTAAAGTTAAAAAAATAAATGAGACTTTTTTTACAAAAGATTTGATTTAATAGTTTTAATTTTATGAATTTAAACGTTGAAAAGCTTAAAGTTGTGAATAATCCACATTTTTACTAAATAAATTTTGATCGATATATTTAATTTCAATTCTGGGTTTGGAATAAAATTATATTAATGTAGAGTATGTATATACTTTTTTGAAGATTTACATTTTTCTTTTTATGAGTTCAATTTTTATAATAATATTATATCAATTTGACTAAATTGTTATGTTTTCTTTGCTATCATCTATAATTTATTTTAATTAAATAATCAACCAATTCTTTATAAATTTTATTCATATCTATCTGAAGGTTTACCCTAAAAATTTGAGAAGTGTAATAAAATGATGCTGAAAGATGTTCATGATTAATATAAAAAATCTAACTTAGCTTAATATTAAATAAAAATAGAAAAAGAAGTTGGAAGATGTTTATAATAAATGACAAGCAGCAAAATAGCTCACATTCGAATGTAAAGATGTATTTTAAGTTTAAATTAATGAATAAATTTAGTATTGTATAATTGAATATAAATAATAAATGAATTAAACTTAAAAGTCATTTGATGTTTCTAAAGGTGGTGAGAAAGTGTCAGATATTGAGTCATTAAAAAGAAGAACATATAAAAAGATCTTAATGTATTGCTAATGACAATTATTAGGATGTCTTCAATGAACAAAAACATCATGAAATACATCCAGAAAGCCTTTCAATTAGGTCCAAAATATCTAACAATTGAATGTCTTGTTGAAGAAGTTAAAACAACTCCACTCAATGAATTGGAACGTTATGGAGCTACTATACTAGACAAAGATAGATTAAAAGAGCTTTAAGAATTATTAGGGAAAATAAAATAGATGATAGATTAAGAAGTTAAATAACTAAGCAGTGATCAATTAGTGGTATTATATATTTATTAAGAATAGTAATTAATAAAATATTTTGTTTTATCTCCAGTTGAGAAAACATATATTCAAAAAATAGAAGCTGAATTAGCAGAAACTGTAAATATTAGAAATAATATTTATATAGAAAAATTTAGATGAACAAATTAAAGCAGCTTAAACTAGATAAAAAGAACAATAAGATTAAAAAATTGAGGAATATCGTTAAGAAAAAAATGGATAATAAATAATTAAATAAAACTTATAATCATAACAGCATCAGATATCAGTTCATGAAAATAAGTTAGAAAAAGCTAATCAAAAATTGAATGAGATTGTTGCCCATAATAAATAATTAAGAGAAAAAATCAATTAATTGAGAAAAGAGAAAAATATGGTTGAAGAGTAAATTATATTAAATTATTATAGAATATCAAAAAATTTAGAAAAAGAATTAGAGGATAAGAAAAAGAATGTTGAGGAAACAATTAAATCTGCAGGATAAGCATATTATTATAGAAATAAAGCAGAAGAAGAATTAACTAAATTATAAAAAAAAGCAGAAGCATAAAAAAAGGAGTTTGAATAAGAATGTGAATCTTTAAATGAGAAAATATAACATGATAAGAAATTTAAAGCATTTATTTAAAGCAAAAAGAAAGAATAAGAATATTTAGATAAATTAGAAAAATAAATTGCAGAAAATTAAGAAATTATTAGATAAAAATCAGCATCTAATGCTTAAATTGATAAAGAATATATGTTAAGTGCATCTAAAGAATAGGAAATTAAGGACGCTTTTGAAAGAATTAAATAAGAAACAGGTATTCATGATAAAAAAAAGGAAAGAGAAAGTAAATAGTTATTAACAGTTTTTATTGAATTATATTAGAATAATCAAATTATGTCATAATTTGTTAAAGAATTATAAGAAACTGTTGAAGAATTAGAAAGATAAATTGAAGAAAAAAAAGAAGAAATATAAATGTATTCAACAAAAGGAGCTACTAATGATAATTAAAGAAGAGAATAAAAAATGGCATTATCAAATAAAATTTAATAAGAAGAGAAAAAGAAAGTTATACTCAAAGCATAATATGAAAAATCAATTGAAACAATAAATTTAATTAAAAAATATTTAGAAGAAGTTTTTTAAGCGATTGATGTTGATGATGAAACGATAAAAAAATTAAGTAATTATTCATCATTTATTTTAGAATCTGCTGCTATTACAGAGGAAAATATGGTACATTTTTTAGGAATATTGGAATAAAAAGGATTAGATGCAATTTAAGAATATGCTAGATTAATTGCAGAACAGTTAAAATTAGAAAAAGGAGAAGTTCATGGATTATCTTCTTAAGTTGATGATTTAAACAATATCATTGCTTATGAAAATGCTAATATTATGAATTATTATTCATAAGCTTCATAATTTAGATAAGAATGTCCAGATGATGTACTTTCATTTAATGAAGAAGAAAATGATATGAAGTAGAGATGGTTTCAAGAAGAAGAATTCAAAAAATAAGCTATGGAAGTATAAATATTCATATATTTCTTAGTCTATCTCCAAAAGATCTGGACCTAAAAAACCAATTAAACCCAAATTTAAAGAAAGAGAATAAAAATAATGAGATTTATAATACTCAAATATAATTGTATAAGCATTTATATAATAAATTAAAATATATAGTATTGACTAGATCAAATATATTTTATGTGAATAGAATTATTTAATATATTGTTCAACTTTTTTAAATTTAATTTAAATTAAATAAATTAAATTCATTTTTATTTATATTTTCATTTGATCGTTTCCAAAACTTCTTAAGATTTATTATATCATCAAACAAAATATATCTCAAATCATTAAAAATATTTATTTTCGAGAATATTTAAATAATTATTATGCTTTAATCGAATTAAAAAACAATAATTATTCTACTTTCAAATTGCAAAATGACTGTGGAGCTTTAATCAACTACTACTGTGTTTGAACTTTTTGAAGCCATAAAATTTCACTTAAAGTAATTCTAAACTAAAAAAGATAGATTTGAAGGAAGTTTTAAACGATGGACTTGCTATTCTGTTTCAAGGCAAAAATGGTTGAATATTTCAGAGGAAATTGGGAATTATTAGGATGAGATTTTTAATGTTCACATGAAACCTGATTTAGTATCTAAATTTGAAAAAGTAGAGACATGGAATCTAAAAACAATAATTATTCAACCTTCAAATCACAATATGATGGTAGAGCTTTAATCAACTACTACTGTGTTTGAACTTTTTGAAGCCATAAAACTTCACTTTAAGTAATTATAAAATAAAAAAGATAGATTTGAAGGAAGTTTTAAACAATGGATTTGCTATTCTGTTTCAAGGCAAAAATAGTTGAATATTTCAGAGGAAATTGGGAATTATTAGGATGAGATTTTTAATGTTCACATAAAATCTGATTTAGAATCTTAAAATGAAAAAGTAGAGGACATTAATATATAAATTGATATAAAAGACAGCGGCATTAATAGGAAATTTTCGACAATTTTTAAATCAAGCGATATTATTTAATCAGTAGCTTAAGCAACTTTATCTTATTGTTAATTATCAGATTAATAGTAAATAAATATATAATTTATATAGGGAAGTAGCAGCAGTTGATTTATTTATATTTGGTTAACCTTATAATGATAAAATTAAAAGATTTAAATCATTTTCAGACTTATAAATTAAGAATAACACAACAATAGAAGCAAGAATTAGATGGATTGGAGGATGATAAAAATAATTTTATTATAATTAAAATAAAATAATTATAAATAAATGATTTATTTTTCTTAGTATTCTCGTTATACTCTATTATTTATTATTTTCATTTTTTAATACTTTCAAACAGGAAATAAGAATAATTATTTATTTTAAATACTTAATATAAGTATAATTTAATAAATGAATCAATCCATTCAAAAATATATAATGTAAACTAAATAATTTTGAAGCAGTAATTTATAAATATTCATCTTTTTATTTATATTTAAAAAAATCAATAAAATATGAATATCAATAATTCCCTATTAATAATGAAATAAAATATTTTGAGTAAATTTAGAAGAAGCTGTTATTTTTTTAGAACTTTTCAGAAATAATTAATAGTAATTTATAAGGCATATATTTAGATATAAATTTATTATAATTTTATTATGAATATGTAATAATGAACTAAGTAAAGAAATTAATATTTTAATAGATTATTGGAAGGAATTTTTATTAAATTAAATATTGTACAACATTTACCTATAATTTAAAAATTAATAGGATTGCTATTAAGAAGGATTTGAATTAAGATATGCATGTAAATATATATATATATTTTCTTAATAGATGATAAAATTTATTAATGTTTAATTAAATTGGAATGTTTTTTATATTTAAAGAATGAATTGAATATATAAATTTCTGTTTAAATGAATCTCTGAACATAATTTGATAGAAATTTATCTCATTTTGATAATATTATAAATTTATAAATGTATGAGAATTACTATATTTTGATCTAGAATTTTGTTTATATTTAAATAGTTGAAGAATTAAATACTAAATAACACAATTTCATATTCTAATTCACAAATTTTTTTTTAATGATCTTAAAGTAATTATTACTTTAAAATTATTAATAGATATTTTTTAAAATATTGAATTGGCGCATTTTTTTGTATTTAAATAGAGAATTAGTTTGCGGGAAATGATAAAATAATAATCATGTTCACAAATCTTAGATCTACAGACAACACAATTAGATAATAAGCAGAATAAGAATTATACACTTAGGTTGCAGCAAATCCAATAGCAATACTTGAATAGTTTTTGATAGCAATGTAAAACAAAGATGACACAGAATTTGTATCCATATTATTATCTAAAACAATCTTTGAGAATGAAGAGAATATTGGTAAGTTAGAATGGAGTCATGTTGAAGCTGTATTAAAGTTCTGTGTTAGTGAATTGAAATAAGAAAATAAGTTGTCTCATCTTAAGAGAATGTGTGATTTGGCGGTAAAAGGATTACTAAAGTTCACAAAATATGATGAAATGATTATGTTATTATTTGAGATAGGCAGAAGTGCTTAAACTTTAAATTAGAAGTTAGCTACAATGTATTACATAGAAATCATGTGTGAATTTGCATTATGTGATGAATAATTAATTAAACACAGTTAATAATTGAATGAAATATTTTCAGCATTTTTGAATGACTAATCACCTTAAGTAAGAGCAGCAACTTGTTAAGGAATCAGTAGTTTCTTAGTATCAATTGAAGAAGAATCATTATTGAATAGATTTAGTAATAATGCAGTAGTTTTATTATAATAATTTGCATAAGTAATGTAAGTTGATTAAGAAGCATCTGTTCAAGCCTTATAATCAATTAATGAATTATTAGAAAATCATCCTAAGTTTATGAAAAATCTATATGGAGAATTATTAAATATCTATACATAATTAATGGGATCTTAAACTACTATATCATTAAAAAAGTCAGCACTTCATGGTCTATAAACTTTATGTTAAATTGCCCCAGCTTTTATTAGAAAGAGTGATCAATTCAAGACCTCTTCTATTCTAATGATAATGAAGATGTTAACAGAAGTAGATAGAAAAGATTGGGAAAATACTTTTGATGATAATTGTTTATAATTAAATGATTTATCAAGTGTTGCAGAAGATTGTTTAGGTAAAATGGTTAGAGATTTGGGAGTGAAATATTTGTTACCTATTTTTGTTCCACTTATTATGTAAGCATTAAGATCACCAGTAATTAATGAATAACATGCTGGTTTGATAGCTATGGCAACATTATCAGATAAAGCAGCAGAACATTTCTAGAATGAATTACCTAGCATTATGGAATTAATATTACCATTATCTTAATCATAAAATAAATTGATTATTTATGATTTATTAACATGTTTAGCATCACTTTGTTAAGAATTTACACCAAAGATTTAAATTAATTATGGATCATAGATTTTATAATTGATAGTTACATGTATGTAACAAAAGATTTCATAAAAAATTCAATATATTTCTATTGCATGTTTAGTTGATTTTACTAGAGAATTAGTAGAAGACAAGGAGGCAGCAAAGAATGTATTGACTCCAGTATCAACCTTTTTGATTGAATAATTATACTCAGTCATTCAAACAAATTTAACAGGTTCAATAGATTAATAATAATAATAAATATTAGAATAAGCACTTTCAGCATTCAGTGCTTTAGCTACAAGTTTATAAGAACATTTCACTTAATATTATGATTAAATGATGCCATATATGATGTAAATGATGTAGACAGTTACAGTTAATGAAGTAAAATCATTATTATTAGAATGTATTGGTTGTTTCTTAGTATCTATTAGTACAACAAGAAAAGAATAATGCAAAACTGATTCTAATTAATTAGTCACACATTTTATCTAATAATAAAATAAAATGGAATCAGATGATCCTGCTCATACATCTATATTCTTCTTCTATACCTAAGTAGCTACAGCTTTAAGATGTGAATTTGGTTAATACTTAGATGCTATATTCCCATTAGTTGAAAGAGCTATGAGATTAGATGTTGGTTTCTCAATCAATTCATAGGCTGAAGGAAAGAATATTACTAAAGTCAAGTTAGATCTTAAATTCTTAGGAATGAAAAGCTTATCACTCAATACTAGTGCTCTTGAATAAAAAGTAGAAGGAGCTCATACTCTTGTTAATTTAGCTGAGTAATGTGGTAAATCATTTTATCCATATATAACTAAAACAATAGTTTTAATGAAAGAATTCATTAATTNATCTAATGATTATGAAGATGTTAACAGAAGTAGATAGAAAAGATTGGGAAAATACTTTTGATGATAATTGTTTATAATTAAATGATTTATCAAGTGTTGCAGAAGATTGTTTAGGTAAAATGGTTAGAGATTTGGGAGTAAAATATTTGTTACCTATTTTTGTTCCACTTATTATGTAAGCATTAAGATCACCTGTAATTAATGAATAACATGCTGGTTTGATAGCTATGGCAACATTATCAGATAAAGCAGCAGAACATTTCTAGAATGAATTACCTAGCATTATGGAATTAATATTACCATTATCTTAATCATAAAATAAATTGATTATTTATGATTTATTAACATGTTTAGCATCACTTTGTTAAGAATTTACACCAAAGATTTAAATTAATTATGGATCATAGATTTTATAATTGATAGTTACATGTATGTAACAAAAGATTTCATAAAAAATTCAATATATTTCTATTGCATGTTTAGTTGATTTTACTAGAGAATTAGTAGAAGACAAAGAGGCAGCAAAGAATGTATTGACTCCAGTATCAACCTTTTTGATTGAATAATTATACTCAGTTATTCAAACAAATTTAACAGGTTCAATAGATTAATAATAATAATAAATATTAGAATAAGCACTTTCAGCATTCAGTGCTTTAGCTACAAGTTTATAAGAACATTTCACTTAATATTATGATTAAATGATGCCATATATGATGTAAATGATGTAGACAGTTACAGTTAATGAAGTAAAATCATTATTATTAGAATGTATTGGTTGTTTCTTAGTATCTATTAGTACAACAAGAAAAGAATAATGCAAAACTGATTCTAATTAATTAGTCACACATTTTATCTAATAATAAAATAAAATGGAATCAGATGATCCTGCTCATACATCTATATTCTTCTTCTATACCTAAGTAGCTACAGCTTTAAGATGTGAATTTGGTTAATACTTAGATGCTATATTCCCATTAGTTGAAAGAGCTATGAGATTAGATGTTGGTTTTTCAATCAATTCATAGGCTGAAGGAAAGAATATTACTAAAGTCAAGTTAGATCTTAAATTCTTAGGAATGAAAAGCTTATCACTCAATACTAGTGCTCTTGAATAAAAAGTAGAAGGAGCTCATACTCTTGTTAATTTAGCTGAGTAATGTGGTAAATCATTTTATCCATATATAACTAAAACAATAGTTTTAATGAAAGAATTCATTAATTATAAACACAGTTCATAAATCTAAAAATCTATGGCTAAGTGTTCAGAATATTTAATAGCTGCATGTACACTTGAAACAGATATGGCATAAGTACTTATTTAAGTTACTCCTATGCTCATTACTGAATTCACTGTGTTCCTTAATAGTAAATCTTATGATAGAGTTGCTGAAATTGCAGAAGTATTAGCTAATTGTTTGAATTAAGTTAAAGCACNGAATAACATGCTGGTTTGATAGCTATGGCAACATTATCAGATAAAGCAGCAGAACATTTCTAGAATGAATTACCTAGCATTATGGAATTAATATTACCATTATCTTAATCATAAAATAAATTGATTATTTATGATTTATTAACATGTTTAGCATCACTTTGTTAAGAATTTACACCAAAGATTTAAATTAATTATGGATCATAGATTTTATAATTGATAGTTACATGTATGTAACAAAAGATTTCATAAAAAATTCAATATATTTCTATTGCATGTTTAGTTGATTTTACTAGAGAATTAGTAGAAGACAAAGAGGCAGCAAAGAATGTATTGACTCCAGTATCAACCTTTTTGATTGAATAATTATACTCAGTCATTCAAACAAATTTAACAGGTTCAATAGATTAATAATAATAATAAATATTAGAATAAGCACTTTCAGCATTCAGTGCTTTAGCTACAAGTTTATAAGAACATTTCACTTAATATTATGATTAAATGATGCCATATATGATGTAAATGATGTAGACAGTTACAGTTAATGAAGTAAAATCATTATTATTAGAATGTATTGGTTGTTTCTTAGTATCTATTAGTACAACAAGAAAAGAATAATGCAAAACTGATTCTAATTAATTAGTCACACATTTTATCTAATAATAAAATAAAATGGAATCAGATGATCCTGCTCATACATCTATATTCTTCTTCTATACCTAAGTAGCTACAGCTTTAAGATGTGAATTTGGTTAATACTTAGATGCTATATTCCCATTAGTTGAAAGAGCTATGAGATTAGATGTTGGTTTCTCAATCAATTCATAGGCTGAAGGAAAGAATATTACTAAAGTCAAGTTAGATCTTAAATTCTTAGGAATGAAAAGCTTATCACTCAATACTAGTGCTCTTGAATAAAAAGTAGAAGGAGCTCATACTCTTGTTAATTTAGCTGAGTAATGTGGTAAATCATTTTATCCATATATAACTAAAACAATAGTTTTAATGAAAGAATTCATTAATTATAAACACAGTTCATAAATCTAAAAATCTATGGCTAAGTGTTCAGAATATTTAATAGCTGCATGTACACTTGAAACAGATATGGCATAAGTACTTATTTAAGTTACTCCTATGCTCATTACTGAATTCACTGTGTTCCTTAATAGTAAATCTTATGATAGAGTTGCTGAAATTGCAGAAGTATTAGCTAATTGTTTGAATTAAGTTAAAGCACCTATTTTAGATGCTACTATAATTGATTCAATGTTTTAGACTTGCAATAAGGCTCTTGCTGCTATAGTAAAAACTAAAGAATCAATTACTTATGAAGATGAAGAATAATTTGAAGCTGATTGTGAAGAAATTGATTTATTACTTGATCACATTACCAATATTGCAACTGAATTAATTTCTAATCATAAATGTGAATCTGTTTAAACTATGATGCCTACTTATTACTCATTTTTAAATACAAAATCTACTAAATCATAGACTATTAATTCAATTGCATTTTTCAATATTGTTTTACCTCTTTGTAATGAATCAGTATTTTAATAAGCATAAAATGAAATATTAAAATGTTATTCTACTTTTTCTAAAACAGCTGATCTAGAAATGAAATAAAATTTACTCTTTGGTTATGGTAATATTGCAAAAAGACTTCCAAATCTAGATACAACTCAAATTATAGAATTAGCTTAAACAATAATTGAATAACCTGATTGCAAACATGTTGATAAAGTGGCATCATATGAAACTGCTTTGACAACCTTAGGTAAAGTAGCCATGTATTGTAATATTGCTTAAAAAGAATAACTTTTGACTAAATTTTTAGATTCTCTTCCACATGAATATTAAGATAATTAAGAAACTCATTTAATGTTTATTAAAGAAGTAATTTTATACATTATTATAAATAGGTTTAAAATAACAATCCAACTTTGATGTAATTTAAAGATTCAGTAATTCAAACTCTTAATAGAATTAAAACATAAGATTGTAACAATCCTGAAAATGAATTATTATGTGATGAAGGAAGAAAATTGATTTAATAATTATTATGTTGAATATTATTATATTATTAAAGATTTTATATTTTTTTATTAAACTATTTTTAAATATTTTTATTATATAAATATATTATCAATTAATATTTAATCTTTTAATTTTGATTCGATACTAATTTTTAAAATGATTTTATATTTAAAGTACTCTAAAATTATTAGGTATTGAATTAATTCTTATTTTTTTAAAATGCCAAGATGTAATCCTTTATTCACAGAAAGAGTATTTATTATGATAAATTTAGTTTGATTAAATTTTAGCTTAAATGGTAGAAGCAGTAGGTGAAGCTCGTTGGGCAGATATTGCTAGATAAATGAAATAAATATATGATTTTGATATACCTTAATAAACAATGATATATGCAAGATGGAAAGCTATAGATCCTAAAATAAATAGAGATCCCTTTAATTAAGAAGAAATGGCTTAACATTGGAGAATGTGTGTTAAATATAGTTGTAATTGGGAAGAGATAAGAAAAGCTTATGAAAAATAAGGATAATTAAGAGACAAAGGATATTTGGCATCAAAATATTATTAAATATTTTGGTTTAAATTAAGTGATCTAAATAGAGGTATAGCCAATTTATCTGATTATAATTAACCAAAAATTGATTAGATTAGAGATATAACTAAAAAAAGAATCATGGAATTAAATGGTAAGGATGTTAAACTTGTCAAAAATAAATCTGCTATAGCTTTAATTAAAGGATGTAAAACATTAATTAAGGTTATGTCTTTTATGGTTGATAATTACAAATTAGATTAAAATTTATTAAATCAAGAAGTATTAAGAATTATAACAGTTGAAAGATTTTAAGAAGCATTATTTCATATATTTACAATAGATACAATGATACTTATTTCTCTTAATGAAATTAGACCTAATGATGATTTTACTGATCTATTTGAAATTAATGAAGAAATCAAATAAAAATATAAGAAACCTACTAAAATTAAAACTTGGAATAGTGCTTTAGTAGAAGCTTCAAGTGATGAACACACTGAAGATGAAGATGTATTATAAGTAGAAGTAAAAGTTAATAAATTCTTACCAAAGAATTAATTTACAAAGGATGATATCACATAAATTAAAGATAGTGAAATTTATAAATTATGTAGCACTGATTAAAATCATAAATTTTATAGTTGGTATAATTAAGCTAAAGATGATTAAGAAGATCTAATTGTAAATGTTAAAGAATTTAATGATACAAAAGAAAAAGCTAAATAATAAGAACTATAAAAACCAGAAAATCGTTGGTAATTGAAAAAGAAAACTCCATATGTTGCCAAAAAATAAATGAAGGCTATTGAAAAGAAGAAAAAGATGATATTATCTTAAGATTAAAAAGAAAAGGACAAGATTAAAACAGTAAGAGGTAGAATCAAATTAGATAAAGAATTATTTCATTGTTAATACACTAAATTTTTTGATAAAGAACCTAGTGAAAGTGAAGTTGATGAAGATGATTATCATTATTCCTTAGTTGATGCAGATTAGATTTATAAATTAATGATGAATAATTAACATATCAAATGAAAATATATCATTATTTAAGTAAATCTTGAAAAAACATAAATTATTATATAAAATGTTTAAGTTTATATTTTTATTATTTCAGATTAATCTGATTATTAAATAAAATAGACTAATAATTGAAAATCAATTATAAAATTGAAAATATTAAAATTTAAATCAAAAACATTTAACTTTACATTCAATAGAATACCTGAACTTTTGTCATATATTAATTTTTATCTAATTCATTGATTTCCATTTTCAAGAAACCTATATATAATGTATGATTAATAAAGTTTTGTATTTACTCATCTAAATCTATTTAATTTATTTAACTGTTAGAAAAGCATAATTTAAAATCATAATTCTTTATAATTATATAAATTAATTACAATATTAAGCGTTTTTAAGTAATTTATAACATCTCTAATTGTAGTATTTAGTGGAGTGGACAGTAATATTTGTTTATCAGTATATCTAGATAATATTTATTGTTAATCTAAAATAATTCTTTCAGTGTATTTATTAGTCAAAATTTCTATATTTTTCACATAGATATTTATATTATTAAATTAATTTTCAATATTATAGACTAATGATTGAATATTTTATTACTTTAATTGGGATTTTTTAATTAATTTAGATTATTTTGAGCTAAACCTATATTTGCTTCTATTTATTATAATAATTAACTTATATAATCAAATGTATTTCTTATAATTGCATCAACCTTGAATATTATATTTTCAAAATATTTTTATAAATTTTATTATATCTAATTGTACTGTTTACTTATGTTTTATAAAATAGCCAACATTTTATTTTCTTCTTCAGAATTCCTAGTTATTTTAAGATCAAGAGTTGCATTATCACGAAGCATCATCTATTTTATAGTCTTAGTGTCTAAAGATGGTTATTATAATGCCTAACCAAAATATTTAAAATCTATTTAGCAATTTCTAAAATATAAATAGGAAATAAATTATTACTAGAATAATAGAGAGTAATCTGCTAAAATTAATTCTTTTATATCTTGAAAAGTAACAGTATTTTAAAATACCCGTTATATTTTCCTTTCTCTAGAATTATATTCGATATTGAGAAATAAAGAGATTTCTTAATTTTAATTAGATTAATTCTATATCAACTTTTTTGATGAATAAGTAAAAATTATCAATTATTGATCTATATGATCATCAAGATAATCATCATAATTTAATTTTTCTTTTCTTGTTTATGAAAAGCAGATCCATTCTTCAATATTATTTTACAATCTATTTAAATATTAATAATATACTTAAAATGATTTTGTATAGAAATATATAAATCTGATAATAAAACTAAATTTTCAAGAGCTATTTCAATTTATTCGTTCAAAGGCTTCATTATTATTAGGACCATAAAGAAAAATATATTATAAATAATTCATTTTTTTAATAAGAATTATTTAATAATTAATATAAATTGTTTAAGATGGAATATAAAATCTTCTATATTTATTTTTTACCTACAACAATTTTTTAGTTGATCTCTTAAAATACATCTAAAAAATTATTATAATTCATCTGAAATTACATCTGCTAATTTACTTATTTTTATAATCAAACTAATAAATTATAAGGATAATCATATTATTTATAATTCAGAAGATTTGAAAAAGTATCAATATGCATAATATTTTAAGAAATTAATGATAATTATCTTTAAAATTGTATAAAGATCCACAAAGATATTTAATTAGAATATAATTCCTAAAATAATTTTAGTTAATTATTAAAGAATTGCGATAATGTATAAACTACCTTCAATTAATATATAATATAAATAAATCATAAATCAAAATAAGCACTAACATTACTAATACTTAATTTATCATCAATTTAGTTTTCATCATCATTCTATATCTAAAAAATATTAATTAATTGAAACTTTCATATTATTAGAATCTTTGTCTTATTTATGATGAGAAAAGGATTAGTTTGGTTAGTATTAAAAGAAATGCTTAATAAAGAAATCATCCTCATAAGCATATTAGGTTTATTTAGCTGCATTTAAAAAGTTCTTATCAAAAAATTGTTCTTAAATATTACAATAATATACTAAAATATGGATTATTTATGCTTTTATAGAATCTTACACAAAAGTTTTACATACCTTACCTACGAAATTCACTTCTAATTTAAGATTGTAAATATTTCTAATGAAATTTAGAGAAATATTACAATTGTGTTATTTTAAGTATTCTTCATAATTTTTTCTTATAATATTTTTATTTCTTCAATTTATTTATGCAAAATTAATTAATTTAATCTTAATTCTTCTAATTAATTAAATGAAGTCTCAAAGTAATTAACCTCTGAATTTTATTTTATAATTTTCTTAATCTATGTTTCTGAATGAATATTAAATTATTTATTAACATATTCAACACTATTCTTCTCTTTATTTAAACATTTAAATCCATAATAATTCAGTTACCTAAAATTAATAGAAAATTGTTATAACCTTCTAAAACTCTGATAATTAATTTGTTTAAATTATTCTGGTAATACTTGTTTAATAAATTATTGGAGATTCATTATAATGAATCCATCATTAGATTCAAGAATGTATATGATATCCTTGAACTTTTAATCCTAATTAAATGAAATGAAAATACAAGAAGCATTTTTTTTAATTTAGATATGAATCCTTAATTCTTATCGAATTTGCGTTAAGTTAGATCAGCATCTTACTTGTGGATCTAAAGTTATTACATTAATTTAGTTAATTAAAATAAATGATTATAATAATATAAAGATATAAATCATTAAATCTATGATTATTATTGATTATGTTATTCATCTTCTAAAATTTAATGTCCATAAATGCTAAGAAATCTCTATTTCCATTCTTTAGCTATCATATTTTATAATTTAGGATCAACAATTCCAACTAAAACTTTATAAGGAACATCTGGAATTATATTAAATGTTGGAGTCAATTCATGTACAATTTTATCTACAAAAACATCTGCTCTTTTTTTGATATATATATCTTCCTTAATATCTTCCTCTGTCTTTTCTAAATCACTCATATCATATGATTAATATAATTATTTCAAGTTTTCTGGTATTTCAACCTTTCCACTTTTTGTGACTTCTTTTAATCCAATTTTCTAAGTATATAATTAATCATAAAATGACGGATGTTCATCTGCTGGTATTATCTAGAATTAAAACATATTATACTTTACAGCTATTCTATTAACAATAATGCATAGCATATATATTTTCTAATCCTGCATAGAAATCAAGTTCTTTCATCTTTGTCACTTCCTCAGGATTTGTTTTTAGATAATAATCTACTTTCTTCATAATTTCCTGTAAATGTGGATTCCTAAGTATAGGTCTATATTCATCTTCTAATTGTTTTTCTGATATTTATAATGCAACTAATTTTGGTTTAGCAACATCCAACACTTCCTTTAATAATGCTAAGTCTTCTCCTGTNCAACACTATTCTTCTCTTTATTTAAACATTTAAATCCATAATAATTCAGTTACCTAAAATTAATAGAAAATTGTTATAACCTTCTAAAACTCTGATAATTAATTTGTTTAAATTATTCTGGTAATACTTGTTTAATAAATTATTGGAGATTCATTATAATGAATCCATCATTAGATTCAAGAATGTATATGATATCCTTGAACTTTTAATCCTAATTAAATGAAATGAAAATACAAGAAGCATTTTTTTTAATTTAGATATGAATCCTTAATTCTTATCGAATTTGCGTTAAGTTAGATCAGCATCTTACTTGTGGATCTAAAGTTATTACATTAATTTAGTTAATTAAAATAAATGATTATAATAATATAAAGATATAAATCATTAAATCTATGATTATTATTGATTATGTTATTCATCTTCTAAAATTTAATGTCCATAAATGCTAAGAAATCTCTATTTCCATTCTTTAGCTATCATATTTTATAATTTAGGATCAACAATTCCAACTAAAACTTTATAAGGAACATCTGGAATTATATTAAATGTTGGAGTCAATTCATGTACAATTTTATCTACAAAAACATCTGCTCTTTTTTTGATATATATATCTTCCTTAATATCTTCCTCTGTCTTTTCTAAATCACTCATATCATATGATTAATATAATTATTTCAAGTTTTCTGGTATTTCAACCTTTCCACTTTTTGTGACTTCTTTTAATCCAATTTTCTAAGTATATAATTAATCATAAAATGACGGATGTTCATCTGCTGGTATTATCTAGAATTACAACATATTATACTTTACAGCTATTCTATTAACAATAATGCATTGCATATATATTTTCTAATCCTGCATAGAAATCAAGTTCTTTCATCTTTGTAACTTCTTCAGGATTTGTTTTTAGATAATAATCTACTTTCTTCATAATTTCCTGTAAATGTGGATTCCTAAGTATAGGTCTATATTCATCTTCTAATTGTTTTTCTGATATTTATAATGCAACTAATTTTGGTTTAGCAACATCCAACACTTCCTTTAATAATGCTAAGTCTTCTCCTGTTCTCTTATATCCCTGCAAATAGAAGAAAGTCATTGTACTATATAGCACTCTCATATTATCTTTATTGAGAATAGCATTTCTTCTTTAAATTAAACTTTCAGTATTAGATCCTTGACTTATTCTTGGTTTAACAATTGAATATATAGCCAAAAGAGCTGTAGATCCTAATCCAAACATTATAGCTGCTTTCTCTGCCTTAGTCATTGACAAATATTAAATTTTAATTATGTCAATTATTTAATTTTCAACATTCTTGTATATCTTTATAAATATACATATATTTATCAATAAATAAGGGAAAAAATCATTTATATTTATTACAAGCTCCTTATAAGCTCTTAAACCAATCTACAGGTCCACTTGTACTTGCCTTATTAACAATCATTTTAGGAATATATCCTTTAATATCAATATTAGAACAAATCGAGATTTTTACATTGTTTTATTCATAAACCTCAAATATCATAGATGATATTTCTGTATGTGCTCTAATTCTATTTCTATTGATTGGATGTTGAGGATAATCAATAGAATAAAATATTAAAGTGATCTACCCTTTTTCTGGGAAATCATATCTCAAAATTCTCCTTTATACCCATTCTCTTGGAGTGATTAAACTAATTGGAGGTTGTACATAATAAGCCAATATATCAATATCTTAAGATTCAGTTTTGAGAATTTGGAAATCTCTAAGTAATTAATCCCTATTTAATTATTTATTATTAATTACCATTCTTTTCTCAATTTGATATCATGAACTACTTTTAATGTTAAATCTAGAGTGGTCTATTAAGATTAAATAAATAATTATTTACATTTTTAATAATACCAAAGCCTTTGATAAAAACATTTTCAGAGCCTTCCTTTAAGGTTTTGTATATTTATGCATCTTTAGTATTTATTGCTAAATCCCATTTATCAGTAGGTTCATGTATCAATTTTAAAAATAATTCAAATTTTTCAATGGATAACTAACAATAATGTTATGGATATTTAGATAATTAGTTTTATATTTCTTAATTATGAATAATTTCTTCATAAGATTAATATGGGGTTGAATTAGAGTTGCATTTAGGATCAATTTTAGAAAAATAGATTTTATTTGGGTGAGAATGTAATTTTAATTTAATATCTTAAGATTTTTGCAATATAATTTATTATGATTCTACTTATTATTCATTATTTTAAATGATATCATTAAATGATTATTATACTTCTAATTATAATTGTTCAATATTTATTTTAATTTCATCTTCCTTTTATATATTCTATATTTTCATGATACATTAAATATCTTAACCAACATTCTCTAAATTTCTAAAGTTTTATTATTAAACATATAATTTAAGACTTGATGTATTTACACTCAAATTTAATTATGAACTCAGCATTTTTATATAATAGATACTCATTTATGGATCAGGGAATTATTTAGACAATTAAACAATCTCATTTGAATAAATAAACTATCTTGATTTTTTAATTATTAAAGGTAATTTATGTTCAGGTAGTTAATTTTGAAATAATGTTACTACTGGTTTTATAACATTATCTATGCCTTTTAAAACAGAGATTTCAAGTTAATTTCTATAATGAATTTATTGATTAACCAATTTAATTTCCTCTTCATTTAAAGAAATATTTTAATCCTATAAACTAAAATACTTTAAAATCTTTAATTATTCTTCTAATAATAATAAACTTAATTCTATTGTACATAAATATAAATCTTAATTAAGGAATATAAAAGTCTTTTTCAATAATTTCTTAAGTTAAGTTTAATTGATTGTTGAGTAATACTTAAAATGAAGAGCTATCTTAATTTCAGTTAAGATTTTATCAATTACAAATCTTTATAGATTAATATTATAACAATATTTCTTTTTCTATAATTATGCCCATTTTAAAATAGTTCTTATTCTTATATCATAAATATCTATCTCTTTTATATCCTATTTATTTTATAAAGTCTTCTTTATTCTCTTTCCTACCTAATGACCTCCTACCACTCCTAATACACCTCCTCCAATACCACCTACTAAAGCAAATCCAAATACAAAAAATCCTATGGCTCCTAATAAGATCATTCCTATAACTGTCCTATTTGTTTATATATTTAAAAATATACCCTATATTTCTTTGATCAAACTAATCGCATTTTGAAAGTACATCTTCAAATTCCTTTGTCTGTTTAGGAGTTAGATAATTTTAAGATAAATAGAAATGTTTTGATAATATCAGTTAGATAAATTTTGATGGAGTTGAAGCAAGTGCACTAAATTCAATTCCTAACAGAATATTTAAAGTAGGATGGAGCATTCCAAATTCATAAAACTAACTACAATAATTCCACATCTTTTGAAATTTTTGTATATTAAGCATTTATTGAACTTGCATTAAGTAATTTTACATAATATATTGTTTTTAAATAAATGTAGGATATGTTTTAATAATATTATGTATAAATAATATAAAATAGATAATAATATTTATTTATATATAAAAATTATAGATATAATATATATATATATATATATATATGAATATAATTAGAGTAAGATATATATTCTAACATGAATTTAATTATATTTCTTTATATATAATTGAAATATTTAATATTTTTGATGAAATTCTTATAAAAATATAATTTTTAATAAAAAATAAAATTATGATTATTCCTACATAAGACTTACCTTTTAATTCCTTATAATAGGTATGATTTATAGTATAATAGTAAGTTGGGATAAAGAGATATAAATCAAGATGTATTTGATTTAATATATTGGGTTTAATAAGAAATATTAAGTCCTGAATTGTTACCATATTTTGATGTTTCTAAAATATAGGATACTCTAAAAGGGTAGTTGGAATCAATCTAAGAATTAAAGAAAGATTTATCTAAACATAATAAATAAAGAGATACTCAATATTTAACATTACATGTAATTGAATTAGAGAGGATCTAATATTTTTATCAATAATATTTAAGAACAAGAATGTAAAAATTGATCTCAAATGCATTCTATTATTATAATAATATTGGAGAATATTAAATAAGTTTGAAAGAGAACGAATTCTTGAGAACATTGGTTGAAAAATAAGCAGATTATTTATTCACAAATTGCTTATAATTTTATCAGAAAACTTAGAGAAACTTTGGAGTAAAGTTGGATAATCAAAATTAATCACAATATAGTTAATAGGATGATAAAATTAGTAAAATCAAGTTCGATGTTATATAGATGTGTAAAAGCCAGATATAAATTAATATGTAGTAATTCATGTAAATACATCAAGAACTATACATATTGGGTCAATGTAATTGATTAATAATATTTAAAAGAGCATTGAGTGAAAATGATAGTGCCTTAGTTTCATATGATGATATAAAGTAGTTATCATACGTTATTATTAGATTCATGGTACCAATTAAGAGTGTGACATTGATTTGAAATAATAATATTATTTTTTCATCAAATCTTTATGAATATTATCAACCAGTTATTGGCAGGAGCTAATTGTATACCAATTCATAACCAGTTTAGTATTTAGACTCAATTTCCAGATGTCCAACAATAAGAATGCCATTCCATAACCAAAGGAAAAGGATGAATAACTTAATTTGCTTTAAAATACTATTTTCTCTAATTTAGTACATATACTTCTAATATAATTAGCTTATGGCATCATAAATGAAAACTGTCTAGTAATCATAAACATAATAAGTTTAAGTAGTACAAAAGTCAAAAAAGATGTATCTATTTGTAAATATCGTTTTAGAAGTAAACGTAACAATAATTGTGGACACCCTGAAAAAGAACATTATGCTAAGGGTATGTGTAATAATTGTTATCACAAATATGGTAGAACAAAGAAACCATGGATTTGTGGACACGATAAATTATATGCTTGTAATATTTATTTATTTAATAACTATTAGAAGGATTATGTTAGAATTGTTATATTAACAAATACAATTAAAAAAGAAGAGAATTAGGTGACAATGAAATTCTTAAGCAAGAAGATCCAAATCAATAGTAATTAGAATAATAATAGTCATGAATATTTATTTTCTAATTATATTATTATTATTTTCCTATTTACATAAATATTAATATAAAAATAATAATAAATAATCATTTCTTATTAGCTTCTTATAACAACTCATTTATAAGACTTCTCATCTTTGGTTGAACAATGTAACCTTTCACATCAAGATAATCAGCACTATCAATTTTACACTCAACTAACTAAATTAAATAATCCATTTTCTATTTACTAATGCTTTATTTGGCATACTATAAATTCTTAATACAACGAATCTCTAATATAATTCTTAAGATGCTCCAAATCCAAAAGTTTTATTCATTTTCTTGTCCTGGTCTATTAAATTGATATTATTACATCATAAAGTATAAAAATATCACCCTCTTTTACTTTCTCAAACCATTAATAAATGTATGTAGATACATAATAACTAATACATGTGTATAATCAAATTTACAATATAATGCAAGCAATCAATATATAGTAATCTTAAGGATATGGAATGAAGTGATAATGTGAATAAATTACATTAGCAATCATAAACAAACCAAAAAATACTTTGAAATTCTGAAATTTAAAATTTTCTTTTAATCCATCTTTACTAATCAATTCATCTGAAATAAAACTACAAAAAGCATCTTTTGTCATATAAGTATCAAATTTATTTTCAGTCCTATATATTTCTACATTTAAAAGCTATTTTACTTTGTTTTTATTCTTTTACCATTTTATTAAATATTAATATATTAAATAACCCTTCTTAATCTTTTGTAGATAATAATTTATAAAGGATAAAAATAAGTCAGATGTGAAATTCTCATAATTATTAAACTAAGGTATTTAGTTTATTTAAAAAAAGAATAATCCTTATTAATATTTTAATAGAATTACCTCAATTATGAGTATATAAAAGTCTGTAGTTTTACTTCCTTACAACAAGACTTTGAATTTTTAAATGGAAGCAAATACAACTGTGAATGAATTGCTATTACATTTATAGCAATAAGAGTAGTAATATTTTATATTAAATTAGAATATTAGGAAATACGAATATGTGGATTTGTTATTCATAATAAAGGAATATTTAATTAAATAGTAATAATATAATTGGAAATATTGCTAATGAGATATTGATTGTAATTTGCTAAAAGTAATAAGAAAAACAAAAATTAATTACAATCAGTATTCAACCTTAAAAAATTTTTAGTCAATTTAAGGCTAGCTCTTTATTTCAAGTCTAAGAATTATTAAATTATATTCGAATTTAATATTAGTAAATTACTAATTATTATCAAAAGATTAAACGAAAATTATTAGAATTGGGAATGTTATTCGGAAAACTAAAATCGATATCTGAAACCAGATGAAATGCTTGGAGATATAGAAATGGAAAATTTAGTCATCTTCACAAATAAAATTAATATTCAGAAACGAATATAAATTGGATAAAATATACAATTTCTTATAGAAGCAGAATTAAATACATAAATTTAGTAAATATTTTAATCAGTTAAAGCTCATTATAAGTATATATAATAATCTTATCATTAGATTAGAAGGAGATATAAACTAATGGACATGTTATTCTTATTAATAAAATTAATATCTTGATTTAAATTCTAAAATAAATTAAATAAATGGTGAAATGTTGCTTATAACAACATAAAATAGCATTTTTAAAACTGAAAATCTATTTTAAACTAGTTTTGATATATTTAATACCAATTAAACTAATAATAATACTAATTAATTGTTCTAATCATATAATTAAGTTTAATTTTTTATTTATTAATAGTCACAATAAAATGATCAACAAAAAATATTACTAAATATTGAGATATTAGAAGGAGTTATAATAAGATAACTACTACTTTATTTTAGTCCACATACTCAAATTGAAAAAGTAGCAATAGCTATTTTAAATTATTTATCAATTAATCAGTATTTTAAAATAGTTTATTTAGATCTTAAGCGTCACTTGATCTTTTTATAAATGGACATTAATATAATAATTAAAAAGATAGAGTCTAAACTTTGTATTAATGTGGTATAAGTAATAATGCCATGGTTTAAGCTAGAGTAAGATGGTTAGATACAAAAGTATGTTTAACTTGATAATATATTATATTTTATACTATTTTTTAATCATTCTGAAATTTTTAACATTTAGATTCTTTTTGTTAAATAATATAAAAATACTTATTTATTTTTTTGATAAATATCTTAATATACTTAATTTACAAATGAAAATACATCATTAATCTTCTATATTTTCTCTTTTAACAGGGTAACGTTCTCTCTTTTTTTTGAGTTGTTTCTTTGCATTTGGTAATTAAAATAACCATTCAGGTACTTAACATCCTGAAACCTTTAATACATTTGCTAATGATCTTAACATAGATTTATCCTCATCTGTAAATAATGTAATGGCTTTCCCTTATTTTCCAGCTCTTCCTGTTCTTCCTACTCTATGTACATAAGTAATCATTGATTATGGGAAATCATAATTAATAACTAATTAAACATCTTTAAAATCTATTCCTCTAGCCATCATATCAGTACAAATAAGCATCCATATTGTTCCTTTATGAAATTATTCAACAATTTCTTATCTTGCTTTACTTTCCATATCTCCATGTATACAATTAACTCTAATTACTTTCAATTATTCTATTTCATACATCAAAGCCTCAGCCCTTGTTTTTGATTAAACAAATACTAAGACAGGTGGTGTCATTTAACCTTCATTTATTAAATTTCTAATTTCTTAAATTTTTCCATATTCATTTGATACATATCTTAATTGTTAATCAATTTTACTTAAAACATGATTTCTTCCTCCTATCATAATTTTTATAGGGTCTATTAATAAATCTCTATAAATATCTTCAACAGGTTCTGGTAAAGTAGCACTAAAGAACATATAAGTAATTTGTAATGATTCCAATATTCTTAATAATTATTTAACTTAAGCTAATAATCCTAATTCGAAATATTTATCAGCCTCATCCATAATTACATATTCAATAGTACTTAAATCAATTACTTTATGCAATTTTAGAAACTTAAGTGGAGAACTTATAAGAATATCAATATGATTCCATGCTTATTTAAAAGCTTACTTTTCTCTGTTCATTTCTTAAATTTGTTTAATTTTTAATTCCTTATTTAATTTATTGAATTCTTTGTATAATTGATCAGCTAATTCTTAAGCAGGAGCAAATACTAAACATCTAGGTCCTCCTTCTTTATGATTTTCTAAATTATGTAATATAGGTAATGCAAAAGCACAAGTTTTGCCAGATCCTGTAGGTGCTATTGCAATTAGATTTTTCTTTTGTAAAATAATTGGAATAGCAACCATTTAAATAGGAGTAGGCTTTTAATAACCACATTTTGTTAATTGATTCATTAAATCTTAATTTAGATAATTCTTCATCTTTACAAAATTAGTTAATATAGGTGTATTTATATTATCTCCACTTATTTTAATTTTCAATTTTTTAAGAAGAGTATTTCTATATTAAATATCTTAAGTTCTCCTTTTGGTCATCTCTTGTTCTATTTGATCTAAACTTTCTTTTCTTCTTGCTCTTTTTAAATCATGTTCAACTATTTTTGGTTATTCTTCAGATTCAGATTCTGATTATGGTTTTTCTATTATTTATTCTTGTATTTTTTTCTTCCTTTGTGTACAAATTCCATTCTTTAAGACTTAAAATATACTTAACATAATTAAATTTATTAATGGATAAATAGAGTATAAAAATATTATTTATTAATTTATTAATTCATTTCTTTAACTATAAAATATTAACGATATAGTAAATATATATATACATATAAGTATGAATATGAATCTAATATTATATATAAATATCTATATTAAATTAAAAATAATTTATATTATGTTGATCTAATGAATAATTAATAAAAAATAACAATTAAGAATAAGTTTTATATTATATTTATTAAGAATGTAAACAAAGCCTAATGATTTCAGAGTAAAAACATCAAGACAAATAACAAAACGTCCTTTTTAATAGACATCCTTATAAGGAGTTCAAGTTGCTTCATAATCAAGTAGTTTTTACTATGGATATTAGCATTGAAAAAGAAACTATCTCCAATTAGATTAAATAAGTATAATGTATTTATGGATTGTTTAAATGATTTGACATAATAAAAGTTTGAGAAATGCTAATCCAGAATATTATTTTAATAAATTGAAGAAAAAGTTAAGAAAAATCAATTATTATGCATTTTATTCATCTAAAATGTGAGTGTATATAACAAATATGATTTACCAAATAACAAAGTATATTTATGTGTAATTCAGATTCCACCAAAATTTTCATGGGAAGCTATATATAGAGGGAAGACATTAATATTGACAACTCCATATTAATATACAAAAACATGTCATGGAATTGTAGATTTTATGTTTAAATCCAATGCCAAATATCCATTAAAATTAAAATTATTAAAAGTAAAGAATTATGAAGAACAATATATTGGGGAAATAGATTTGTCAGTTTCAGATTTTGTAGATTTTGAAGTTGTATAAGAATATTAAGGAAAAATGATAAAAGAAACATTTGTATAAAAAGAAATGTTTAAAATATATAATGATTAATCAGCATCAATAGGATAGGTGAGTTTGAAAATAATACAATTTTGTTCATCCAGCGTTCCTTCAAGTACTAAATTAAATTAATTGCAGATAAATCATCTAATATTCCAGGATCACCAAAGACTTTGGAATAAAGGAAGAAACATTAACAAATAGAAGAAGCTAAACAAAAAGGATTTGACTGGGGAAGTAGCAAAGATGAAGAGATAATAATATAATTAATACTAGAATGTCAAAAGGAAATGACATCAAAAGTTAAACAAAATATTGAAGAAGTTTAAGAAAGAATCAAATGTAATTATTGGTAATAATGAATAATAGAAATGGAAAACACTTTAAGTGGATTTTTGAAAGAGAGTACTTATGCTACAGATATAATGATAAGAAGAGAATCTTTAAGTAGGATGAAGAGATTAAGATAAGAATTAGATAATTAAATCTCTTGTCTATTGAAGTTATCAGATTCTGCTTATTTGGAAATACTTGGTTAATTAAGATAAACTACAAAATAGGGAAGAATTAAGAAATCAGATATAGAATCAGCAATATTTCATTTTGGTTGTGTAGCAGCAAAACTTTTATTATTGACAGTAGATGAATTTGGAATGTGTTTAGTTGATTATATGTTTGATTCTGACTCATTACCAGAAATACTATATTTCTTTAATTAATTAGATTTAAATGAAGATGTACAATTAGAAATGTTTGCTTAATCTTTATTTGAGAATATTAAATAACGTTTAAGAAAAAATCATTATTTAAAAGCTTTAGCTTATTTTATTAATGCTTTGAATATGTATCCAAATATTGGGTTGATCATTGCTTAATATGCTATTAATCCTGAAAATTCATAAATTTTAGCACCTTTTCTTTTAGAATTTAATATTTAAGATTATTAACATGTGATAGTATTATCAAAATTAAGAAAATTATGCAAAAAATTCTTAAATCCAGAATTACCATTTATGAAATCTATGGAAGAATAATATAGAAAAGCAAAATAAGAAACATATTTCAAAATTCCTATTCTACCTAAAAAAGTAGAAACCTAAGAAAAATTTGATTTATTATAATTACCAGAATTATAATAGAATATCTTTCATGAAATTGTAAGGAGAAAGAGATGGAATTTATTTACAAGATCTTGGAAATCATTTGAATAATTTGTTTATTAATTAGATCATTAAGGAATTTCACCTATGATGATGTTTTTAGAAAATGCTCCATTAGATTAGATTCTTAATTTAGATACTCTTTAAAATTAAACTTCATTTAGTGGGTAAACTTCTTTACACTTTTTAATAATGAATCCAGATCTATCTGTTAATTCATTATAAGCTTGTATTAATAAATTTAATATGTTAAATGATAAGGTTTGGCTTGGATTTACACCTTTAGCCTTATTTTTAGATAGATTATTATATAAATAGAAAAAACATAAAAGTAGAATTATTAAAGAGTTAAAAGCTGCTTAAGAAACTAATAATAATAAAGGTATTCAAGTATTAGAAATCTTAAGTTAATCAATAATTAATTTTATTAAACATTTCAATTTCAGTAAATATTTATTGTATTGTTAAAATATTAAAAAAGAGAATTTCATTGAAGATTTCAAAAAATTGAAATTAAACAAACCATTTTAAATTCAATTATAAAAAAATAAATAAATAATCGAATGGGATAATTTATATTATTAACATACAGTTCCAGCTATGATTCTATGTAAATTAGATGAATCAATATAAGAATTAATATGGTAATAATTTGATTGGATAAATTGGTTATGTAGTAAATAGAATTATCCTTATGAAACATATTGTAATTAAACATTAATGGTTTCAATAGCCAAAACTACTTAAACTCAATATATTTATTAATATCTTAATAAAGATGTCTAAATTACATATAAAGATAATGATAATTTTAATGGTGATAAAAATAACAATTTTGATTTCTTACCTATATTCTAATCTATTTATTAAATAGCTGAAATAACAACTAAATTAAAAGATGATATATAAAAGAAATATAAGGGAATATAAGATATAAATAAAAAAAAGGAAGATGAAGATGATAGTCCAAAGAAAAAAATAAAATAAATGTATCAAAACCTTGTCTAATAAAAATACTAATAGGTATTGGATCAATTAATATAAGAATAATAATCTACAGAGGGAATGTTATAAAATAATTTTAAATATTAAGGAGTTGTAAATGATTTAATGATTGCCAAGAGTCTTAACTTTGGAAAACTCTTTAGAAAAGCTTATGATTCTAAATTTCATGATATGTTGAATTTTGTAGATATATTATTAAAAGCATTATACCATAATAATATGTAAGCTGCTCATATGGCTTTATTTTTTGCTTAATTAAGAATGAACAAGATCTAAAGAGTTGCTTAATTAAAGATTAATCAATAAATGTATTTATAATCATTAAATACGCATTGGTGTATTGAATTAGATTTTCTCTAATTCTAAGCTATGATTAATGATATTAAAGACATTTGTTAATAAAATGAAGTCAATTATGTGATTTTAATTTTAGCTATGAATGGGAGATTTAATAAACTAAAATTAATATAAGATAGAATGACTAATCAAAATTATATTATTCAAGCTTTGCCAATAGCAGCTCATCAAATCAATACGATTAGAAATGCACTCTATTATGAAAATTTAAATAGATTATTATAAGAATGTGATGTTAAGAGACTCTATCCTGAAGATAATCTTGATTTCTTTAAACCTTCTAAAGATAAGGAAAAACAAAAACAAGATCCTAAGAAACCTTTCGATAAAGCAAAACCAGTTTTTCAAAAGTGGATAATGGTTTAATCAACATTAGTATATATATAAATTATTAATAAAGACTACCCAATTATAATTGATATATAAATATGCTACCAATAGTTACTAGAGAATTAAATCAGAATTCTCTATTCTATCCAAATAATATTAATAATTATGGTATTAGGAATATTCTTATAAATTAAGAAGATTATTTCCAAGATAAAATTTTAGATCTGTCTTTTATTCTTCAAAATAAAAAGAATCAGATTTTGTTAAAACTATAGAATTATTAATTGAGAAAGTACTCTAATTAAAATTGACACCTTCAGATGATTTCTTTAATTATGTTCATGTTCATGATAAGTTTTCTGAATTGTTATCCTAATCTCCAAATTAGAATATTTGTATTGTTTAAGCATTTAAATCAATGATCAATTTATTCAAATATGAATAATCTAATGAAGTCTTATCAAGATGTATCAATTTCTTAAAAAAATACTTAAATTCTAAAATATTTAAAGATTTAAATGAACCTGATACATTTAATAGAGAAAGTCAATTATTAACAAATTATTTATCAAAAAGTGATCCATTATCAACTTAATGTAAATTTGCTTGTGAAGTATTAATTCTAATGGATTAAAATTTCACCACTTAAGAATTCGAAACTCTCAATATTATCTAATAACCATAATAATTAGCAAGTCTATTATTAAAATACAAAACATTAGAAAAGAGAACTTTAGGTTTTATCTAGAAATACTTAAATTCTAATAATAATTAAGCAAAATAAGCTTTACCTTTTAATGAATCAAATATGAGATACATAGTAGATTTGGCAAAGTAAGGAATTAATTTGATAAATGAGAATGCCTTGGAATTCTTTATTACAAAAGGGTTGTTCAATTATTTAAAGGATTACTTTTTAAGTTCATTGAAACCTAAGGGAATGTTAAATGATGATTAGAAGCAATTTTATTTGGGATTTGCATTTTCAAGTGGTTCTTAGGAGACAATCCAATTGTGTTTAGAAGATCTTTGCAGTCTTAAAAGTAGTGAATTGAAGTAATTTATGTTGGAAGGAAATTTATTGGGTAGAGCAATTGCAAAAGGATCTTAAGAGACATTATTATACATTACTAGAAAGATAATGAAATAATTGAGTTTTAATGGCAAAGAGATTTTAAAGTTATTGTTAATATAAGATAATATAGCTGAGCCATTTTAATTAGATAAATAAAAGAGATCTTTATTCACAACAATATTCTTATTAAATTATGATATTTTTTATAAAGAATTTTTTGTGGATTATTTATAAAAGATTTTACCATAAGATTATAAAAATATCATGATAAAAATATTAAATGCTACTGTGTGTAAATTAGATGAAAATAATAGTTGGACTGTATTTTAATTAGCTATAAATTGTGGATTCTTTGATGTAATATAAACAGTGTTGTAATTAAATATAAATATAGATCGATAAGATTTGAAAGATATTACAATAAGTAATTTACCTTAGAAATGGCTATTTTAGACTCCATAATAATTGGAGAATTTATTAAAATAAGAACATTACAAATAATTATATAAATAATCAGCATTAAGATTATATAGAATATGTAAATATCATTTATGCAGATATGAGAAATTAAAAGAATTAGAAATCTGCTTAAATTTAGCTCCTTTATATAATAAGATTGGCCTTTCATTATAGGATCCAATCATAAATATTATTTTGAATTAAGAAATTGATCCAGCAAAATAACCATTAATTTATTTATTAAAATTACATTTAGATTAAGTAGATAAAGCTAATTCATTCATTTTAGTGGAAAGTTTTTGTGATAAACATCCTTAAATAACTCATGATAAGATATATACTCAATTAATCAAAAATAGAGAGGCTTATGAATTATTAAGAATCTTCTATCCAGAATAAAATGAACCTGGGAATGCTAAGTTTGATTTTGATTTACCTTATGCTGATAATTTTGTAAAGGAATATTTGTTATTATAAGATCCAAATTAATTTCAAAGGTTTATTACTACAAATTAATAATTAGTATTTTCATTAAGAGTATTGTATGATAAAAATGATGATTTAGATAAATTCTATAATTCTTTGATTGAACCATAACATATAATTATTTGTGGTTTACTATTATTAATTTTGAATCCCCATAAACATACAGAAGTTGTTCATAGTAAATTTAAATAAGCATTTGAATTAAGAGATGATCCATCTGCCTCTCAGGTGACTAATATATTCAAAGGCATATTGAAATACTTTGAAACAATAGAAAGAACATTTGTATTCTTTTATTCTTTAATATAATCCTTAATGAATAATCAAATATATTAATAACTTATCTAAATTAAACCTGTTGGAGATATGAATAATTAAATTAGTTCTGAAAAGTAGTTTTTAGAAGATATTAAAGATGCTCTTATCTATAATACATTTACACTTTAAGATAATGTTTGGAGTTAAATCTTGGGACAAAGTATAAAAGTATCACATGCACTTCAATCTGATAAATGGTTTCAAGGAGTAATATTATATTTTATTTTTAGTTATGTTTAATTAAATCTTTATTACATGTATGTTATTAAGCAGAAGCCATTATACATGAAATCTAAACATTAAGCAAATTAGATGATTATGTTTCAAGTGACTTTTGGGGTATTTAATCTGCAAATATTGAAATCAGAGTAGAATTATATCCAGCTGATTAAGTTGCTTAACACAAAGTTGTTGTATTCAAACAATCTGAAAATAATACTTGGAAAATTAAATATCCTTTGGGAATGGTTAAAGGTAATAATTTATTTTAATAATTATTAGATACATAATTCATATATCCATCCATATTATCCTCATAGAAAGGAACTGAACATGCAAAAAATAATATTATTTAATAAGTTTACGAATAAATTAAATATGATATACTACCAAAAAGTGAAAATTTCACTTTTGAAGGATATTCTCATGAGAATATTTAACAATTAATCAAAAAAACTCATAAAAATCTTTTCTTAGCAGTTAATTACTAGATATTTTAAGGAGATTCAATTTAGTATAATGGAAAATAATTAACATCAAATTATTTAACAAAAAGAAAAAATAAAAAAGAATTTATTATGATTCCAATTACTAATCAAATTATAATTTAAATTGTTTCCAAAGATGAATTTATAAGAAGAGAAAAGTATTCCTTTTTGTTTAATTAAATTATTGAAGATTCATCAACTAAATATTGGACATATCTAATAGATAAAGAATACATTTAATCAATTAAAGATGATTATATTATAATGGATTTATATGAAATGACTAAAAATAGATTAGGATATCATATTTAATTTTAATCTTTTGTTGAATGTTACTTTAACAAATTAGCTAATGGTCTTGAAAAAGCCACTAAAAAATGTATTTATAAAATTATATATTTTAAGCTATCTCACCTAAAATGTGTGTTGATATAGGTCTTTAATGGGATATGTTAACCAAAGTGATTAAACATATAGCTTCATATATAAAATTTACAGAGAATATTTGTTTTGAAATGGCTGAAATTGATCAAAGAAAAGTAATAATTTTTAAACATTAATTTTTAGTCAATTAATATAAAATTAGAAGGTTTTGACTCTATCTTTAGATTTGGTTAAGCTGAACTTTCAGTATCTAATAACATTTTAGTCATTAAATTAAATATTGCAATGATGAGTAATGGGAACTTTTAACAATTATTATAAACATAAAATAGATCTAAATTAAATAATAATGAAATCAAAGAATCAATAGATATTTAAGTATTTATTTAATATATCTTAATTAGTAATATTTATTGTCTATTTTTAATGAATAATAATTGTCATAATTATGATTTAATAATATATATCTATATTAATGTTATCACATAATCTTATAATCAACCAATAAGAGATAATTTTTTAAGGATTGCTTTTATTCTCTTTTATTCATTCAAAATATTATTTGGGAAATATCTTTTATAATAGCTTCTTGCTTTTTAATAATCAAGTCTTAATTATTATTCATAATAAAGTTCTAAAGTAGTTATGTAAATCAAAAAGGAAAATATATAAAAACATATTCTATTTATAATTTAATAATTTACATTAATTATGTTTCTGTAATTACATAATAAGAAAATATATCTTAGAAATTATTAATCCAAATTGTCCACATTTATTTTCTACTTTCAAATATATAGGGTTATAACTAATAAATATTTATAAATACTAAATTTAAATTATAGATTGAATCAAAAGATATCTCTGTAAACTTTGTTTTGCTTTCATCAAGTTAACTCTCAAAAAGAGTGGCCATTAAATAATAAGTTTGTTATAAACCTCTTTTTAATATACCATCTGCAATATTCTAACAATCACTTAAATTATATAAATTAAGTTATTTGCAAATATCAGAATAAAAGTAATCATCAATCGAAGATTATTTTGATTCAAATCTATTAGAATATGTATCCAAAGAATCTATAACAAATTATTCTAAGTATTCTTCATATTCTTCTGTTATTATATTATGAATATCATAAAAGGTTTCAATATAAAGTTCTTTAGAAAATGTAAATGCCCAAGGACTTGTATTTTCAAAAAGAAAAGGATTCTAAGATAATTCAATTTTTAGTTCATATGCATACTTTTGCATATAAATATTGTAAGTTAAAGCCATCACAATCAAAAGGAACATAAATATAAAGTATAAAAACATCAATCTTAATTTTAATTTAAACCAATAATCAGAAACTATAAATTTAGTAGTTTTTAAAGCCATTGTCATCTTATAATCTACATCAGCTTTTATTAATCCTTCTGATTGAAATGAAATATAATCTAATATTTAATATATTATATATTAATACTATTTGTTTGATATGTCTATATATCATTAAAATAATTAAAACATTATCTAAGTTTTTAATAATATTTTATTACACTCTCAATTGTAGACTAATCAAAATACTAAATTTAACTGTACATTGTTTGATAATAATCTATTATTTTAAATACATTAAAGAAATTAATAGCCATTAATGTCCCTAAAAACATAAAGCCAGATATCATATCAACCAAAAAAAATAACGATCTAAAATCAAATTCTAAATATATTTAATCAAGCAATTAAACTTGTATTTAACTTAAACTTTCATATAATCCTGGCATTAAATCTTATTGTAGAATCTAATAATATTCAAATTCAAAAGTAATTTCTGATAAATTTGAAATAATAAACTATTACAATAAAACTTAAAAATTTTTTATATCTTCTAATAAATTCTATTAATGAACTTCATGATCATGTTCAATTAAAATAGTTGAATAAATGGTTTTTATATTGAATCTACTTATATAAAATTAGTTGAAACTCTAATTAACATTAGATATATCAAACTTAATTTTCTATTCAAATAGATCTTATTTATCATTTATATTTGTATATGAAATTATATTAGAGCATAATGTAGTATTTTTATTACAAAGGGCTATATCAATTAACTGATTATAAACTGCTGAAATTTCTTAGGCAACAAGTACTGTTGTATAACTTGAATTCGCCTAATGATTATAATATTAATTACTTTTAAAAGATATAAATCATTGTAACTAACATTAGGTCCATAAGAAAATGATAACATAGTAAGAAATATCATACCAACCATGAAATATCTATTTGTCCATTTAAAATAATTAATTTTATTTAGATGCTTTTTGATTTTGTTATGATCTTCTTTTATAAATAAATTTTAATCAGGTTTAATTGAAATTTCTTAAGTAATTGAATCATTAAAATCATTTTTGATTTGACTTTCATTTATTAAGTATTTAAAAGGATTAACTGATAAGTTTTCATTTTGAGTAGTTTTAATATCTTTATTAGATGGCATATTGGTATATTTTAAGGAAATTGAATTTTAAAATTATTATTATTTTGGTTATAATTGTATTCTAAGAGTTTTTCTATTTACATCACCTTTAAGTAACATAGATTAACGTTTAGATTTAATATTATTAAAAGTTTCAAATCTATTGATCTTGATTATTTATATTTTATCAATTAATTGATTTTTTTCTAATTTAATTTTTGCATCTACTCTAATTACTTTTTTTAATTGATCTGCTTTACAAAAATATTTACGATAAAGATACCCTTAATAATGAAAAATATATACTATAAACTTCTAATTATGATACTAAACGGATTTTTTTTAAAAAGTTGATTTTTTCAACTAAAATTTTAAAATTAAATACAATTTTCTTTCTTCCATTTCTAATAATAATACTTTATTTTTTCATAATAGAATCTTCTGGATAATCATAAAAATTCTCCTTATCAGCATTAATAATTAAGTTGAAATATTCTGCTTACATTCTCTAATATAACATTGGAATTCTAATCAAAATTTAAAAATATTGTTCATTTTAATTTTAAAGATTAGAATTCAATAATCGTTATCTTTCATCTAAATCATCTTCATGTTCTTTAATAAATTGTTCAGTAAATTGTTTATCTTAATCTACTTCATCAAATACATTATCATTTAGCATGCTCTTTTATCCTAATGATATCAAAAATGATACTTTATAAATCACTCTAAGTTGTTTATTATTTTGAAAGAGCATAATGTTTATTGGTTTAAATTTGAAATAACTAATAATCATCTTTTTCTAATAGAGTTTAATATTGAGAATATAATAATAGTTTAGGACAACTTAATAATAAATTAAATTATTATTCAAACATATTTTTTAATTATTTAGTTGCTTAAACTATTTCCCAATCTTCATTAATAACTAAATAATTGCCTGATGATTCATGTTAAATTGGTCTAATCATTACTATAAATTCTAATAACATAAATTAGTTAATAGATATTTTTAAGTATTTATTTGCAGGAATAAGATATGAATTATGATGTTAAATAAGTACTTTTTTTCTGGTATATAAAGAACTTGTCTTTCCTTTTTCTACAAATTCTTTTACTCTTAACATATGATTTCTAATCATTGAATTAGGAATAATTTAATTAATATTAATTAATCCTTATACTCCAAAGATTTATTTTGAATATTCATTAAATTTAACAATATTTCCATTTTCTTTGGCAAATATAATAGATGTCATGGAATGAAAAACTTTCTTAGGATCAAAAGCTTGTAAAAAATGATTTTCATAATCAGAATCAGAATCCTCATCACAATAATTTGATTAAAAATGATTAGTTACATTATAATCAATAACTTAACCTTTCATCTTTTAATTTAGAATATATCTCTTATACCATAAATATAATAATTCCCATTATGGTTTTTTACTTAAATATTTAATTTCATTTTATTAAATATCAAAGTTTTTATTATAATGATTAATTTTTGACCATAATTTTTCACATTCATATATTCCAATTTATATCTTATTATCTAATTTAAGTAAATCAGATTCATCAATCTTTTCTAAATTAATTGTATTCCAATATTTCAAATAATTTTAAATTAAATCAACTATCTTAATTTTTATTTTCTTTACAATCATTTCTATCTCTATTACATATTCAAAATCTAGATAATTACGATAGCTATTTGAATTCTAAATCTTTATTTTATTTTCCATCATCATTAATAATAAATGAAAATCTATTTTCTCAAAAAAAGATAATTTTTTAAATTTTTATTTTAAAATTGACATTTACAATAAAGCTTATGATTTATTTTAAATTGAAAAAAATAAATGTCTAGCATATAAAAATCTTATATAATGATTATCTTTATTCTAAATTAAACATTGTTCATATAATGATTAAATCTCAAATCTGAAGAATGATTTATAATTTTATTATACTTTTGATTTTTAACTATTTACAAATACTTTTCTTCTAGCATCATAAAATTAATGTTATTAACAATAACAATATCCTATTGAATTATTATCAATTAAAGGATCACTTTATTAATCTAAATTCTATTATTTCCTTTCCAATTTAGAAATACATCCTTTTTTTAAATGTTTCTCTATTAATCCTATTATTATATATTTCTTATCTACTGATGAAGTATTTAATTAATATAAATAATAAATTTTATTCAAAATTAATTAACTTGATATTCTATCTTACATTAAATAAAACAATATTATTTTATTTTAGAAAATGTTTCCCAAAATATTCAAAAATATTATTACTATGATTATGCATAAGAAATCATTAACTTCATAATTTAAATGTAAAACCAATAGTTCTATTAAAAATATTAACAAAACACCCAATAAACTAAACATTAAATGTTAATAAAATTAATTTAACCTATAATAATAAAATGATGGCCTCTCCTTTCCAAAAAATTAGTTTTCCAATAATTTTAAAACAAATAATATTAAAATAACCAAATATGATACCTAATATTTCTTAATTATTTTACATAATGAGAAGTAGATTAAATATGAATACTATTGAATATAGCTATTATTATTTTCAATATACAAATATTCAACATTATCTATTTATTACTGCAACTTAAGAAATCTATTCTAAAGTTGATATTTTAATAAAAAAATAGCAATATTGAAATAATCATTATTGTATTTACAAATAACCCAAATAACGATAGTGCAAATAACAAAGCAACATTCGTATAATTTTCTTCTAACATTTAATCCCAATTCAAAATTTAATTATTTAGTAGTATAACTTCTAGTTGAGCTTAAATTAATGGTTAGAATAAACACCAGTAATATATATCGATTAATTAAGTATAAAGCTATATGCAAACATTAATTTTTACTTTTAAACAAGTCGATTGATTTTTCTCATTTCTTTCTTTTTTGTTACTCATCACTCCTAAAATGAAATATGTTAATGGAAAACAAAATCCCATGATTAATATCGTTGTTAATATTATTGTACTTTGTTGACACAATTTCTCAACATCTATGTAAGTTGGGATTTATAAATACTCATCCACTCTACCTTATCTTTAATTCTAATCTTCTTATTCCCTATATTCCATTTCTCTTAAAATAATCTCAAATTTTACAAACTAAAAACACCACAGTAAATTTATAGCAATCCTATACCAACTAAACAAAATGCTTTTGTTTTTGAATTTTTTTTCATACTCCGAACTTTAAACAAATAACTACAGAATTTTTTCATAAAAATAATCTTAAGTCAAGACTCTACTTTGTTTAAAGTATTTTATATTAATAAATGCATAATTAATCCAATTATTTCAAAACAGAATTATATCATATAAAATGTTGGCTTTGCAAAACTTGTGATAATAATTAATTTGATTTATTATTTTCTTCAAAATTTTCAACAAATATTTAAAGAAATCATATAATTTTCGAAAAGATGGAAATACATAATTTTTAAGTACTGTTATTTCAACAATCAACTTATTTTTCTTTTTTTACATTCAAACATTATTATTAAATATTTTTAATTATTACAACCTAAATACTATATTGTAATTTTCTTAAAACAATCATTTTTTTAGCTTTAAAAAAATTAATTTAATAGATAGATATTATTATTTTACTTAAAATACCTTTAATAAACTACAGTATTATTGAGGAACAATATTATTATGATGATAAACTTTAATTAAATAATTAAATTGTTTTTGTATTACTCTACATAATTATTATATGCAATCAGCTCATTAGATTATAAAACTATTAAATTCATTATTTTTTATTATTCTAATTTATTTATGATTTTAAAAAGGAAAAAAAGATTATATGTATGCAAAGCAACCATAATAAAGACAATAGATAACATAAGATGATGAAATTCATTAAATTTGATGATCATTAAGACAATAATATATTTAATTTATAGTTTTATGTTTTTGAATGTTTTGAATCATTAAGGTTATTACAAAGAAAACAATAAGAAAATGGGATACTTTAATATCTATTTAAATGTATGATTGTGATTGTTAAGTAAATTAATTCTTATATTCGATTTGGTTTCTTAAGCCAGGTAATTTCTATTCATCTAATAGAAATAAGTTTCAATAATTTATATATTAATAATATATAATATTATTTTTTAATTGGATTATGAAAAACTCAAAAAAGACAAATAAATTTTAAATTCACAGATAATAACATCAGATTCATTTATAAAATGTTATATATCCAGAAACAAATAATAAACCACTTTGTAAACTTTTCGAAAATAACAACAATCAATAAACAATCTCGAAAGAAGTAATCAATAAGAGCAAATCTATTATGGCTTGCAAAAAATCATTATAATTATTAAGTTTGATATTATAATAATAATCACAAAGGTAACTTAAAAAAGTTAATCTTAATCAACCAGCTGTTTATAAAAGTTTAATAATTAGAAGGTCATTGCCGGCTGTAAAGCCAAGTAATTAGCCAATTATCTCATGTAGAGAGAAGAAGTCATATTCAGTATAATAATCAAGAAGATATTCAAACTCATAAAATAAAATTAATATATCAATGCGTGAAACAAAATTAGGACCATGGGAAGAAGAATGACCTACTAATCATCAATATAATTTTTTTATTACCATATTTAATACAATTTACATTTAAATTTCTATAGTGGCAACATTTTAATTCTTCTCAAAGATAAATTTTATTATTGTATAATAACCTCTGTAACTTAATATAAGAATTAAGATTACTTTAGCATATGTATTATAGATTGTATTCAATTATTAAAAATAAATTTATGACCTTACCCTTAACATATAATTAAAACAAATTAACAATTTAATACATTATTTTTCAAATCATGCAAAGAGTAGATAAATTGTCTCTTTTAATTCTAATAATATTTACATTTTATAACTACTAATCAATACTTAAAATTGATGCCAAAACTTAATAGTTTAATTACATAATCTCCTTTTGGAATTACCAGATATAAAAACTTCCATTTTTTATTTACTCTTATTAATATTATTATTATAATAATAAGGTTTATCAAAAAGAACCTTGAAGATAGTTTAAATTGGTCAATTTTTTTTTGAAAATAACAAAATTGAAAAGGCAGCTAAAAGTTTGGAAGAATATTTAAATTATTATAGAATTTTTGGTATGATGATAAATTGAATTTTTCAATAGAAGTTTTAAAATGTTTAATAAATCTTCTAGTAAGTAATTACAGATATAGATTAATAGGAATAAATATATTAATATATTAGAATATTGCTTACTTTTATAATATTACTATTATAAACCTATCATCATTACTTTACTAAATAAATTATCATTTCCTTCTAAAATATAATGAATTTTCTATATATATATTGTTTAATTGATAATAATTGAAGAATTCTCAATAAATAAATTTATTTTTCTGATTAAGATTTAAACTATATGGATTATTATTTAATTTTTATAGAAGCAAAGTTTATTTTTATAGTTAAAAATAGTTGTTTGCGAGAATTAGATTAATTTATTGTAAAATGTTTGCTATTATTGTGATTATATAATTTTTTAGAAAAGTCGTCATCTATGTTATCATCTAAATAACACAACAATAATTCAAAAATAACATTTATGAATTCAAGTATACATTTCACATTCATATATAAATTTATATTATGTGAATTTTAAAGTATCAGGAATGGTTTTATCAGAAAAGAAATAAGAATTTTGCTTAAAATAATATATTTAAATAGAAATAAAGTGATTAGTATTGGAAAAATGGCAATATTCAGTCAGCAAAGAGTAGCGAACGTTTTTTCATGAGAGTACTGTTATTTGTGTTAGATAATGAGATAGTTTTTGAAAACTACAGAAATATTAAAATATATTACCAATTTTTGTTTCAATGAAAGGTTGTACATTTCCTCTTTGAGAGTAGGATTTGTGAAGGATTAAATATTTAAATCATTTAAGTATTGACAGATTCTTTCCTCTAGATCATTAACCTCTTCAGCTGCATCATAGCTTGAAGTTCTGCTTAGACTATCTTCAGTAGTCCAAGATTATCTTAAGCTATCTCCATCTGAATTCTCATTCTAAAATCCGCCTTTTAGCAAGTCCATCTTTATAACAAAAGATTTAATTAACTATATAAATAATACAAATTCCAGAGATTATTTGATGCATTTAATACAGAATACTTAATCTCGCATCTTATACCATCTTATCCAATTAAAATATCAATTATTCATAGGATTAATCTCAATTTGAATGATCAAGATAATAAACTAAAATATTTATGAATTTATTATTATTTATTAAGAAAATGTCATTGTAATTTAATGAAAATAGTATTACTAATATGACTTAAATATTCATACAATTAGTATAATAAAACTTAGATGAATAATAATAATATTATAATCGATTAATTCTATGTTGTTTAATAAAAAAAAATTATTATTTAATTAAAGGAAAGTTGGTATTAATATAAAATATGACGACATATTTCTGCAGATCTTGAAACATATAAAATTATGTTATGATATTATTATTAAATGATAAGACTAAATTAGTTGGCAGGTTAGGTAAAAGAAAAGAAGGCTTAAATTGATCCAATGGAATATTTGTCATTATATGATTTATTGACACCTGAAGAATTGGAAGTTCGAAAGGCGGTTGAAGCATTTGTTGCCAAAGAAGTTATAGAATATATAAATTATGTAGGTTACTCCAAAAATAAACGATTATGTTGAAGCTGCTTAATTCCCCACAGAAATAGTTAATGCTGTAAAACCATTAAAATTATTCCATCACTTTTTAAATAAGCCATATGGTCATGGAACTTCTTATACTAAATAAGGAATAATTTTAATGGAAGCAGCAAGAGCAGATGCAGGTTTTGCTACTTTTATTGCAGTTTAGTAAGACTTTATTTAGATATTAGAAATTTGTTATTAAATTATACATTAGAGAAGTTTGGAAGCGAAGCTTAAAAACAAAAGTATTTAACAAGAACAAGAGATATTGAATATATAGGTGGATGGGGATTAACAGAAAAAGGATATGGATCTGATGCTTCTAGTCTAACTTCAAATGTAAAAAAGGTTTAAGGAGGTTATATTTTAAATGGTGATAAAAGATGGATTGGCAATGGAAATAAAGATGTATTGATAGTTTGGGCAAGAAATTTAGACACAAATAAAGTAGAAGGATTCATTGTTGAAACAAAATGGCCTGGATATCATGCAGAAGTTATTCAAGGCAAATTAGCATTAAGAATAGTTTAAAATTGTTAAATCACATTTACAAATATATTTATACCTGATGAAAATAAATTAGAATCAGTGACTGATTTTTAAAATGGACCTAATTAAGTACTTATGCATTCAAGAGTAATTGTTCCATGGATAGCCTTAGGAGTTATGAGAGGTGTATATGAACATTCATTAAAATGGACAACAACAAGAAAACAATTTGGAAAATATTTAGCATCATTTTAATTATAATAAGAAAGATTGGTGAGAATATTGTCAACTTTCTAAGCATCATTTTTAATGGTATTGAGATTATCAAGATTGGCTGCTGAAGGCAAGGCTACTATAGGTATGATCTCTAGTGTTAAGGCTTGGGTAACTGATAAAACAAGAGAAGTAGCAAGACTTGGAAGAGAAATGCTTGGTGGTGATGGAATCATTTCTGATAATTATGTTATTAAAGCATTAACAGATGCAGAAGTACTTTATACATATGAGGTGAATTCAATATTCTATTTTAGGGAACTTATGATATTAATAGTTTGGTTGCAGGCAGAGAAATAACAGGAATTGGAGCATTTAAATGAATTATTAAATTAAGATAAATCATAATTCATAATAGAAAATTCATTAATTTTTAATTAATCTTTTCTATCTTTGATATACCATATGGAATTAAAGTTTAATTTAAGAATACTTTTAGATCTGCTTCTGCTTAAAATTAACAGACTAAATCTTCTGATATTTTTAAAAATTTCAACAAAATTTACAATAAAATTGCTAAATATTAAATAATAATTGTACATTCTCCTTCAAAAAGAAAGACATCAAATAATCTATTAAAATCTTCCTTTTTTAATTATTTTTAAAAGAAAAATAACAATGGAACTTCAATTAAATCACTTATTTTAACATTAAGTTACTAAATCAAAGAATTAATAGAAGGCATAAGTGTATTTTAAAATTTTTCTGTTTCTATAAAACTTACATTTTATTTTAAAATTCTTCTGTAATTCAAATGGAATAATATATGAATAGTCATCCAAAATACCATCTATTCATAAAAATCACACATTCTATTAAATTAATTAAAAGAGTAATCAAGATTGATATATTATTCTGGATCCAATTATTATACTAAATATTCAATAATTTGATCAATTCCTTTTATAAATCCAATCTCAACATCATAATTAGCATATGCTCTTAATATATCAAAAACTAAATCATTGTACTTCAATTTAAATCAAATATAATACTTTTTTATCTAATTGTTTAATACACTTAAATATTTATGGATCATATTGAGACTCGCAAGACTTCAATTTTTAATAAATGTTTGATGTATGTTTTTTCATTTGTGTATTTTTTATGTCTGTTATCCAAAACCAAGTGGCTGGTCTTAAATTACATAGAATCCCAAATCTTATATTTCTTTTTAATTCATCTCTCAAATTAGTGACTCAAATTTACAATTCAATTTGATTCAAATTCTTCGTTTATATGATCATTTGCCATTATATTCCTGACCATGGTTTCTTTTCATATTAATTATTATCATAATCAATTATAATCATATTGCTTTTATCAATAGATTCATCAAAAGAATCCTTGTTTTCAAAATGACATAATACCTCATCATTAGATTTACAATTCTGCAATATGAATCTTTCTACCATTTCTTTTTTTGAATTTTTTTTTTCCATCTCATTATTGTCCCGTTTTTTCCTTCCTAAACAACAAAACATTATTAATATAAAATTTTAATAATAAAATGAAACGATAGAATTCTGCAAACGCCACAACAACAAGTCCAAGTAAATTCTTCTCCAATACTTCAAACCAATTTTCAGAAATACTTAAATAAATTACTTAAAATTCTAATAATAAACCAATGAGAAAAGCTTGCAGTCCAAACTCGAACAATCAAATGCAAAAAAGAGTAAAAACATAAATTACTAGTATATCTCGAAATCCTAATTTAAATATTCATAATAAAAACATTAGTGCAAGTGTTCCTAAAAATAAACTAGAATATTATTAGGTCTTAGAATAGATTGGATCAGGAAAATTTGGTAAAGTTTATAAATGTTTACTCAATTAAACTAAAAAATTATATGCAATCAAGATGANAAATTTTTCTGTTTCTATAAAACTTACATTTTATTTTAAAATTCTTCTGTAATTCAAATGGAATAATATATGAATAGTCATCCAAAATACCATCTATTCATAAAAATCACACATTCTATTAAATTAATTAAAAGAGTAATCAAGATTGATATATTATTCTGGATCCAATTATTATACTAAATATTCAATAATTTGATCAATTCCTTTTATAAATCCAATCTCAACATCATAATTAGCATATGCTCTTAATATATCAAAAACTAAATCATTGTACTTCAATTTAAATCAAATATAATACTTTTTTATCTAATTGTTTAATACACTTAAATATTTATGGATCATATTGAGACTCGCAAGACTTCAATTTTTAATAAATGTTTGATGTATGTTTTTTCATTTGTGTATTTTTTATGTCTGTTATCCAAAACCAAGTGGCTGGTCTTAAATTACATAGAATCCCAAATCTTATATTTCTTTTTAATTCATCTCTCAAATTAGTGACTCAAATTTACAATTCAATTTGATTCAAATTCTTCGTTTATATGATCATTTGCCATTATATTCCTGACCATGGTTTCTTTTCATATTAATTATTATCATAATCAATTATAATCATATTGCTTTTATCAATAGATTCATCAAAAGAATCCTTGTTTTCAAAATGACATAATACCTCATCATTAGATTTACAATTCTGCAATATGAATCTTTCTACCATTTCTTTTTTTGAATTTTTTTTTTCCATCTCATTATTGTCCCGTTTTTTCCTTCCTAAACAACAAAACATTATTAATATAAAATTTTAATAATAAAATGAAACGATAGAATTCTGCAAACGCCACAACAACAAGTCCAAGTAAATTCTTCTCCAATACTTCAAACCAATTTTCAGAAATACTTAAATAAATTACTTAAAATTCTAATAATAAACCAATGAGAAAAGCTTGCAGTCCAAACTCGAACAATCAAATGCAAAAAAGAGTAAAAACATAAATTACTAGTATATCTCGAAATCCTAATTTAAATATTCATAATAAAAACATTAGTGCAAGTGTTCCTAAAAATAAACTAGAATATTATTAGGTCTTAGAATAGATTGGATCAGGAAAATTTGGTAAAGTTTATAAATGTTTACTCAATTAAACTAAAAAATTATATGCAATCAAGATGATAGATAAACTATATTTAAAAAAGAATTAAATGCTACATTAATTACATAGAGAAGTTGCTATTTAATAAATGTTGAAACATCAAAATATTATTCAGTTAGTCGAATTTTTTGAAACAACTAACAATTATTGTCTCGTATTAGAATATGCTACTGGTGGTACTCTCTTTTAATCATTAATGAAACAAAATAATAGAAGATATTCAGAACCAGCAGCATCAAATATTATTAAATAAGTTGCGTGTGCAATTTAATAAATGCAACAATAATCCATCATCCATAGAGATTTAAAACCTGAAAATATTTTATGGTGTAATGGCTAAATTAAAATCAGTGATTTTGGTTGGTCAGTATAAGATAAAAAAGAAAGAGATACATTATGTGGTACCATAGATTATCTTTCACCTGAAATGGTATTTGGATAATAATATGATAATTCTATTGATCTATGGTCTTTAGGAGTACTTACCTTTGAATTAACCACAGGAAGAACTCCTTTTTAAGTTCAGGAGGGCTTTACTTTATAATTCCCAGACTATTTATCAGGGGATGTTAAAGATCTGATGAAGGGATTATTAACTGATAAAAAAAACAGAAAATCCATCGAATGGGTATTAAATCATGTCTGGTTAAGTTGATTAATATATATATATTTGAGAATTTTCACTAATTTCTCTTCAGTTTGTATTTTCATTCTGTAATCATTGTATTCCAAAATAACTTATTTCTTAAACTATTTATCCAATCTCTATAATTTGTTTAGTCTTTTTCAATTACTAGATTTAATAGATAATTTACAATCAATTCCATAAGAAGAGTTCTTTATCTCAAATATCATATCCTTACTGAATTCAAATGTTTATTAACCATCAGCACTAATGACTCCATTGGATCTACTTATATTTGATAATTTTATTGTAATATTTATACAAGGAGGTAATATGATTGGCCTAAAAGATAATGATAATGGACAAATAGGGACTATAGAGATTGAATGAACATCACTTTATATGATAGGTCCTCCTGCAGATAAAAAATAAGCAGTGGATCCTGTAGGAGTAGAAATAATAATCCCATCTCCTGATGATATTGTTAATAAGTTGTTATTGATATATATTTCTATAAATAAAAAATTCGTATTCGATTCTCTAGAAATAACAAACTCATTTAAAGCATGATATTAAAATTTTATTAGATTTCCTTATTTTAAAATTCCTTCAATTCTTATTTTTCTTTTAGTATTAAATTTACGATGTATTCGAAAATGATTAATTTGATCTTCTAATATTTTATCCATATTATTTTTTTCAAACTCGCAAAAAAAGGAATTAGCTCTTACTTGAAATGTTAGAATAGGTGGGATTTTTTAAGTTTAGAGTTATTTTAAAATTTGTAAAATATTTCCATCACCTCCTAATATAATTATTAAAGAAATAAAGTATAATTAGTTTAATTTTAGTATAAATTTTGATTTATTAAGGAAATGTTAATTTTAATCTAGCAATTGATCTTCTATGAAAATATTACACTTTTCTTTGCATAACTTTATAATGAGCTTTTCTAATAATTCTTTGCATTCTTCATCTATATTTGAGTAAATCAAGATATTAATTACTCCTTCTTATGAAAATTTAGCATATTATTTAGAACTATACAAATATTCTGATATAATACTTTGGATGTTAGTTTAAATCTAATAATTGATAAAAATCTGATGATATTTTCTTGTCTTTAAGCTACTAACCATTTTCGCAGTTACTTTAAACAACTTCTATTATTTAAGTAAAAGTACAGTCTTGTTCATCTGCTTGCATATCTTTAAGAACAACTTAAAAAATAGTTGGGAAGTTGAATTTAGGGATAGTGATTTGATTCTTTTATACTTTTAATAATTATGACATTAGGAATGTATTAGAATTTCTCTTCTTAATTATATTATCAAATTGATGCCTTTTTTTAGAGAATATTAATATGAGTACTTAAGATAAACATGGAACATGCGAATATTCAAATTTTAGATATAATTCTGTAATTAATATAAATGATTTTGTCTATCAAACATTTATGTTTTGATTAATAAAAAAATTTTATTATAAACTAATATTCTTCCAGTGTAAGAAAATAATATCATAATAAGCTAATCAATATTAATATTTAAATATAAATTTTAATTCTGCTTTTTGAGGATTATGACATTTAGATTTTTTGAATTTACACTTGAAATTAAAAAAATGGAAATATTACTCTATTCTGAATCCTATTCATGTTATATATTCAATTTTAAAGAATTACTTTTAACTACTCAATAATTTTTACGAATATTTATATGCGATATTTTTAATTCATCCTAGGGCAGAAGACAATGATTAAATGATCTATTAATAGAAAGAATGATAGATCATTAATTATCTCTGAACTTCTTCAGTTTTATACTTCCGAATAAGAATTAATTTAAGTATCAGATAGTTTAAAAGTCAGAAAATCCTAATTATTTAATGGAGACTATTTTGTAATTTCTTATCTAGCATAACTTTATTTTCGTTTAACTATGTACATTATCTGAAACTAAAGATTTGAGCCCAGGAACTTGAATGGAGGCATTGCCAAAATAAATACTAAGCTTTTTACTTGAAATTCCTTGATAGCTTTTATCAAAATTCAATACAATTCTAAGTTTGAATGTAGGGATTCTATCATATCTTTCAGTTATCCTTAAACCTAATTTTAATGTGTACTTGCTTAACCGCATAAGGTTGATAAGTTCATTTATTTGAAGTTATAAACCATAAGATGAATCCCAATATTTTATTAAAGTTTATTACTATATAATTGAAATTTGATATAAATTCTAAAACTAATAATACCTTTTCTACAAAAGGTTATATTATTATTATTTATATCTACAGCATAATAAATCATATTCATATTGAAGATTTTTCTTAAAAAAAATTATAATAAGAAATATTTAAATATAAATCTCAAAAGATTTTTTTTATCCTCTAAGGTGGAAATTTAAGACTAATCCTTGTTTTCTTCTCGTTACATCCAATTGTTGGTAATTGACAAGGAAGAACAAATACTCTTTTTTTTTTATGCGGTGTAAGTATCTTATGTAAACAATTATTTTACAAACTATGTTCTCTTTTAAAGATTCTTTAAAGAATGAATTCTTTAAGTTAATGAACCATTCTAAATTTTTGGTCCAATTCTGCAAACATTATTAAAATCATCTGAAAAAGGTGGCATTTTAGTTTCATAACTGTTTCGTCTATTCTCATTATGCTTTTTTTAACATAATTTCAAAATTTATCCATCTTTTACAAAACCTTGCATATTATATTTAGATTATAATTAACATTAATTTTTTCATATAATTTATATATTTATATCAATTATGAAAGAACCTATTCTTATTACCCTTATCGTTTAAGCGGATAAAGAAAATGATTTTATAGTTTAATTCCCTTTGAAAAAGGTCAACTCTATGTGTTAAATTGAAAGAGAAAGATTATTAAGATTTCTTATTAAATAACATAAAATTTAAGCATAAGATAAAACTAAAGTAATTCTTGGTAAAAATTATTTACTAAATTAGAATTTTATGATTTCTAAAATGAAGCATTCATCTAAGAAAAATAAGTTACAATAAAAAACAATACATTTTAATTTTCAGAAAAATTTTTAGGATCTCCTGAACAACTAGTTTTAATTGTAGCCATTTTTTACAATTTCAGCTACTCAAAATTAATAGAAATCGATTAGGCAATTGAAATGTTTGAAATTGACAAAAGATAATTTTAAGAGCAGAATAAATAATAATAAAACTAATTTTAGGAATATGCATAACAGTTCTAAGAAATGAAAAATACTTTAGATGATATATAAAATCAGCTTTCAACTTAAAAATCGTAAAAGCAAATAGAAAAGGCTGATATTGTAATTCTGTATAGTAATCCAATTATTAGAGTTAATAATGGAATAAAAGAGTCTTTATTTGTAGATTACTAATCAGAAATAGATAAAATTGTTGAAGCTATTGCCCAATCTAATAAACCTATAAGATATTAAGTTTTGAATGCTACCCTAAGCAATCTGGAATTGGCAATTAATTTACATCCAATTATCATACATGTGATTTCACACGGAGATTATGATGAAAAATCTGCCTCTTTGTATTTAGAATTCTAGGATGATGGCATTTCTACAAAATTAAAAACCGATGAAATTTAAAATATGATTTAAAACCACAAAGCTATGACAAGAATCAAACTCATATGCATTAGTTCAATTGTGGCAAAAAATATATCTGATTATATACCGAAAGCCATCCCAACTGTAGTTTTCCAAAAATTTTACAATTCAGTGGATCTTGAAGGTCCGATTTTTTGGGGAAAATTTTATGAAAAAATTTTAGCTGATTTTACCATTTAAAGTGCCTATGATTAGGCAAAAAAAGATCTTAAACTCAAATTTTGGAAAAATGATTCCAAATTTATTTGTTGTTGCTTCCACAAACACAATGAAAAATGTCCTTATGATCCTGCTTCTATAGGATTTGAAGTTTCCCATAGTTAACATCTTTCGTGTGTTTAATAAAAATGGTTGCACATATTGATATCCTACCTACCCCACACTACAGTAGATGAAGAATAATGTGAATTAAGTTGTTTAGGAAGGTTAATTCATAAATGTACAAATTAATGTGATAATTATGCTAATCAAATTGACACTATACTTCAAAAATTATAAATAACTTAGATTGATCAAGATACTTTGTATGCAAACCTTTAGAGTATTGAGAATAAGCCTTATGGTTGCTGTTGCGATTAATTAAATGCCATATTAGAGACGATTGAAAACAGTAACTAAAACTTAGCTAAATAATAGCATACTTATGATTAAAAAATTGAATTGCATCTATTTGATGAAAATGCAAATAATTTAAATTTCTCTGAAAAAATTGAAAATAATTAAGAACAACACACAGATATTAATTTTATCAAAGTTGATAAATAGATTATTTTAGTTCATTCTTATAATTTATAAAATACTGATTTGTAAGAATAATCCTTAAAGGCTATATCTTCTTACTTTAAAGTAATATTAAATATATCTTTTAGGTTTATTTGAAATAAATGTCAATTAAAAAACAGATTCAAAAAGTTTAAATTAATTTAAAAGATTGTAATATAAATAATTGGATAGAATATGTGGCAAACCAATTAAATTTTTAATATTCTAATAATTAAGACTTTTTTATCAAATTAAAAGATTATTTCATCACTCTCAAAAATCAAGTTCAATATCTGTACATTTTTCTTATTGAAAATATAATCAATATTTACGCCTCTGATTAATTTAAGATGTTTTACGAATAAATTTAAAATGTAATTGAGAGTCATTTCATACTTGTTTTTACTGTTGATAATGTCTAAAAAGATCATTTAAAATCACTTACCGCCGATAAATTAATCTAATTGATAGATTTAAATCAGTTATATAGTTTAATTGAAATAGAAAATGCCTAAAAATGAGTATTATTTTTAAATAAATAATATAACTCTTTTTTATTTAATGTTTTTTGTCACTTAGTATAAATTAAGTAAATTTATTAGTGATATTAAAATTTATGCCAAAATTGTTTTAATAATTTATAATTTAAACTATAACTAATAATAATATATATTATTAAGAAAACTTATATTTCATATTAAAATAATTTTTCATTTATTGAGAATTATTGTTTATGCTTATATCAAGAAACTATTCAATTCACGTCACCAATCTAAACTTAAAAATCTAGCAGCTCATTGACTAATCTTATTTAGAGAATCATGGTGTTTTTCTAATTTTATATTATAATTTAAACTTATTCAAAAGTATACATCTCACTTTTCTTTGAAGTTAGGTAAAAATGAAGAGAGCATAGTTAAATCTTTCTTCAATTAATCTTCGATTAATACTTTGGTCGAAGCTTTAATATCGTGTTTGATTTTTACTCTTTAAGAGAATATAACGTAATATTTAATTATATGTAAAAATATGGTAATTGATTTTCGCTCCCGTCTAAAATATTGTTTATTAAATATTAGTGCAGATTTTTCAATTCATGAAAATTCTATACTTTAATATTGATTTTAAGCAATTTATTATGTTATCTAGAAATATTTAGTAAGATTTCTCAAACAATTTTTCATTATTATTTGTATCTTTTTGAAACACTTTCGATTTAATAAGAAAATAAGTTATATAAAAATAATAATTTTGAAGAATTTATATTTTATAACATCTTATTTAAATTCATAATTCATAATTTTTAATTTTAATTTATTTAAATTAATAAAAATTTAAAATTTACTTTACATATGATTTTAATAAAATAATAAATAATGTATTTAAATACATTGGATTTTAATAAAATCATTAATTATTAAAGTATAAATTACGGCAAATATAAAATAGAAAAAATTGTAGAGTATTTATTCATAATTGATTTTAATATAATTAGGAATCATTATTAAAATATATAATTTAAATTAGCTGATCTTCAAATCTTTTCTCTCATTTGTGACTTTGATGTTTTTATGCAATTACTCCTAGAGTTCTTGTTTGGTAATCTTTAATTCGGATGCTATTTATGAGTAAATATCATCAGAAATTGATCGTTAAATATTTTTTTCCTTATTTTCATAATTGGCCTGAAGAGTCTTATTAGTCTAAGCTAGTGACTCAAGAGCAATATGGTTGTTTCTATTTGCATCATAAACCTTCACAAATTGTTAAATAAGGGTACCCAATAGGTTTTCGAAAAATACCAAAAAACATTTTCCCAAAAATCTAAGGAATTGCTTCCTCTTAAATCGTGTTCATTGCAGTCTAACATAGTTAAAATTGTGGACGGAGCATCTGAACGATGTCTGATTATTGATTTAATGGCGGGTAAGGTTAATTTATTAGGTGCTATTATTCTATTCTCATTAATATATCAAATGATATTTAATTAATTATTTAAGTATATACTTTGAATGATTAAAAATTGAATAAAATCTTAGAAATACCTTTTTTATATGATTTTTATAAGATCATTAATTATTATTAAATAAATTAGTACAATTATGTAATTTGAATGATAATAAATTGAAGTAAATAGTAGAAATACTTTAAGATTTGATTTTAAAAGGATCATTAATAAATATTTAAGCTTATAATTTGAATTATTATTAATTAAATTAAATCTTAGAAATTTTATATTAATAACATACTTATATATTATTAATTGAATAAAATCTTACAAATTTGATATTAATAAGATATTTAATTATAATTTAAGTTTATAATTTTGAATTATTATTAATTGAAGTAAATCTTACAAATTTTATATTAATAACATACTTAATTATTATTTAATGATGGAACTTGAATTGTTATAAATTGAAGTAAATAAAAGAAATACTTTTTAGATTTGATTTTAATAAGATATTTAATTATTATTTAATTATGTAATTTGAATTATTATAAATTGAAGTAAATATTAGAAATGATTTTTGATTTGATTTTAATAAGATATTTAATTATTATTTAAGTATAATATTTGAATTATGATTAATTGAATTAAATCTTATAAATGTTATATTAATAACATACTTAATTAATATTTAATCATGTAGCTTGAATTGTTATAAATTGAAGTAAATAATAGAAATACTTTTTAGATTTGATTTTAATAAGATATTTAATTATTATTTAAGTATATAATTTTAATTATGATTAATTTAATTAAATATTAGAAATACTTTTTAGATTTGATTTTAATAAGATATTTAATTATTATTTAAATATATAATTTGAATTATTATTAATTGAATTAAATATTAGAAATAATTTTTGATTTGATTTTAATAGGATATTTAATTATTATTTAAGTATATTATTAATTTATCTAAATATTAGAAATACTTTTTTGATTTGATTTTAATAGGATATTTAATTATTATTTAAATATATAATTTTAATTATGATTAATTGTATTAAAATTTAGAAATGCTTTATTAATTTGATTTTATAAGATATTTAATTATTATTTAAGTATATTATTAATTTATCTAAATATTAGAAATACTTTTTTGATTTAATTTTAATAAGATATTAAATTAAAATTTAAGTATATAATTTTAATTATGATTAATTGAATAAAATCTTACAAATTTTCTATTAATAATTTACTTAATTATTAATTAATGATGTAATTTGAATTATTATTAATTAAAGTAAATAATAGAAATACTTTTTAGATTTGATTTTAATAAGATATTTAATTATTATTTAAGTATATAATTTTAATTATGATTAATTGAATAAAATCTTACAAATTTTCTATTAATAACTTACTTAATTATTAATTAATGATGTAATTTGAATTATTATTAATTAAAGTAAATAATAGAAATACTTTTTAGATTTGATTTTAATAAGATATTTAATTATTATTTATGTATATAATTTGAATTATGATTAATTGAATTAAATAATAGAAATACTGTTTTGATTTGATTTTAATAAGATAGTTAATAGTTATAAACGAGTACAATTTTAATTAATATATTGTTAATAAATACTTTTCACACATGAATTAAAAAAAATTATTAAAAATTTATTACATTATATAATTATTTAAATAATAATATTTAAATTATGGTGCATTATTAATTTATATTTGATTTAATAAAAAATCAATCAGTAATTATTTAAATATATAATTCTTATAAAAAATAAAATATAAGATATATACATTTGGCTTTCAAAGTTAATTTTTTCATTACTATTTTTATATGTTTATATATTTTACGTAATTCTTATTAATCATTATTTTTAAAGTATACATTCAGAATTGAGTTTCGTAAAAATGGTATAAGAAAATTAATATTCAAAAGATAATGTTCTAGTTTCAAGCTAATAAGAAGAGGGGCTAGCCCACAATTTTTAAAGTATAACAGGGTTAAGAACCTTTCCTTAAACTAATTTTTAAAGTAACTAAAAAATTCTTTCTTTAACATAAATATATATTATCCTTAGAATTATAACTTACTAATTATTTACATATGAGGATGATATTCTATAAAATTAATATGATTTAAACAATAAAGACGCAAATTTTTGAATAATAGGATGTTTTATATAAATTGATAATAATTTGAAATAAATATCATTTTTATTAAAGTTTGGTATAATTATTATTTATAGTTTATTATAATTGTTTTTAAGGTTATATAAATTCTTTTAGAAGATTATACTAAATTAAAACGTTCATATCATTGTTAGACTAAATATATATTTGATTTTGATGAATTATATACCCTTGAAATACTTTTTAAATTATGTTTTTTGACTAATGGATATCCATTAGTCAAAAACATAATTTAAAAAGTAGTTCAAGGGTATTTCATAAGATCATACTTTAAAGTGATATTATTATGTTTGATTTTCTAACGACACTATGATGTATATATCCCTGCTATCTCATTAATTATTTTATTAAGTATTACATAAATAACATAGTTATTGAAGACTTTCTAATGGTTTGTTAAATTACAGATTATATTGTGTTTTTATATAATTGTAAAAAATAATTATCTGTTTTGTTAAATGATTATTTTTATAAATAATAAATTAATATATATATAAGATTAATATAAACAAAAATAACGAACATTTAATTAACAAATTGATATCAATATTTGTTTATTAAAAGATATAAAAAATTCTAGAAATTTTTGATGCTTTTTAGAACAATACAATTTGAGTGAGATATAATAATGGATAACTTTGTTTATTCTAAGAAATAGAGTAATATTAATTCGAAATAATTATGATTATTGTCTCTATTTAATTCTATTTTTATTTCATTTTCAATTATCAAATGGTAAAAGTTCTTCTGATTATCTTGATTTAAGAATGGAATGTGGAGATGGTTGTACTCTGAATTGAAATTCGTATTCTTAATAGTTATCTATTTATGCAGTTTATTGATACGATAAGGACTCTTCCTGTTATTTAATCCAAAAAATTCTCTTGAATCTTATCTTACCAATTAAATTAATTATTAAGTGAGCAATTTATCATCTTTTTTTAATTCATATTATTCAAGATTTTGAAAAATATTCAGTGACTCAATAATTACTTTTTCTATAAATATTTATTGGTTTCGTACCTTTCAGCTATTGTTTTCATGATCATCAATTAAATGTTATTGATACATTTTTTAGATGTACCAGAATAATTTAGAATGGGGTAATTTGAAATTCTACATTACAATAGTATTTGATAAATTATGAATTTAAATATTATCGATATTTATATTTAGGAAACAAATTATTTAGAATATTTTTATATTAATTATGTAGCCATTTTTTGCGCAATTTAGTATGGATTTCAGATATTTAATTTATGAAGAAGCTAATTTATTCAACACAAGCTTTAGCGATATGTATTTTTGATCTTTATTTATCAGTTTTCAATCATTTGATAGTGATATATCATTTTAGTTAGCAAATTAATCGCCGCCATTTCTTCATATTGAAAATCCAGGAATTTAAATGGTATCTATCAATAGAAATGAAGGAAGAAGCTTGNATGATGTATATATCCCTGCTATCTCATTAATTATTTTATTAAGTATTACATAAATAACATAGTTATTGAAGACTTTCTAATGGTTTGTTAAATTACAGATTATATTGTGTTTTTATATAATTGTAAAAAATAATTATCTGTTTTGTTAAATGATTATTTTTATAAATAATAAATTAATATATATATAAGATTAATATAAACAAAAATAACGAACATTTAATTAACAAATTGATATCAATATTTGTTTATTAAAAGATATAAAAAATTCTAGAAATTTTTGATGCTTTTTAGAACAATACAATTTGAGTGAGATATAATAATGGATAACTTTGTTTATTCTAAGAAATAGAGTAATATTAATTCGAAATAATTATGATTATTGTCTCTATTTAATTCTATTTTTATTTCATTTTCAATTATCAAATGGTAAAAGTTCTTCTGATTATCTTGATTTAAGAATGGAATGTGGAGATGGTTGTACTCTGAATTGAAATTCGTATTCTTAATAGTTATCTATTTATGCAGTTTATTGATACGATAAGGACTCTTCCTGTTATTTAATCCAAAAAATTCTCTTGAATCTTATCTTACCAATTAAATTAATTATTAAGTGAGCAATTTATCATCTTTTTTTAATTCATATTATTCAAGATTTTGAAAAATATTCAGTGACTCAATAATTACTTTTTCTATAAATATTTATTGGTTTCGTACCTTTCAGCTATTGTTTTCATGATCATCAATTAAATGTTATTGATACATTTTTTAGATGTACCAGAATAATTTAGAATGGGGTAATTTGAAATTCTACATTACAATAGTATTTGATAAATTATGAATTTAAATATTATCGATATTTATATTTAGGAAACAAATTATTTAGAATATTTTTATATTAATTATGTAGCCATTTTTTGCGCAATTTAGTATGGATTTCAGATATTTAATTTATGAAGAAGCTAATTTATTCAACACAAGCTTTAGCGATATGTATTTTTGATCTTTATTTATCAGTTTTCAATCATTTGATAGTGATATATCATTTTAGTTAGCAAATTAATCGCCGCCATTTCTTCATATTGAAAATCCAGGAATTTAAATGGTATCTATCAATAGAAATGAAGGAAGAAGCTTGTAATTATTATATTTGAAATTAGTCAAAAAAAGTAGATTTAAGAGATGTACACAAGATTAAGAAAACATGAAATTAAAAATACCATATTAAATAAAAGTGAGCCTTATATAAAAATAACTGTTATTAAAAACCAAAATCTATTAAACCCTACTGAGTAAATTGAATACTTTATAAATTAATTTGGGTATCTGTGTTTTTTAAAGAAAGTATGATAGGTTCTATAAAAAATGCTGATTCAGAAGATGTTATCATAGGTAGACAAGAGAAACTTGAAAACTATTAAGGCTAATTAATATTTCCTAATGACATAAGTAAATAAATGAATAAGTTTAGTTTTAAAAGAAAGTGAGAGATTGATTTCTAGGATTCATTGCAAAATAATCTTTAAAGACTTTTTTAGGAAAAAAACTTCTCTATTACCTTTATATCAAAAAACCTTATGCGAATTAAGATTACCTTATAATATAATTTCGAAAATTTAATCCTATTTAGAGTATTATATTTGTATTTTTAAGGGAACCAAAAGATTGTTATGTTTAAGATATCGGAAGTGTATTTGGAACACATATAAAAGTTAATAGAAACTATTCAGCAATGAAAAAATATCAATAATATAGTATTGGGAGTGAAACAACAATTCAGATTCTTGAAATTCATAATTTAGGATCAGAATAAAAGCCAAAGGATTAAGAGTTCGAGAGATTGATATCAAAATTAAGAAATGCCAAATATAAGTGTTCTTTGTAAGGACTAGATCTAAAACACTATGACAGAACACTATTGGTAGACTAAAGTTTTGATTAAATTCTAACTAATCTAAAATGTTATAAAGTACCATTTATTGTGATCAAATTTGGAGGATCTGGAGTGACAGATCACAATTAGAATATTTTTTTCGCTAAAGATTTCTCTACTGTATTTTCAATTGGAAGAGGGAATGAAAATAATGTCAGAATCAATTCAAATACAATATCTAGGAAATAGACTAGATTTAGATTTAACTTAAAGTATCCATATTAGGTCTAAATATATAGAGAAAATAATTGGGAAATTGCAGATGGAAGTTAAGAAAAGGAATCAGCTAACGGGACATGGATGTAATTGTAAAAAATCCAAGAAAGAGATTAAAAACTTGAATCGTAGATTCATCCTTTGAAACATTAATCAGAAATAAAAATAAGTGAATACATTTTGAAAATTGAACTTTTTAAGGGAAAGTATATTTTTAATTTATAAATTAAGTTAATAAGAAAAAACTAGACTTGAATTTATGAAATCTTTTTTATGATAATATTATTAGTTGATAAAGTATTTTTTAGCAAAATTATTAGTAATTTATTATCAATTTTAAATTAAAAATATTTAAAATTAAATATATATCATTTTTTATTTTAGAAATTTGATGTCATTTGAATTTTGAATTTACAACAAATTATATGTTTCGTAATATCTACTTTTAGAAGTTAAGTGATTATAAATTATACTTAGATATTAATATTGAATTATAATTAAATTAAATAATGGATGATTTTTTTGAAGACGCCTAAACTCAAGATATACAAAATGTTTAATAAGACGGTTCATAAGCTTAATAAGTAAAAAATTATAGTATCTTAAGTATGCTGTCTTTGATGCATTTGAAAATGAGTCACCAACTCAAGCAATTACATTAAATGCATACGTGGTACTATTTAAGTTAAGCATAGAGTCCAGAATAATAATTAAGAAAGGATAAATTGAGAGTAATTGAAGATGAAAGAATAGCTTAAATCAGAGAGAAAGATTAATAAGAAAGATTATTGAAATAGTAAAAAAAATAAAAAGCCTAAGAGTATTTACAGGAGTTTAAAAAGTAATTATTGTTGATTTATATTAAGACAATAAGATGCAGATATTGCATAAAAAAGAAGTCAAAATAAGTAGAAATAAGAAATCTGGCTTGAAAATAATAAAAATCATAACCAATATGTATTATGTGTTACTAATTAAAAGAAAAACTCTTGGGATTAAATAGCATAAAATATCGCTTTAAAAGATGGGGAATATCCTGGATAAAAAGATGTAACAAAGATGAGATAAGCAATCCTTAATAAAAGAAGCGATCTGACTAAATGATGCCGATTAATTATAATATTAGCATTTAATTCAAAAGTTATATGCACATCATAAATTTTTTAATTCAATCACTATCCTATATGAGATATCTACCTATCTAATAATAATCAAATATAATAATATCATAAATTTGGATCCTTCAGAATAGCCATTCTAACTTTCCTTTCAAAAGCATTGTCCAAGAACAAAACTTCTCTTGGTATTAGATGTATAAATTTAACAGCATACTTTAGTTTTAATTTTAAATTGATTTCTAAAGCACTCAATATAGTTGCTACTAAAATTAACGTAAAAGAGATGGATGAAATAAGAATTGTCTATTATAAATAATATTATACTTCTAAAATAGATTTATAATGCAAAACTTATTCAGAAAAGTCTTGCATTGCCACATCAGATGCTTTTTATAAGTATTCAACAAACAAATAAGCTCCTTCGACTTCTAATGTATTTATTGGTTCTCTTTGAGTAAATTCTTAAGTCATCAATTCTTATGTAACTATTTTAGATACATGGTTCAAGACAGCTTAAATCCCTAAGAGAAAAGATCCTTCAAATGAATTCATACAAATTGTTAGGATTTATTAATTGTTATTCTATGATAGTATAATTTTATACTGTATTGATGAGTGGACATAAATCCTAAGTTTCTTATTCTAGAAAGTAAGATACAAAGTCAGCATTAAATAGTAAATTATTTAGATTAACATTCAATAATTCTTATTAATATTATTTGATTTATATAGAAGATTAATTCAGCTGTTAAACCATATTCTAAAAATCTGAGTCTCTTAAATATGTAAAGAAAACTTAATTGTTCAGTTATTCCTTTTAACTATAAATTAATGCTATATTTAAACACAATTCTGAAGTATTTTTATGCATAGTAGCTGTGGGTTTATATTTTTAAATAAATTCAGATAGAATAAGAGTATTTGTTAAATTTACAGTCAAGAAACCTATAAACATAGTATAAATGAAAATCAAGAATTTAGTAGTGTCGATTTTAGCCTTTTTGTGAATTTATTTATGCTAATTTTAATAATGAGTTTTTGATTTCTAATTTAATGCTTAGATTTCACGTTCTTTATACTTTTCATTAAAGGTATAAAATTAAGTTATGTTATGATTTTCTATTTGATTAATTAAAAAATCTAAATTTTCTAATTCAGATTCTAATGCACTTTTTTCTAAATTAAACATCATACTTCCAAAGTTTTATCTTTAATTTGCAAATTTTCTATAATAGTAATTAGAGAATAATAAACAAATAAAATTAACACTTAAAAAGCATGCAATAACTATAATTTAATCATTGATTTGTTTAGAATTTCTAGTTATTGTATTAGTATAAACTTACTCACCCAAATATGAACAAATCTCAAACAATAATTTTTAATTTAGCATTTAAAAAGTGACAGGAGTAGTTATTTTAGGGAGTTCATTATTAGAGTATATTGCATAAATAAATTATTGATAATCAAAATATTTTATAAAGAAGGTTCGAGCACTAAAGTTTTCATACGTATAAGTAAAGTCGTCTTATAAATAAATTACATTGTAATAATGATCGTATAATAAATCTTACAAAAGTTGTGATTCAAATAATTCCTAAATATGATTATGAAAATGATCAAATTCTTTCTTTAGATATTATTTTGCAAAATCAATTTCATTCAAATATTATTCCTAAGTTATTAATTTCTAATTTAATAGATTAGTTTTATCATATATGATAAATCTTAATATAAAGAAACTTAACATAGGTTATAGGAGATCATTTTTAATTGACAGTTATTCAACATCTGTGATGTAATTATTAAAATTATTTTATATCAAAAATGTTTAAAGTAATAAGGATACTATTCCTAATAATGAAGAAACAACTAAAAAGAAGATTGCTAATCTAACAAATATATTTTTAATCTTTTTCTATCCCATTTTATCTATAAATTCCACTTTATCTTAAAAATTTGAATCATATTTTTCTTTTTTCTTTGATGGAGTACATACATCTTATACAGAAATTTTTTATTTGTTATTTTCTGAATAAAACTAAGGCATACTTACTTATTTTTAAAAGTTCTTCTTAATTATTGAAACATCATCACTTCCTCCAGAAATATCATGATATCGATTATAAAATTTCTATTAAAATAATAATTCGTATGTTGAGGATTTTTCTTAAGGGGAATTCAATTATTAATATGTAAATTCTGGTTATATATCTAAGTTTTTAGAATCATCAAAATCATATGGGGAATCAATCTTGATCCCTTCCAAAAGCTTTTGTTATAAATCAATCTTTTAATTAGATTTTGTTGAACATTCAATAAAATTTGATAATAATGAAGTTATATTCTGCTTCTTCAAGTAATCAAAGGTTATGATCAAATATGATAATTTATCATTATGATATTTTGATTATATTTCAATCTATGATTCAAATCTATCTAAAAGATTCATATTTGTAAATCTTTCAATCATTGTATGCTTTGTTAAATCAAAAATATAGCATTATTTTATAAAATAGAACTCAATCAAAGACATAGCTCTATTCTCTTCTATTAAAATTAGAAATTGAGGGATCATTAATCTTACATCTAAACCATATAACATTTCATCTGGTTAAAAGTAATCAATTTATGATTTTGAAAAATTTAATAAATCTAAAAGTTGCTTATTTATTCCAACTACTTGAAATTAATTATTTAGAATCATATATCCTTTAATATCTTTAAGTTCTAGAATTATATTAATAAATCTTAATTCAGATAAGCTATTGTAAGAATCTAAATATGATTCAGCTATTTAAATGTAATTGTTTTAAAGAAGGAATAAACGAGCATTTTGTTTATATCTAGGGGATGAACCAGTTTAAAAGAAATCGTGTAGATTCTACCCATGATAATCTCTAATGCCTTAAGGAATTAGGGGCTCAATATATTAAGGTAATTCATTTTGAAAAAATGATTTAGCATTACTTGATGCTCTTTCAATTTTTATATTATATGAACAATCTCCTAATTTCGTAATCAAAAATGCTACTTTGTTTTATTTTGCTAATAGCACAATGCTAGTTTATTTATACTATGATTCCAACTCATAGATAATTGAATGTTCCCTACTGGCTTATACATAATTTCTTAGGATTTCGGCCTGATAAAATACTTTTAAATTTAATATACTAATAGCTAACTTAAAAATTATCATTTATTACATGGATTTTATTAATATATTTAATTAATATTTTTCTCAATTTAACAAAGTTGAATGGAAATTTTAAAACAACAATCAAAAATTTGATTTTATGAAATTAATTCTTTAATCAATTGATTATAAAAAACCAATTTATCTTCCAATAATTTAATCATTTATAAATTTAATATTCTTATTATATATTCAGTTTTGTAAAATTCTTCAAAAATTAAAGTAGTTTAGTCATATTATTTACAAAAATTCTTTCTTAATCTTGCTTTTAATAATTATTTACTTTCTTCTCTTAAATATGTATAAATATTATAATATAAGATATACATAGGTTTATTAAGATTATCTACATAATTTATAGGTTAGATTGTTGACATTGAAGAGTTTTTCATAATAAATTTATAAGGGTAATTATTGTTATAGTGACTGTACATTTAATTTTAAAACTCTATAATCGAGCTACAAATCGAATAAGCTTAAATATAATTTTTTGTATGTATATGTATTAAGATCATTTAAATAATTTAATGATTATTCATTGTTGATTATAAATAAGCACTTGTAGATAATTTCAAGTAAATGTCATAGTTTTTTTATTTTTAGGTGCAATTACAATTTATACATAAAGGTTAATGTTTCTAATTTATATAAACATAAAAAGGTAACTTTGATGAATTATTAATTGATTCTAGATGCTAAAATAAAATTTAGAAAACAATATTTGGATTTGTTAAATTATTATGTATTTTAAGAACAGCTATTCTGCTTTTCATTTATTTAAAAATATTTACAACTAATGGTAGAGCAATTAATTAAAAAATTCCAAAATCATATTGCGTTACACTGAATATAATTGTAAAGTATTCTGTTATTGATAAAATAATAGCTAAACTTTAAGATATGATAATGATATTATAGGCATTTGAATGTAAGTAATGAAAATTATGCATTAAATTTATCAACATTAATATTGATATTATAAATGTAGTTGTTATCTAATAGATTTTATCTAGTTTATAAAAACAATAAAGTAAAATTTAAATCACATTTAAACTATGAAGCATAACATCTAAGAATGTTATATAAAATTTGGATTATATTGTGATTTGATAAGACAATTGATATTAATTTATCAGTAATTTTGTAATGTCAAATAAAGTAAATAATAAAAGTGTAATAATTATTAGAATGGTGTTAATATTCGATTGATCTTCTATCTAAGTTAAAGAAATCTCAAAAATTAAGTTGATAATAATTATGTCATAAAATTCATAAATAAAGGCTGTAATCAGATTTATTACTTTTATTAGTTTGTTTTGCTTAAAAACATAATTTTTCAAAGTAATTTTTTGTTTAAATTAATCTTCTTTATATTTAAAATAATTGGTAAGTTAATAAGCCAAGGTAAATTATATGATTATGACTATAATAAAAGGTATTATGAATAAGTATTATCCAGTTATTATTATGGAGGGTCTTGAAAACCAGGATATAAGCTAGTAAATTTAATTGTATTATGTTTAATTACTATAATGTATATAAATTATGTAAGAGGAATTCTTAAATTATCCCATTGAAAATATAATATATGAGAGTAGTTTGTTTGTAAATGGAAATTGATTATTCATTATGATAAAAATTTTCATTAGGTCTGAGAATCCTTGATTCAAAATCTCAAATAATTTCATAGATGAATATAGTTTATATTAATTAATTAAAGTATGAATTCAGAAATGTTATTGATGTTTGTATTAAAATCTGCTTTAATTAAAAAAATAGTAATGGTTTTTATTTTTAAAACAGTTCTAATCTTAATTTGTCAAATATAATGATTTGTTAAATACCCTTTAAATAAATTATGCAAAATAAACCCTAAGAATGCGGAATAATTGATTATTTAAAAATTCTTAAGAGTAATTTTGAATATCAATAATAACAAAAATCTAATAAACAATGTTTAGATAACTAATTAATTTTCAATTATTTTATTTGCACATATAAATTTTCTTATACAAATATCATTAATTTTTTATTCAGATTCCATCTTCAAATAGCTGATAAATAATCTTAAATAATTATTTAATTTTTTCTTTTAATAAAGACTGAACTCAAAATGAATCTTAAATTTATTTTTAATATATTGTAGATGTAAGTTCAATTAAAACTATTAATTCAATCTAAAATTAATATTTATTACTATTAGTAATATATTTTAAAAAATCATCAATTAATTAAATTATAATTTCTTATGGATTATACTTTGAAAAAAATAAAGAAAAAGAATGTATTGGAAATTTTCAACAATTCTTAAAATGTATAATTTTTAAAAAGAATTATAATTAATGTAAATGATTTCTAAAGTCAAATATAATTAAATAATGTGTTAATACAAAATCTTAATAGCTAGATTACGTTTAAACAATTTTTTTAATTCTAAATTTTGAAAAATACACATACACATTTAATAGACAAAAGAAATGTGTATGTGTATGAGTTTTAGTTTTATAATGATATCAGTAGGGTTGTTCAAATTTTACCCTTACCATAAAATTAACGACAAAATATAAAGATTTGAAAATTAGCATATTATCATAAATTGTATTTATGTTTGGATTTTAGTATTAATATCATAATTAGGAAATAAAGTATTATTATTTAATCTTAGAATAAGGAGAAATTTCTTCATATGAATGGAAAGTTAATTTTAATTAAGAATATTTTTGCTTCAAAGAAAGGCTTATAAGATATCATTGAAAATAATTATAGGAATTTTTCACTTTTATTCAAACTTAAAATAATAAATTTTAGTATTTTAATAGTTAAATCATGTTAATTTTTAAATTTACTTTTTTTATACAATTTATTTCATACATAATATGAAATTATATTTAGTAATTAATATGATTTAAAATAAATTAATAACTTAACTAAATTATTAGATTTTATAGGAATATGAATGTAAAATGAAATAATTATTAAATATTATCATATGGCTCCATCTACTCTAGTCATGACTGCACAAGAGTTACCTGGTTTCAACCAAATATGTCCTTATTCTCCCCAACCTTCACCCCATGAGTTTCTAATCTTCCAATTTCCTTCATTGTCAAAACCAACAGCTACAACAGCATGATTATGAAAATCATCTCTGCATGGTCCATCATAAACTCCTTGATTATAAAATTTCCAATAAGATGCATCAACACTCACAGATAATGGATAATTTTAGATTCCCTTTTTAATAGCATCTTCATTTGGACCATAGTTTTCTCTTCCAGAAATTCTAACTTTTCCTTATTTCACTTTACACACTCCATCTCTTGCAGTCTATTAAGATATTTAATACTATTTACATATTCATAATCTCTTTCATAAACAGAACCAACTTCAGCAATATAATCTAATGCCAAGTCTGAATTGCCTCCATTACATCCTTCTCCTGCATCGACAGCACAATCAACTAATTATTATTCAGATAACACTCCTTTGAATCCTTTTCTTATAATCAAGAATCCTTCAACTGCACCAATAGCAGAGAATGTCCAACATGAACCACAATTACCTTAATTCTTAATAGGATTCATTTTGCTTGACCAATCAGCTTCTCCTAGGTTATTTCCAGTACTCAATTCAATATTATCAATATTAACAAAGGTTGGTTTTCCTAAATACATTGATTGGAATTCTTCATCAGTTAAATCAACAAATTAATTGATTGCCATACTATAACTTTTATTTGGATTTGAGTTATGTTTATTGATTAATTCAACATTATGATTGAAGATAATCCATCGATATGCTTCTTCAGTTTAAGTATAGAACTTATTATATTTCTTCTGCCAAGTTTTAAATGAGTGTGATTCTTAATTTTATGAGTAAAAGGCCAAACCACTCAATAACAATGCTGTTGTAAGCAAAGATAAGATTTTCTACATTGAATTAATAATAATAATGATATTATATTCATTATAAACTTAGAGTGATGACATCATTGAATAACAAATTATAAAATTAATAACATATAGTTAATTAATAAATTTTCTTATAATGATAATCATTAATTAATAATCCTCAACTTGTAAATTGTTTGATTATAATATATTAATATAATGAATTACTTTCATTTTCAATATAATTGGAATATATTATATTTATTAAATAATTTGGAAATTAATAAAAAGCACAATCTTATTCTTATTCTAGTTTTGAAGATATATTAATACTCAAAATATTCAAATATCATTTGATATATTTAATTGATAATTTGAATAAAAAATCATCTTTAAGCTAAGAAATAATAATTTACATTGAAATTAAATTAAAATAGCTAATTTATATATATTGATGGTTAATTACCTAATAGAGATATTATCTCAAACCTTATTATGACAAAGTACCAAATGAAACTTATTTATAACAATTTTAAGTTTGTAAATATGAATTAATTTAAAAAAATTGAATTATAATTGAAGTTTAATGGCTTAATAAATATTTTAATTACTCATAAGATATATTTTGTTTAAATTAATAAATATAAATAATATTAGGTTTATTAATAATTTTAAGAAATAAGCATAAAGTATTAAAATACAAGCAATCTAAAAATTAGTAAAAAGATAAAGATAATATTAATGAGTTATTGATTTGATAAAAATTACTGTAAATAATAATATTCATTCAAACAATCATTACTTTGGCCTAATCCTATTCTGTTTTGGAGATAATTTGAGTGAGAGAATATATCATATTTGGAGGACCACAAATATAAACTTTCTTGTTATAGTCTCCTAAATGCTATTTAACAAGTTCTTCAGTGAATCTACCTCTAAAAGCAGGGATTACTGTATCCAATGTAGAATCAGAGTATCTAATTTGCATATCAAACAACTTTAAATTATTATTTTTATTAATTAAATAAAGTTTTCTAATCCATTCTTTTCCTATAAATTCTTCTTCATTTTAGAAAGAAGCAAGCAATGTAAATTCAAATGAATCATCTAATTGATCATATTAGGGGAAGAATTATTGAATTTATTATTACTTTTATTTATTTGTCAGGTAAATAGATTTTATCAATAGATGATCTAATAAATCTAAAAATGGCAACAATCCAGTACCACCAACAAAAGCTATACATTTACATTTAGGTTCAAGTTCTAATCCTCTTCCAAAAGGACCTTAAACCCAAAAATTGCCTTGATGTTAAAATATTTAGGCAGACAAAGCCTTAGGAAAGTTATATTTCTTTATAATCAAAGGAACTGTATTAATTTTATCAAATTATAATACTGGTAGCTGAGTTGAATTTCCTTCATGATATTTAATAATTTAATCTCTAAAGGTTTGATATGGATTAGACATACACAATACTTTTGTATACATTCTTATCTTTCCTCCTACTTCTTAAAGAGTAACACTAAAATGCTAGCCTAAATCAAATATATTTTGACGAAGGTTGATTTAAAAATTAGGATTAGTGAAATTAAATAAAGAGATGTTTTTTGACAAATCAACTTTTTCAATTAAATCCCAAAATGAAGCTGGATTTGAATTATTATAATTAACACTTTAGATAGTACCAATATATCTCTTTTATAAAGTTTAATATGCAAATTAGCTATGAGTATATGGTTCCATTGTAGTAGATTCAAGTTAAAAGGCACCATAGAAATAACGACTGATTTCTTATCCATTAACATTTGAAATGATAAAGTTACCTCCTGGATGTTAATAATCTGTAACATCATAGACATCTTAATTTAACAAAACCCATTTAATTTAAGGTAATTCTTTAATGATGTTAGCTGTTGGATGATTTCCTTATAATAACTTTAATAATTTTGTCTAATTTTCATTTAATGGTTATTGTTGTTAAGGAGCAATTTTAGTTCTAATAGAAGAATTGAAGGATTTATAAATTTCTAATCCAATTCTAACTAGTATCAAGAGGACTGTCCATATTATACCCAAAGCTAATAATAATCTCTCTTCATTTTTTACGAATCCTAAAATAATATCTACTTTGGCTGCAAGATACATAATAGTTCCCAAAATAACATGGATCAATCTTATTGTAAATAGAGCCTATCTATTTTCTTTTCCTGTAGACTCAAGAAAATGTTTAACAACAACTCCCAAAATATGTTGAATTATGACAGTTATACCTAGTACAATTGAAATTATTTTATGTGCTTCCAATGTTCCATCTTCAATTACATTTCCTTCCTCTCCACCAACAAATAGCATCAGGGCTACTAAAACAAGTGTTGATAAATCAACAAAAATAAAACAAATAGCATGAATCCATAAATAACTATTAATTGATTTGAAAAACCTTCCAATTATTATTCCTAAGTCTGCTACTATTCCCCATCCTATAAATAGAACAATTGCATGGACATAATATAAAATGCTTTCACCAGATGTAAGTGTTGCTTAACCAATTATTCCATTATCAAAAATTATATCAAAGTTATACCATGCACTATGCATTTCCATTTAATCTGCTCCTGACCATGCTACACAAAAAGTATATGTATCACCTTTTGCTAAAACTTAATCTGCTGTATCTCCTGTATCCAATTTTCTATTGAATCTAACCTTATAACCTGTTGAATTGACTGCATATGAAATAATATCGATATCATTAGTTTTATCAGTTCTTGGAGTTGATTGTCCATAAGAAAAAGTATCCATCACTATAACTGTTTGTTAGGATACATATAATACTATCATGTCACAATTAGACATCTAATTATATGATATAAATGCTTACAGTTGGACAAAATCCAAATCCTATCCAATTTAGTTAATTATAATCAATAGCCATATCGAATGAACCATTTGAATATATTTCCCATTTCATAAATAATTCATAAGTTCCTAATTATAATGAACTTGTTAAATCACTATCAGTGTAAGTAACACTTTAAGCTGCTAACGATTTGTTTAGATATTCCTCTAGATCTAAAATTCTAAAATGGGAATTTGAACTGAATGATTCAATTTAATGATTATTTTAAATTTAAGTTGTATTTTCCCTTTTCAGTATAGTATCCCCATAAACATAAGGTAATTTAGAAAAATGGAAATGAAATTCACTATTATTTTCGAAACAATAATAATTGCTAAATTTAGGACTTTCACATTCACATCTATCAATGTTCGAACAATTTAGAATTTCAAATGAATGAGTCTAAATTATTTATTTTTATTACTTTGTTGTTGTAAAAAGTAAGTTGGAAGTCAAATTAGGATGACAAAATTATTTGTATGTTCAGGAGCTTTTCATTTTCATAAAACTCAACAGTTTGGGAGATTTATTAAGCTTAGCAGTTGATAATAATCCAAAGTAAACAAGCTATTATAGTAAAATTCATTGATATATTTATCAAATAAAATGAAAATGAGATAGCTTTAGAACAATTAATTTTATAGATCATTATGCAAAATTAATTAATATATGGAATAATTTAACTAAAGTAATCATCAGTTTTAATCTCAGAGTGAATTGAAAAAAATTGATTTTCATAAGTTACTTAGATAATAAAAAAAAAATATTTCTGAGTTTCTTAATTAATTTTATTATAAATAATTTCTCTAATTAAAATAGTATAGATTTAGTCTAGCTGCTTATTAGATTTTTAAGATTTAAAGCATCACATTTGTAAATTTTATAAGATATTTACAATTAAATTCACTTAATATTAAGATTTATTATTAAAAAATAATTTGAAACATATTTTATGGTATTTATATAAATACTATTGTAAAATTATAATACTTAATTATTAATTTTATTAAATGTTATATAGATGATTAATATATATTTTAAACTTATATTACATTGTTTTTATATTATATCTGTCATAATATATGAATTTATTTAAATCTCTAGATTTTCATAATTACATAAAAATTTTATATTTATATTTATTATCATTAAGATAGTATTTTCTCCAGTTCTTCTAGATCATCAAATTCATGTTTAATTGGAAGTTTGTCTAACCATCCATCTTGATGTTTAGAAGATTAAGTTTCTAATTTATTATTATTAGTATTATTTAAATTATTGAATTCAATTATTGAATTACCATCATTATCATCAAAAAGAATCATTGATTCTTCAAGGAATTTTTATCTTTTTGGTTGATCCAATTAATCTAAAAATTGTTCTAATTCATCAATAAAATCCTAATCATTTACAATAGTTTTTTTGATTGAAGGTCCTGGATTATATTTATTCATCAAATCTAATAGATTAATGTAATTGATGCTTTCATTAATTCTACTTTAATTAACTAAAGAGTGTAATAGATAATTATTCTGGGTCTCATCTGAATCCCCCATAATATTAATATAAAAATAATTATCGAAGTAAAAACACTAAAATCTATTCTAAACATTCTCAATATAACAATTAATATTAAATCAATATACTATATATGATCTCTAATCTAGATATATATATATATACATATTTAAGAAAGAATATTTCAATGCTTAAATCTTGTTTAAATATTTCAAAATTAACATTCCGAAATCTATTTTATTTTTCAATGGATCAACCCTAAGTTCCACAACCCGGAGAGCAAGGTATAAGCAAATCTTAATTGAAATATCTTCAAAAGTAAGAGGAAAAGAATAAGAAGAAAGCTGAGAAAGAAGCATAGAAAGTATAATAACCAGATAATGCTGCAGAGAAGGAGAAAAAACCAAGTATTAACAATTCTTATCAATATTAGAAAAGGTTGATTAATAAGCAGAGGAGGAAGTAGATCCTCGTCTATTCCATGAGAATAGATCAAAATAAGTGTTAGGACTTAAACAAACTAAAGACCCGTATTTAATTTTATTTAAAATAGAAACCCATACCCTCATAAATTTCATGTGGATTTAACAATTGCTCAATTCAGAGAAAAGTATGGTCCTATATGCACAGAAAAAGGGAAAATTCATGAAGATGTTGTCTCTGTAGCAGGAAGAGTAGTCACCATTAGATCTATGGGAGCAAAATTGATGTTTTATGATTTATAAGGAGAGGGAACCAAAATTTAAGTTATGGCAAATGAAGCTAATCACAAAGACTAAGAATTGAACTTTGAAAAAATTCATAGTTTGATTAAAAGAGGAGATATTATTGGTGTAAAGGGAAATCCTTGTTTAACAAAGGCAGGAGAATTGAGTATTGCACCAGGCATTATTTAATTGTTATCACCAACATTACATATGTTACCAACTGCTCATTTTGGATTCAAAGATCATGAGTAAAGATATAGAATGAGATATATGGATTTGATTATGAATAAGAAAGTTAGAGAAATATTCCTCACAAGATCATCAGTGATTAAATAATTAAGAGAATATTTTGATGGTAAAGGATTTATAGAAGTTGAGACTCCCTCTTTAAATGTTATACAAGGAGGAGCAACAGCAAAACCATTTAAAACATTTCATAACTCATTACATAGAGATTTATTTATGAGAGTTGCTCCAGAATTATATTTAAAAATGTTAATTGTTGGTGGATTAGATAGAGTCTATGAAATTGGTAAGAATTTTAGAAATGAGGGTATTGATTAAACTCATAATCCTGAATTTACAGCTATGGAATTTTATTGGGCTTATTGTGATTATAATGATCTCATGACTGTTACTGAAGAAGTCTTGTCATCGATTGTTTTAAAGGTTAAGGGTAGTTATAAATTCAAAATTCATAAGGGTGATAATCCTACTATCACACTTACAGAACATGATATTAAATCTGGTCATTTTAAAGAAAATGAAGAAGATTTCGTAGAACTTGATTTCACACCACCTTGGCCAAGAGTTTCTATGATGGCTGAATTAGAAAAAAAATTAGGTGAAAAATTACCTGAAGTTTTGGAAAGTGAAGAAGCTAATGCCTTCTTTATGGAATAAGCTAAAAAACACAAAGTTGAATGTTCAAATCCAAGAACTACTGCAAGATTAATTGATAAATTAGTAGGTCATTTCTTAGAAGTTAATTTCAAGAATCCAACATTTTTAATTGATCATCCATAATTGATGAGTCCATTAAGCAAAGTTCATAGATAATATCCAGGATTAACTGAAAGGTAATATATTAAAATAATTATAGATTTGAACTTTTTGTTAATTATCATGAATTATGTAATGCCTATACAGAATTGAATGATCCATTTGTTTAAAAAGCATTATTCTAAAAATAAGTTGAAGATGCTGCCAAAGGAGATGATGAAGCTATGGGATATGATGAAGGATTTATTAAATCATTAGAACATGCTTTGCCACCGTAATTATTATATTTATAAAATTTAGAACAGCTGGATGGGGACTTGGTATTGATAGATTTGTGATGTTATTAACAGATACACAAAACATTTAAGAAGTTCTTCTATTTCCAGCCATGAAACCTGAAATGACTATTGAAGAGATGTAGAAAATTTAAAAAGAAAAGGAAGAATAAAAATAAAAATAATAACAATAATAATAGTAATAATAATAGTAACAACAATGAAGATATTAAATAAATAAAATATATATATTCACACATTTTTAATTGCTATTTTGCTTAATCTTTTATTTCCTTAAGTTGTAATATCATCACTTTTCATAAGTGTGTCACTTGATTTACCTTTATTGTTACTAGTAAAACTTAAAGGGGTTCTTTCAAGAGGAGTTTCATCAGTAACTATATAAATAGGTTTCATAATTTATTATTTTCTAATCAATTTATCTATTTATTGATTATTGTTTTCTATTTCTTTTAATAAAAACTTGCAAAATTAAGCATTAGGTCTTTCATTTGGATCATTTTCTAACATATGAGTCAATAAAATAAATAGTTAATCCATTTTACTTGAATTATATTCTAAATGTTAAGGATTCTTTCTTAATTCAAATATACCCTCCTTATTTTCTTAAAATATATTTTTCTATCTATGAAATAAGTTTTCACCGGACAACCTAAAAATTATAATTCTTTATTATACATTTTATATAACATACATCCTAAACTATAAATATCTGCTTTTTCATCATATGGCTTTTCTTATTTATAGTTTATTATTTCAGGAGCCATATAACCGGGTGTTCCAGCTGTTGGGAATATTAATTAATTTTTAATCTTTCGAGCTAAACCAAAATCAATTAATTTTATATTTTCTGAAATCATTATATTATGTGGATTTATATCTCTATGCATAACTCCTTTTTAATGGATATAAATAAGAGCATTTAAAATTTAAAACATGATTCTTAAAGTCTGAGTAATACTCAAGCCTGTTGTTCTTGATAGTAATTCAGTATGCAAAGTTTTCCCATCAACAAACTCAGTAACTATGTAATAAAATTGTTGATCAGAATAGACTTCTTTAAGTTTTAAAATATTTATATGTTAAAGTTATTGTAGGAGCTATAATTCTTAAATCAATTAAGGCTAATATCAATATAAGTATCTTACAATTCCTCCTTAAAGTGATGCTAATTTCTATTTGTCACACTTTTTAATAGCAACATACTCACCATTTTAAGATACGGCTCTATAGACCTAACTTTTTTATCAATTTATACTTCTCCAATCATTCCCTAACCAACTTTCATTTGAATTTCATAGAAGTTTTAGATTCCAGAATAAAATACTCGACCAGCAATCATCTCTCTCAGCAATTACAATTTATTAGGTGAAGCATTAAATGCCTTCATTTTATTATTATATGGTATTTCGAAAGCTTATATTTTCTTATCACTCACTATCCAATTTAATGTAGTTGTCATGTTCAATTTAATCTCATATTTTGCTTTTTTTGTCTAGTTCTATATATAATATATTTGACTAATACATCAGTCATAATGAATTCATCGCTAAATAAGAATAGCTAATACACTTTATCAGAGAAAAAGTGCTTTCTAGTGACAGGAAAAGTAAATAATGCATTATCAAATCTATACATTTTTAATTAATATTGATATAACATCAAATCCTTTAATAAGATGGTTCACAATTTGAGACAGTTTATTAGATTTAAACAAACATAATTTTCATATATATTCAAAAGAAGAGTAAAAACTTCTCTTAAAAAATATCGTTATTGATTTTTGTATTTTCCATTAAATTTATTCAAAATTAAAACTTTTTATTTTAAAAAATAATATATTTTCCATAAATTTATTGATTTGTATCATAATTATTTAAGAACTATTTAGTGAACTAAGAATTTATTGATATTTCAATACAAAGTAATTAAATATCTATAATATAAAGGTTATAAAAAAGATAACAATCTTCAAATATTAAAAAATCGATAATAATAATTATATAATTAAATTAATATAAATTATAAAATATGAAAACCAGAAGAAAAATACATGTTGAATTTAATTCTCCAAAGCATGAAGAGCCTAGTTCTCCATCAATATAACAATCAGAAAATGATGAAGATTCCACTTTTCCTCTTACAAAAACAATTAAGAATATGCTTTATGTTTATGGAGATTAAAGAAAATCTGAAGTGCATAATCTGGCACATTTATAAATTCAAGAATTGATATCAGATATATTTTAACCTCTAATTCTTCATGCTCTCTATTCCCCTGCTCCTAAACCTTGGGAGGAAATGGGATCTGATATTAAATTTGAATTTCCTCAACCATTAACTAAAAACAAGAGAATATTATAGAATTATTTGAATTGTGTTTTCAAAGAGTTTGTTAGTTTATTTTAGAAGTTATCCAGAATTTCAAAGAGACTAAAGAAACATGCATCTGAAGTCAATTAAGACAATAATTTAGACTATGAGACAACCTTAAGAAATAAGGCTTAAAAGGAGAAGATTCTAGTTTATGAGGAATAATATTCTCAACAAGAGGATTCAGTTTCAAATTCTTCAATAACATCAGAATCTCCACATGAGATTTGGGAGGAATACATGAAGGCAAGAGTTGAGAAGATGCCTTCTTAAGAGTTCATAAAATTTATGGAATTGAGATCTTAAACATTTATACATCATAAGAGATTTAAGTAATTCATTGATCCGCATCAATACGGATAGAATTTCATCGAATGTATAAATCTGAAATTCTTAAATTATTGTTTATGTCGAGTCATTAAACGTATTATACAGAATGTAATGTAATCAGAATAGCCTCAATCATAAGTATTCTAGTTGTCTGAGGAGCATCTAAAGAAGTACGGTTATCAAATAATAGAGACATATAAAATAAGGGCTAAGAAATATGCATTACAAGATTAAAAATTGAATTAAATGGCATATAAATTATTTCTGTAAGAGTTCTGCACTTAAGGTTATGATGCTTATTTTTAATCTAAATGGGTACTGAAGAAAAGTGGATAATTATCTAGTAATTAAGAAGTGAGAGCTTAGGAAGAATGGGATAAGATGGGAAACATTAAGTAGAAATGGATTGATAGAGTAAAGGCAGAAAAATAGGTGAGACAAAAGTTAGTGAAGTAAAAGGAGGTTATTCCTAATACTCCTTATTCTAGAATCCTTTTATAAAGAGTGGGGAATAAATCATATGAATAAGCTAAAAGTTAATTTTCAACGATTTTCAAAGAATGGTTCATACACTTAGAGACAATAACAGAAATTGATAGCATATATGATTGATTATTTTGCTCGTATTATTTATCATAATCATGCTTGATTTGGATACTCTTTTTGAACAACAGCTTTGAATTCATCCCAACTTAATGATCCATCTTTATCTTTATCTGCATATTCAACCATTTCTCTTAATTCTTAATCTGTATATCTTTCTGATACTAAATCATTTATTCTTTTGAAATCCTCGTAAGTAACTTTACTTTATCCAGAGGAATCAAATTCTTAATATAATTTCTCAAGTACTTATTCATCTTCAATAGTGCTATAATGCTTTAATATATTTTTAATACCCTGAAAATCCAAAAATATTTAGAAATTCTTCAAAATCAATTACACTGGATCCATCTTAATCAAGATCTTAAATCATATTGACAATCTCTTCAGCTGATTATTCCATTCCTAAAGCAATGATGGCATTCTTCATTTCATTTGGACTTTAATAATTTATTTCAATTACGATATAGATCCACTTTTATCATCATCAAAAATGTCAAAGCATTCCTTAATCTTTAAAACTTCTTCTTTGCTAAGTCCTGGTTTAACATATTTTGAAGGATCAAAACCATTTGTAGTTGCCTATACAGGTTATTAAGATGCTGCTGTAGCAGGAGACTTTCCTCTTGTTGCTGCTGGAGCTTATACTTAACTTTTATTAGCTTATTAAGTTGTTTAAGCTGCTGGTTATTGTTTTTATTGATTTCTGCTCATTTATTTTAAATAATATTAAGGATACATAAATTCATTACTAATATATTATCAATTTAATTCACTCTATTATTATTCTTATTCCTATTATATTACCATACTCTTATTTTCTTAATTCTCACTCTTCTCTTCTACTTATATTTATTAACCTTAATCCTATTATTTCTAATCAATTATTATAACTGAGTCATAAGCTTATTATTATTCAATTTAAGATATTAAACGAGAATCCAAAATGTTTTACCAATATTCTCCTATTATACTGATCTATTCCATCTCCAATTATCCTATAAGTTTTATTAATTTAAAAAGATTTTGTTCCTTTTCCTTTATGAAATCAGGAATCTCAAATAAACAGACTTAACCCATTGTTATATTGATTACTCCCTTTAAATCCTATATAGTTTTAGAATACTAAAAATATAATATATTACACAAATACTTATTCAATTTAATTCTATAATCTTAATATTTCTTTGTCTTTTGATCCAAAAAATAACTTTGCTACTGCATTTCTTTAATTATTTATAGTTTATTATAAATCTAATTGGGATTATCTAATTTTATCCTCATATTTTATGATTTTATCTTCCCACTTTCTTATCTATTCAAATTAAATTAAATGAGACTAATATATTTCTTGAATATTATAACCTCTATATCATTTTCCAAAATACATAAATCAATTAAAATTTAATCACTTTAAAATTTACGAGCTTAATCATATCTTTAATTCTTCATCAAATCTAAAGGTTTTATTTTATCATAAAACTTCTTATCACTTTTAAATAATAAATTCTTTTCAAACTCTGGAAGTACATAATTCACAAATATAAGTTTTTCTGTATTAAAATTTGTCTTTGCAATCACATAATTATTGCACATCTTTTTAAAGTTTTCTATCATAGGCTTTGCTTTTACTACGAATGATTAAAAATCATAAAATTAACATTTCATATCTAATGTAATTTCTAACTTCAATTAATTATATTGTTTACATTTGAACATTCAGGAAGATTAGTTTGATATTTTTCTTCTAATGATTTACTTTCATTGTTTATAGGAATCAAAGTTTAATTCTGTTCATTAAGAAATTATTTTGTTTCTGGTGAATTCCATAAGATTTTTCTTTTGAATATTGAATTCAAGAAATATTGAAGCATTCTTCTTCTGACTCGAAGAAAGTCTTCTTCAAGATTTCCCTTTAATTTTGATAAAAGAATTACCATTGCTTATTTTTCAGGGAGTCTAGGTACAAATACTCCAGGATAATTAGTACGTAATGCCTCATAAAAGTGAACAAAATCATTGAACCTTCTACATATTATATTTTGATCGACTTGAATTTTATAAGAAGCATAACGTCCAAGCATTTCTGTACTTATAGTAATCTCTATTATTTTTGGAGGTGATTATTATTACATAATATATTATATATATTGACATTTTAGTGATAATATTTAGAATTGTAAATAAATGCATTTTGAATTTAGTTATGATATCATTTCACTTAAATTTGTTAGAATAAGGACTTATTTTATTCATAGTGAAGTAATCATTTGCATAATTGGTTTCTTTACATAATTTTCTTGGATATGTAAATTTGGATGGAGAAAGACTGTGAGAGTTCTAATTATATTTATATATAAATGTACTTTAGAATGCCATCCAAGTTCTTAATTAGAAGTTTAAGGAAATTAATATTTCTGACGAGGAGTTCTATTCATCGTATTCAATTTATCAATGATTTCCTCTAAAATATTTATATTATATTACTCTCTAAAGGAGGAGAATCATCGGTGATTTAATTAACATCAAATGCTGGTTTTTTTATAGCTCCTGTCTTTTCAAGATGCTTTTACAACATAATACTATTATTTGGTTTCTCTTGAATAATGTATACTAATTTAACAATTATCAGCTGCATATACATTTATGTGGGTTAATAGTAAAATGCTCATATACTTTTAAATGTTAATTTTCTTTTCTAACTGCTTCTTGCCATATTTTCATTTCCTATTTTTATAAAATTTCATACAGCCACTGGACTGCGATCTCTTTTATTATTTTTTGCATCTTATTTAGCCATTTTATTATATAATTATAAAATGATTATTATTTGATTCAAATTAATCTGCTTTTGAAATATTTAGTTCGACAGATAAGTTGTGATTCTGTTTTGATTTTAAATTAGTAATCATAAATCATAAATAATAATAATAACATATTTTAAGAAAAATCTGGGCATATTCCTTCATTATAAATAATATTTTATTGATCAACAAACAGTATTTATATAAATTAACATTTTCTTCTTATTACATTTACAAAGGAAGATATATTTTTGATCAATTTTACATTAATAATATATATTACAGAATTTTTTATTTTTTTTAAGACAAGTTATTTCTTATTTTATTTAATAATCTATTATTAATTTGTTATTATTTATTGAATAACTTAAATACTTCTTTCTGAATAAATAATTATTTATTTAATTAAATGAAATTTCAAAGCTACAATGTTTTTGTGCTTTAAGTTGTAAAGAATAATTATGTATCTCTTAAACTGAAATTTATTATGAAACTAACTAATATAAAAAGGTCATTTTATAAAATTATATGATTCAACCATATAAGAATAAGGTATCTCATTTAAAATTCTCCTATTATTCATTTAATATTAATATGTAATTTATTTTACATTTTTTTGAAATAATTTATTTATCTAAATATGATTAAATATTTAAAATATAAAAAGATAAAAATAATTAATTTAATTCTATTACTTTATCTCTCAAAAACACCTTAAATGAATAAAATATGGGCCATATTCATCGTATTCAGATCTTTGGATCCACTGAGGTTTGACTTTTGAAAAGATTTATCCTCCAATCCAGGCTGAGAATTTTCCAAAACTGGCATTGATTTTTATTTTCATATTGGATGGTGCAAGTGATTTTAATTCTTTATTCAATCTATTTGCGAATCCTGGAATCAGAGTATTACCACCTGATAATACAATTTATTAATAACTAAAACATAAAATTAAATGTTTTTACAAATCCCTTCTGAAGTCAATATCACTCTTCATAATTGATTTTTGTAACAACTCATGAATGCCAGGATGATTATTTTAGTATTAGATGTAAGGGTTGAACAATAATTCAGGACATTTAAATCTTTCTTTGTTTATTACAAGAGTGTTTTCATCTGGTAATTTATACACAACACTTTATAAATTTTCCTTCATTTCCTATTCATAGTCAAGAGCAACATAGCAAAATTACTCTTTAATGTTTCCTACAATGTTCATACTAGATGATGATGATATCGAAACACCCAATTAATTCAAGAGAATATCCAAATATTTGGTACAAGCTCTCCCTGCCAAATCACTCCAGCAAACAGCCTAATTTAAAACAGAACCTTCATAGATTGGCACTATGTGTGAAGCACCATATCCAGAATCTACTACAATACCAGTAGTTCTTCCTGAAGCATATAATGAGAGCACAGCTTAATTAACCAAGTAGAATGATGGCACATTGAAGGATTCAAACATGACTTATGCCATCTTTTCTCTACAGACCTTTGGATTAAATGAAATTTCAGTCAAAAGAGCTGGATGTTCATCTGGCTATACATTCAACTCTTTGAAAAATGCATGATGCCAAATTATTTCCATATCTACATAGTTATAAACACATTCTATACCATCCCAATTAATGACAATACCATTATCAATTGGGTACTTGAGTTTTAGTAGACCTCTGAGGGCTTAAACATCATTACCAACATAATATTGGTTTGTTCTACTAGCAAAAATATTTCCTTGATGTTTTGGTCTGCCAACAACTGTACTAAAACAGCATTTTGGATGAATATCATATCCTGCAATCCCTGCTTTAAATTCATACGAACCATTATCGATAACAACACCTGGAGCATCTTCAAACATACTAATAATTATAGAATTTAAAAAATAATCAATTTAATTTAAATTAATTGTAATAGAATTTAGATCCTAATGCGGTTTCATTAAAGTTAATTTTTATAATAATTAACTATTAAATTCAAGTATAGTTTAGTATAATTGTTTTTAAGTATGGCATTCAAAAATCTTGTTAACATTAACGACAATGCGAAATAAATAATTATAAATTTCAGTAATAGAAAATAGACTCAAATCACTTGTATTAGAATTAAAAAAATAAATAATCAAATGGCATATCGAAAATTCATAATTAAAAGCTAAGTTCATTTAGATCTCAAGCCTAAAAAAATACTAATTTTTTAATTAGAAATCCACAGATTAACAAGGTTTTTATGAAGAAAAGTATATATTTGGAGATTTAGGGCCTTAATTTCTGAATTATTGAAAAATAATATTTTTTTTTGTATATTTTATTGAATATCATTTAACTTAACTCAACTTTTTTAATTTATCTTAATTTTAACACTATTTTTCCTTTCCACTGTAGCTTAAATTTATCATAAAACTTTTCAATAAAAAATAAATTTTTGATAATCTAAAAGATTTTGAAAATATAAAGATGATGATCTAATAAATGATCTTAATTATCAAATAAAAGTAGTTCTTTAAAAAAAATGATTATATATTGTTAACAAAAGACTATAATAATTAAAAATATAATATAGTATTTGATTAGAAATAATTGGTGAATTTGAAATAGCTGAATTAGATCAACGAATAACAAATAGAGATCAGATTGATAAATACAACCATTTCAGATCAATTTTAATCAAAAATTTTCTTATAAAAATTATCTTAATATTAATGATTTAACTTATATTGATCTCACAACAATCAGTAGTAGTCTTGCTTTTTTAAGATTAATATTTTATAATACTTTAATCATTTAGACTTATATAAAATGATGTATATAATTTTATCTTGCATATTATTAGTAGATACATAGGTGAATTTCATGTTTTAAAATTCTTCTTATATTATTTTAAATAATCTTAATAGATTAATTTGAGTAGATTCCAAAGACTTTACTAATTAAATTAATAATTAATTATTTAATTATCTGTATTATATTATTTATTCTAAATTGCAACTCTCTTTATTGTATGTACTTTTCAAACTAAAGTAAAAATTATTAATTATGATATTTTATTATTTATCCATAATTAATTATAAAAATATATATTATCAATAATATATGAATACAATAATTCAAATTCCATAAAGTTATAAAACCAAATCTGAGATTACATAATAATTTCTAACTTAATTACATTAGTCTTTTAAAATGATAGCATTTTATATTAATATAATTGTATATTATGATAGTATATAGATTAGTAGTTACTTAGAAATTTGATAAATAGTTAATTTATAATAAAAGTAAAAAAATAAAAAATTTAGATTTATAAAAATTATGAAATTAATAATTTAATAGAATATTTGATTTGTATTTATCATGATTTAAGTTTATTTCTTTTTGGAATGTCTTCTGATGATGATTTATTTTGACTAGAACTTTCACTATTTGATTCATTTATTTAATATTTTATAAGTTTTTTTGGCTAAAAATTTGGAGGATTTTTAATACCTATTATTACTTCTATTCTTCATCATCAATGATTAAGAAATGCTAACTGATCAATTCTTTAAGAGCACTCTTTGTTATTCTTACTTTTTCTTCTTTTTTCTTTTAAGGCTTCTCAACAACTTAAACTACCGAACTATCTGATTCTTATTAGTTCACTATTGCCTTTTTTTATATTATAGGTTTCTTTTATTTATTCCCTTTTTTTTAAACAGTACTTTTCAATAGATTTGAAGTAACACAAGCTAAAACACCATCAGTTGACATTACTCTTTTTCTTTTACCATCAATTATATTATCTTATGAAATTTTTTACATATATTTAATTTAATATTAATTAAAATACAATTAATTTTATCTTATAATGAGATCTTTAAGTTATAATAGTTAAACAAAAAATTTTATTATTATTATATTTTATCTCAATATTTATATAATAAATTATTATATATATATATATATATGATCTAAGATAATCATTATCATACAGAACAAACAAATAAATATTAAAATCAATTAGATAGAAGAAGAAGTAGTGCATAATTTTAAGATGCTTCAACTATGATGAATCCAAGTAGTACTCATCTATCTAGAAATGCATCATATTCTATGCCACATGAAAGTTAATTAAATCCTTAAAGTAAATTTTAATTACTAAGATAATAGTTCTTGCTAAAATAGCTTCTATGATACCTTAGAATTCAGATAATAAAAAGAAATTTTATAGAGTGGATTAAGTTCTTAAACCAAAAAAGAAACCAGATCCTCTTGAAGAAGAATAAGAAAATGAAATAAGAAAGAATTTATTATTGTCACCAGAAATAGTGAAAGAAGATTTATTAAACAAACCTTTAGTAGGATCATAAGCAGTCTAATTATATTATCAACATTATAAAAAAGTGAATAAGGTTCGTTAATAAAATGACTTCTTCAAAATTTCAGGTAAGGTTTAATTGGATAAATAGATAGTGTGTAAACTGCAATGCTTCGTTAAGCAGAATAAATTGATGTATTACCTTGTAAGATAGGAGTTATAAAAACAAAAGGAAGTGAATAATCTCTTTAAATAAGTCATTAAAAGTATGGAGATAGATATGCATCAATGTTAAGTGAAGGTCTGAAAGTAAATTCAAATATAAAAGATTTTTATATGGCAAATAATAGAATTTAAAGTTCTGGAGCAACATAAATTTTAAATTAAATTGGAAAAGTGGCCAAAGTTTTAGATCTTTAATAAAATAATATTGGAAAAATAGGAACAGATTCAATTTGTTAGTAAATTTAATCAAGAGAAAATAAGTAAGAAAAGAGAATTAAAATTTTAGATTAGAAGTTTTAAATATAGAAGATAACAAATTAGGAGACAGAAATGTAATACGCATTTTAAAGGCCTTATTGAATAGCAATAATAAGTTGAAATCATTAAATATTAGCAAAAATTATTTGACAAATGATATTGCAGAAATTTTAAAAGAAAGTATAATTCAATTGGATAATATGGAATAATTATATATTCATTGGAATTAAATAAAAGGTTGGGGAGGATAAAAGATATTTGAAGCATTAATAGAGAACAAAACTTTATTAGTTTTTGATGCAGGTTGGAATAGTTTTGGAATATAAGAAAGAAAGGATGTATAATGTATATAGAAGATATGTGATTTTTTGATTACAAATAAGACAGTTTTACATTTTGATTTATCATCTAATTAATTTAATTTAAATGATTGTAAGTTAATAGCAAATGCATTAAAATAGAACAGAACTATATATGGATTTCATTTTGTTAATAATTGGGGAGTTGTTGATGCAAGAGGTTTTTTGTAGATATAAGAAAATGAATTATAAAGAGTATTAGGAGAAACACCTAGAATCAAAGGATTATAATAAACTACAACAATTAGATAGGAGAATGTATGTTGGATATGTGAAGGTTGGTAAGAATAGAAATTTACTTGGATACCTGATGTTTCAGGAGAAGGTGAAGCAGATCCTTTGTTTATTCATTTGGATTTTGAGGCATATAAATAAGTTTATATTCCAAAGACATAAGATCAAATATCTTTAACTTTAATGATCCCTACTAATACAACATAATATATTTATACAATGACTGATACATAAGTAATTGCTAATGATTAACCAAATGTACCTTATGGACATCAATTAAAAATTAATTATAATAATAACAATATAACTGTTTTGATGGAGAATGTAAATTATGTAAAAAAGAATAAACATTTTTTAATTTTTGATTAAGTTGAATATAAACCATTAATTAGTGTATTACCTAGAACACCTGATCCTATTTATATTCCTCCAAAATTAAAAAAGTAAAAGAGAATATGGACATTTCCAATTTCTATATGGGCTAAAGATTTTAAATTTGAAAATGAAGATTTATTAAAGAAATGCTTTGAAAAAGATTTTGCTTGTAGTAAAATATCAAAAATAGTAAAAAATCCTGATGAATTATTAGAAATTAAGAATGTTTTATGGTTACATTATAGATTGATTAAAGAGACTTATAAGTAATATAGTTCTAATAGTCCAACAGGAGATATTTGGTCAATATCATCAAATGTTATAACTGAATTTGCTTAATAAACTGAATTAATAGATGGAAAGACTTTAAAATTATCTGATTTAGATTTAAAATTTATTGCTACATGTGCAGCTTCAATTGAATATAAAGGAAATTTTAGAAATCCAGAGAGAGCTCTTTGTAGATTCTAATTTATGGAGTTTCTTGTAAGAGTATCTGAGGATAAGTATTTAAAAACTAAAGTTGCTATTAATATGTTAGAGGCAACAAAAATGATATTAGAATAATGTAAAACATATATGTCCACATTTGATGCATAGAAATGGAGAAATGAGAGATATTTTAATGAATAATGTGATGATTGTTTAAAATTCTTTAGACCATTACTTAATCACATTTATAATAAATTTAGTGTAAAAAAAGTGAAACCAGGATAGAAGAAATTTATGTGTTTAGATGAATTACATGAAATATGTTCATAAGCAAATCTATTTGATGAAAGATTCGTTGAAAGAGATGCTGATAATGTAAATAATTAATTTAATTTAGGCTTTTAATTTATCAATGATGTTATAAATTGATGAATTAGAAAGTGATAGAATATTTTAAATGACTTTCATAGAATTCTTAGAAGCTATTGCAAGAATAACTGATAAAGTTTCTATGCCAGGAATTGATGCAGTTGATTTAACTTGGGATCAAAGATTGGCATAACCTCTTCATTTGAAATTAGAGAAGATGTTAATACATTTAGCTAATACTTGTTCATCAGAAGAATTTAAGTTACAATATGGTAATATTAACAAATCAATGTTTGCAGTTGTTGAAGAAGATGATTGATATTCAATTAATTTATCTATTTTTGATACTGAAACATATTTATAATATCATATTGGATGTCCTATCTTTTCTAAATATCTAAAGTAATAAACAAATATCATTATTGGTTATCCAATAAAACAAAAAGTCATCCAAAACATTAAATTTCCTAATTAAGAGTCTTATAATTTAAGTAACTTTTTATATATTTTCATATATTTACTTTTTCTAATTTCTTTTATATTAACATAAATGGTGCCTATGCAAACATTCCTACAAATGCCCAAGCTTCTACTACACCAATTGATGCACTTACTATATATTCATGACCTAAAGCTGATACTAAAAACACTATCATATTTGAAGTGGTTCTGCTCATTCCTGATTTTAGACATGGAAAATAAATGTGTCCTATAATTTATTTTAATTTAATATTATACTAACTAACCAATGATGAACAGGTAAATTCCATAATCTCCAATATTCTTCAAGATTCTTACAATTCCACCAATCTTTATAGAATTCTCTATCTGCAAATCTCAAAAGTTCTGCTGTAATATTTAAAAAACATTAAAATTATCCATAAAATAAAGCTATCCACATATAAGTATTAGGTATTGCTAATTTTAATAATCTATCTACTAAAACCATAAGAGTTGGAGCCTTTGATAACATTTTATATGTATTTTCTACTAATGGTTCTGTATATTAGAACCAAATTATTACTAAAAAGAGTATAACAAATATGTATTCTATTATTCTTTTAATTAACCAAACTTTTCTTATAGAATTTGTTCTTAAATATGATAATTGAAAACATAATGTAGGAGCAGCTAAAAAATATAAGAAATGTTTAAAATCTAAAATTCTAGATTAATTTTATGCATATTTTTCTAATATTTTAAGATTTTCATTATTTACTTCATATTCAGCAAAAAAATGATCAAGTGTTACCTTTTTATTTTTTACTTACTTTATTCTTTAAATATAAAAGTATGTATTTCTTAAAAAGTGAGCATAACTTATCAATTTCATAAAGACTATAAATTAAACACCTAGAAATATCAAATTTAATCCTGGATGTGATCCTTAAATTACATAACATGGAATTATTATTGTTAAAACAATATTAAAAATATTCAATGTTCTTATTATACTAGGATTAAGATCTCTTTTAAATTATAAATATTGTATTCCAAATCCAGACAATAAATTAATAATTAATACTAATAAGGCTTACATAATAGGATTTCCATTGATTTATACCATTTCAAATTTCCAAAATACATTTGTTATCAATAAACCATACTTTTAAAAATTCTCAAATATCAATCTAATATGATTAGCTATTAATATTAAAATGGCTAGATTTAATATTCCTCTGAAATTTTATTCTGGTGATTCTGTACTTAATAATGATGTCCTTTCTTTTCTTACAGGTTGATATGCCAAAGGACCCATATATTTTGTATAGGTTTTTCTTGAATGAATCTAAATATCATTAAAAATTATTTACATAATGTTGTAAATAAGACATTCCTTTCTAGTCTGCAAATTTAATTGCTATGATTTTAGATTCATCCTTCTAACTTATAAGTGTAATCGTTCTTATTTATAATCATGTATACAATTAGGCTTCATCAACTGTTGGGGAACATTTATCAAAAAGAACAGAAAATAATATCAAGTTCTCATTTTCTAAAACACATAGCTTGTGTTATTCACATCTCAGAATGAATGGCTTAAAGTCATCCCTAACTAATTATGTTAATTTATCCTATGCATCAGAAATAAGCAACTCGGGATTATAGACTTTAATCATTATTATTATATTATTATTGATTCAATTATTTGGATTAATTTCTAAAGCTAATTCACTTGAAGTACAAAGGCTAAGATATTTTTAATTAACATATCTTTAACATTTTACAATCATTATCTTGTAAATATGAGTCTCACATATATTTTTATATACTATAATTTACTATTTCATAATCCATATTAATTTAAAAATAAATTCCAATTAGATCAATTATTATATCTTAATCTTAATATTTTATACAATTCATTATTTTTAAAGAGTCTAAATTATCTATATTTAATTCTATATTTAGAGAGATGATTAACTGATTTTGATAAATAAATTGATATTAATAATAGATTAAAACAAATACTTTAATATAATATGTCAAAGTCAAAACGAAGTGATAAATTAATTTAAAAGCAGACTTAAAATAAATGGATTGATAAAGTAGTCTGTAAAAACTATAGAATTCTCAGTCCATTAAATTCAGGTTCAGAATCTAAATATTTTATTAGGCACTTTTGGTCATATTTACTTAGCAATTCATCAAATTAAATAAGAATATTATGCAGTTAAGATATTAGAAACAGGTAAAAACCCAAATCTTGCTCAATCTGTTAAGAATGAAGTTGACGTATTGTATAAATTAAATGGAAATATTGGATTTCCACGGTTATATTATTTTATTTAGAATGGAACTGAGAGTTTCATTGTGTAAACTTTACTAGGATAAAATTTATACTAATTATTAATGCAAACTCCAAAAAAAGTATTTTCTTTAAAAACAGTTCTAATGTTCTTAGATTAAGCAATCGAACGATTATAATATTTACATATAAATGATTATATACATAGAGATATAAAACCAGAAAATTTTATGACAGGTTTAAAAGAAGATGAAATTTATCTTATTGATTTTGGATTTGCATCAAAATATAGAGATTAAGGATAACATATTGAGAGATAGAAAAATGAAAATGTGATTGGAACTCCAAGGTACTTGAATGATTAACTTTGCTAAGCCTAGATTTTGCCCAATTTGCTCACATTTGAGCTTATCTTAAAATCGAGCTAGTGATCTAGAAAGTTTAGGATATTTAGCCATTTATTTTTTGAAAGGTTCATTACCATGGATGCATATTCATGCAGATACACCAGAAGAAAAAATAAAATTAATTGGATAAAAAAAGATGAATACATCAATTGAAGAATTATGGTATTTTCTAATAAAAATAATAAATAGTTCTGGATTACCTAAAACATTCGAAGATTATTTTAAATATATTTAAAATATATCATTTGATGGAGATCCAAATTATGAATATATTTAAAAATCTTTTAAGAAATTATATCAAACATTAGGATATCCTTTTGATCAAAAATTTGATTGGACAAAAGAAGAAATTAGAATTTCTTAAGATAATGAGAATAATAATAAATTATAGTAATTTTTAGATGTTGGAAGAAAATCATTTACAGCTGATGTTAATATTGAAGAATTACCATCATAAATTTAAAAAAAGTAAGATTATTCTATTTATTTTTATAGATAAATTGAAAGGATTCATCATCTCAGAATCTAAGAAGATTTATTTTTAATAACTGATTTGTAATAAGATGAAATTTAAGAATTTGAACCAGGATTTACATTATTTGAAAGAATGCAATAGATAAATAAATAATAGTTGAAGAAATAAAAATGAATAAAATTTATATATTTTGTTATGAGATTAAATATTTCTTTAATTAATAAATAAATTGGAGAAGCTATTTAACTCTTTCATTATTATATGTCACAATCCAAAATGTCTAAAATATATTTACAAATAATGAGTTTTTAGTTTTAGATGTATATTTTATATTATGATATATTAAGCTTTTTACTTATTCTTAAAATTCAATTAAAGTTAAATAACCATAACTTAAATATATATTCTGAATGAAATAATCTTAAACTCAATTAGAATTTCATTAATTCAATTATGTTAAATGTTTTAAAATATATAATAGTAAGTTTTAATATAAATTTAATCAAATTTTGAGTTCATAATTCTCTTCTTACTATAATAAGTAAATGGTTTTTCAATATCTTTAGTTATATAATTAAGCAAATTTTGCCTATTATATTCTATGATTTCGAAATCTTTCTTAAATTACATAAAATTCTAGATATAATTTTTGGATTTCAAAAACTGTCACCCACTATTTATAAGTGAATAGAACTTGTAATAATTTTTTGGATCCCTTAACCATATTATAAATAATGACAGTATGAAATATACCAAAATGGAACATTTAAAATATTAATAGATAGCATGGGAATTCATTTCTCCATTTAACTAAAAAGAAAAAAAGTGTATATGTTTCCAGAACTATTACAACAATGAAGAGAATTGCCCATTCTGTTGTGTAAATTGGAATCAGAAATCTTAAATCTTAAACTTCAAAGCATTCTTTATATGTAATATTGTTAACAACAGTTGTTAGTAGAAGTAAAGGTTACATCAATTGCCAATTAATTACAATTAAGTTTCTTATTAATGATATCATTAGTGTATTCCTTGTTCTCTACATCCAATATTCTGAAATAGTTAATACAAAGTCTAGAAATAAAGGTAAAAAACTTGTAAAAATATGAAAGTAGAATACAAAGAGAGCAATGCAAGCAAATAATTCAGTATTTATTGAATTTAATATTGTGATTCTATTATCAACTTCTGCCTTTGCATTTTGATCACTAACATTTAATCCCATATATGTTAATTCAAAATTTTAACTTATTTCACATCCTTCTGAATTAGTTTAATAAATTGATATTCCATTATCTGATGATACTTTATATATTGGTTTATCAAAAAATTCACAATAATTAGAGTATTAAGATGCTGCAATAAATAGATCAAGAATCATGCAAGTTCCCAATAAACTAAATCCAATAGGTCTTTTAGTAATAAATGATGAATACATTAATTTAATTAATTAAATAATTAATGAAATGAAACTGGTATAATAATAAATTCTAAGAGATTTATAATCTTAAAATGGTGAATAAATGTTAAAGCATTATACATAGATTTATTTTTATTATTATAAAAAATTAATTATATTATAAAATAACAATTTTGAATGCAAAGTAATTTCATTATAAAGATGGATAGATTATAAACTAATAGCTAAATTGGGATATGGCACATCTTCAGAAGTTATAAAGGCTTAATCTATAGCATCAAATGAGATAGTTGCTATTAAATGTATGAAAAAAGTTTTTTAAACAATTGATGAAGTAAATAATTATTACTAATTTAGGTTAACGAATTTAGGGAAATTCCAATATTAAGAAAGTTACAAAATCATGACCATATAATAAATTTATTTGAAGTTTTATTGTAATTATTAATTCTTTATATAGTGATGAAAATACATGGAGATTTTCTCTAGTATTTGAATTAATGGAACAAAATCTTTATGAACTTATTAAGGGTATTAATTATATTTAATTAATCAAATAGATCGATAAATACTATTAGAATAAGATAAAATTAAAAGTTATATGTATCAATTATTAAAAGCAATAGATTTCATACATAAAAATAATTTATTTCATCGTTGCATTGTACCGTAATAACTATTTTTAATATTTAGTGAAAATATTTTACTTTAAGGTGATCATCTAAAATTAGCTGGCATGGGATCTTGTAAAAGCATTTATTTTTAACATCCATAAACAGATTACATAGATGCAAGATGGTATAGAGCACCTGAAGTTCTATTGACAGATGGTTATTATGATAGGAAAATGGATATTTGGGGAGCAGGTTGTGTGCTATTTGAAATTACTGCATTATATCCTTTGTTTCCTGGAAACAATGAATTTGATTAAATTAATAAGATTCATAACATCTTAGGCACACCAAATCCTAAAGTACTAGATCGTTTCAGAAAGCATGCATCACATATGGAAATTAATTTCCCTCCTAAAGTTGGAACAGGTTTTGAAAACCTTATTCCATATGCTCCCAAAGATTTAGTTGATTTAATTAAACAAATGTTAATTTATGATCCAGAAGAGAGAATTGATGCAACATAAGCACTTAGACATCCATATTTTAAAGAATTAAGAGATTAAGAATAATATAAATTATTGGGAACAAGTCTATAATCAATCAAATTGCAAGAGAAACTGTATATATTAAATTTAATTCAAAAGAGATGAAGAAGAATAAAAAAACTGTCGCACATTACCTAAATAGATTCTATTCAAAAAACCCAACTAAATTTTGCAAAACTCTATTAAAAATAAAAAATAATAACTCTAAGATACAGTTAAATTGCCTCCACTTACAAAATAATAAGCATATGGGCCTATTTATTTTCAAAGTATTATTTATTGAATTAATTAGATAAAGAAACAAAAAAATAATCTGCATAACATGAATATATTTTATAAGGTAAAAAAGCAAACTTAGGTAATTTAAAAAAAAATATCAGACAAAAATGAATAATTTATTGATCTTAAATTATTTTTAAATTATTTATTATTCAATGAGAAAAGTAACAGCTAAGGTATTGGTGGTAGGTAGCTCTGCAGTTGGAAAATCTGCCCTTATTTAATTGTATACAACTGGAGAGGTTAATTTTCTAAAGGATTATCAATTAGTATTATCTTCATTCAATAATCTTAGACTCAAATAGCTGAAATATCTACAAAATTAATTCCATTTGAATAAGAAGAAAAAGATGTCGAATTATACTTATTTGATATAGCAGGATCAGAAATATATGAATAAGCGATTTTAAAATCTAACATAGTCAAATTTAAATAATATTATTCAAGTTGAAAGACGCCAACTTTGTTTTCTTATGTTATGACATGACAAAGGAGACCACCTATGAGGCAGCTAAAGAATGGTTTGAAAGAGTAACAAAAGCTAATGGAAAGAAGTTACCAGGTGTTTTAGTTGCCATGAAGTCAGACTTATAAGCAATCAGAAAGATAGAAAATAAATAAGGAATGCAATTAGCTAGTTAATTAGGATTGTCATTCTTTTCATTGTCAACAGTAATTTATTATCTTTATTAAAATAGGCACGCAATCAAGACATCGATCACCCTTTTTAGCATATAGCGTAATAGTTAATTAAATGATATTAATTATTTTAATAAATGGCTAACATATTAGACATATTTAAAAAAGAAATCAAATTAAAAACACAAGAACAAGATGGCAAATTAATGGATTTTGATCTTGACAATGTTAAGATTGTTAAATTAGACAAATAGATAGCTGAACTTCTTGAATCTCATAGTCAGCTAGAATCTTTAAGTCTAGTAGAGTGCTCCTTAAAGACACTTGAAGGATTTCCTAAATTACCAAATTTATTGAATTTGGTATTGGAAACTAATTAATTGGAGGGAGATGCAATTAAATTTATTGCTGATGCATATCCAAAATTAATGTGTTTAAGCTTAGCAGAAAATTTAATTAAAACATTTGATGTATCTTATTAAGTATATATTATTAGGAATTGGAGCCAATCAAATAATTGAAGAAATTACAACAATTAGATTTATCTGACAATCCTATTTCTTAATAGTAAGGATACTTCTAAAAGGTATTTGATTTAGTTCCAGGATTGTAAATTTTAGATAATAAAGATAAAAATGGAAATGATATTTAATATAGTGATGATGAAGATGGTTTAGGAGGAGAAGATTCAGATGAATCAGATGATGATTTAGAAGATGATGATGGTGATTTAGATGATGATGATGATGAAAAAGAATCAAGCCCTTAACCAACTAAAAAAACAAAAAAATGATAAATTTTAAGATTTTTTTTGGTTCATTAAATTTTTATTTCTTTGTATTTATTATATTGTTTAATCATTTTTTTGCTCTTTATAATATATTTTTCAAATTATTAATTTTATTATCCAGTTCTGTTGCATTCCCTGATTTCCAATCATATTCATTGCGCACCTACTTCATAGGCTATTTATAATTATTAGCAGATTAATTTGTCCTTTATTTAGCCTAATGTTATTAAGGAGCCTTATGTTATTAATAATTTTATCTTGGAGGAGATGGCTATTTAAAGATATTATTTTTTCCAGGAGAAGGTTTTTATTAAGTAATTGGAGATGCCCTATTAGGATTAGGTCTAATCTATTATTATGGTCTAGCTGGAGAGGGTTTCTTTTAAATAGGTTATTTATTCATTGGAGCAGTATTATAAAACTTTGGTTTTTGATAAGCAGCCTAAGAATACAATATTTAATTACTGAATTTTGAGTGGAATTACGTGAATTCTTGCTTAAAGCTGGAGATGCCTACTTTACATTAGGAGATGCATTTCCAGATGAATTATTTGAATTTAATCTATTTGGAACTGAATAATTCGATTTTCTACTCCCATTTGAGTGATTACTATATGGGGAATAAAGCCTGTCAGTAACTCCTTTGTAATTAAATTTTTTCATTGATTAAGATAGTTCAGTTTCTAATTGATTTATTCTTCTTTTTTATATAGCATCTTATTTTTTAAATGAATCTATTTATCTATGATTTTATAAATTACATACTAATTAAGGCCTTCAACTTCTTTTTCATATTTTTGTATAGTTTTCTATGCTTTAACCAATTTACTTTCCTCATCATCATTCATAAGCTTGATATGCTCTTTGATCCTATTATCCATCTCTACTCTTCCAATCAATTATGATAACTCCTTTTTAAATGCATTTATCTAATCTTTATTTATATTATATATACTTCAGCCATTTACATAACAATTTCTGTATTTTTTAAATTCAACTATTTTTCTAACTTCTCCATTTTCTCTTCGTATAATAATTTTGATGTATTTAGCATATTTTATAAGTCTTCATTATCTCTAACTAATTAATCTACTTCTACTGCCCCTTTTTTTTGGGTCAAAGCCTCTTCTAATCTTTTTACTTTTGCTTTCAAAAGTTCATTTTAATTCACAATAGAATCAGGAGTTTATATATCCCTTTTACTTTTGGTAAATGAATTCGAAATCTAAAATTCTTCATCATTTTATTTCTATGATTTAAAATCTTATAGTTCTGTTTTTAAATTCTAGATTTTAGTCATTAATCTTGAGTTTTCAATTTGTTCCTCATAATTTAAGGCTAATGGATAATGAATTTTTTCAAAATCAGTTTGATATGATAATATCAGATATCTTTTATTAATTTTGGAATTTGTTGATGAACCTCTAGAAAGATGACTTTAATCTTATTATTTTTATTATTTTAGATTCTCAAGATCTTGATAAGTCAAAATATCAAATAATACCTATTTAGAATATAAATAATACATTTTCATTTGATTTTTATAATGCAATTTATAAAATGGAGATAAATACATTGAATTTTTTAGGATTACCTGTTTTGCGAGTAAGTTCTTCAATATAATCAATGGTGTAAGTATTTTTCCAGATCTAAGGTTCATATTTTGATTCTAATTCTATATATCTAATGTATAAATTATTTATACAGTAAATGTTCATTAGCTTGTATGGTGATTAAGTATTAGATTCCTTAAAGTATGATTTCAGTTTCTAATTAAATTTTTGGATTGTCTAACATTATGATTGAAAAAATAATAATAATACAAACAAAATTTCAAAATTAAAGTTCTTGATATTTTTTAATTGTGAAAGAAGGAAATAAAGTTTACTATTTTGATTATTTTTTTTGTAATAATTATGTAAATTATATGCCTTAATTTTCACCTTTCAAAAAATCAACTAATTTTTATTTTCTTGATTTTTACTATTCCTATTTATTAGATGTTTTATATTTTGTTGGACTATTTTTATTAGATTAAAGTATTTATAATTCTTCATATGTTGAATTTAGATTATCATTTTAATTTTGAGCAATACTAAAATTCTTTAATTATCTTAAATGTTTTTTCATTTACTTATTATTATTTTATTCTAATTACACATGATCAAATGTAATTGTAGAAATTTAATTAGCTTCAATTATGAGTGATTTCCGATTAGTGATACATGGTAAAAAGGAATATTGGTTTTTGATTATATTTTTACGTACAGAATTACTGATATTATGATATGATGCAAATCTTGAACTTTCAATTGAATTTTTTAAACTATATATAGGATCTTTGGATGAATAGGGTACAACAATGGTATTCAAAAAATGCTTTAATTTAAGAACAGGTTTGGTTGTAGGATTAGATCTTGAATTTGTTAACATTAATTTATTTATTATTATTATTATTATTATTATTATTATTATTATTATTATTATTATTATTATTATAAATTAAAATAGAAATATGAATGTATTATAAAACATATTTTATTTAATCCATTTTTCAAGACTTTATAATTATTAAATATTTTATATTAAAACCTATAGACTATTTTTATTTTTCTTATATAAAATGTTATACATCAACGTGCTGAAATGACTAGATCATCAATCTTCAAGATCATTCTAACACATTCTGTAGCCAAACTCAAAGCACTCCTTGTTACTAAAATTGGTTAGACTACTTATTCAGTTGTAATATCATCTACAATATTATTCTAAATTAGTATTAAATAATAATTACTTTCTTCATTCCTATTCCTGCAAACTTTTATGATTTAAGATGTCTATTTCTCAACTCAGTAACTACATTAATTGGATTCAATCCTATAAATTATGGAATATAAATTTTATTTACCTGCATTTTCTGCAAGAGTATAAGGGATTACTTCAAGTGCTTCAGCAAATGCTCTCACACACATAGATCTTGCACCTGTTAAAGTATTAGCCTTTTAAGTTAATTTTAATGATAAATGAATTTCTGGTGCTCCTCCTCCAGGAATTAATCCTTTGCTTTTAACAAGACTTCTAACAACACATAATGCATCATGTATGCTTCTATCAGCTTCATCTAAAACTAATTAATTTGATCCTCTAACTAAGATTGTTAAAGCTTTAGATTAAGCAGGCATTCCAGTAATTCTCAATACTTTGCTTTCATCATTCAAGAAAACTGTTTCAACAAGTCCAGCATTTCCTAATTTTTCTGGTGTCAATTAATCTATATGTGCAACTGGTACTAAACATAAAGTCTATTATAATTATTATCTATATATAAATATACCTTTGATATAAATTCGACATCCTCTCTTTCAATATCTTTTACAACCATTATACCTTTCTTTGCTAAAAAGTGTAATGAAAGATCATTTACAGCATCTCTTAATATACTTTTTTATATTAATAATACATTTGCACCTGATGCTACTATCTTTTTTACAAGATCTATAATATATTTTCTTTCTTCTTTCAATATTTTATCCATTTCTGTATAATCTTTAATTGCAATAGAATTCTCAACATCTGTTTTTGGTGCTGATAAACAAAATTAAAGAAGTGCAACTTTAGCATTTTCAATTTTTTATGGTCCTCCAGCTGTTTAACTTGCTTTTTAATTAGAGAATACAATTCCTTCAACTAATTCAGTATCATCAATTGTGCCTCCTAATTTTTTAACAATTTTAATATCTTTAAGATCAACATTATCAGGTTTAAGAGGATCAACAATTCTCAAAACTGCATCTACAGCAAGTGGAGCCAATTATGCACTATTAGATGAAACCACTTTTGATGAAAGTGCTGTTTACACACATTCAATCAATTATTATTTATTGTCTAGATCAACTGGTTTTTTCAATTCATCTAAAGCTTCTAATGCATTTTCTAAGGCATATTGGAATCCCTCTGAAATAGTGGTTGGATGTATTCCCTTCTCTAAGAGGACTTCACATGATTTCAATAATGCTCCTGCAAATACTACAACTGATGTAGTGCCATCTCCAGCCTCAACATCTTATGCATGAGAAATTTCAACTAACTTTTTGTAATATTCTATAAATTACCATTTTTGCAGTAGGATGAACCAAATCCATCTATTTGAGTATAGTGGCTCCATCATTTGTAATGAGTACTTCACCTTTGGCATCTTAAATCATTTTATCCATTCCTCTTGGTCCTAAACTGGTTCTTATTGCATCAGATACGGCTTGATATATATATTTCATTTTTACCTTTAGCAGCCTAGATATTTGTTAATCTGATATCTTTTGTTTTTTCTGATTTATTGAAGGTATTGGCCTTTTGCTATTATGATTATGATGCCTACTGTGGTTGACTCATATTTAAAAAATAAATTTGTTTTATTTAATTTCTGGAAATAAATGTACATATTAATATATTGGATCAAGCCCTATTTGGATAAAGGAATACTCTCAAAGTAGATCCAATGGCTCTTGGTGGAAGATTTCTATTGAAACGAGCAATCACAACTCCATTTGATCCATGTGATTTGCTGATTCTACCCCAGATAGTCTAAAAAACATTAGGATAATGAATTACTCTAAATTTAGTATTGTTCTTAAGAGAGTGAGCCTTGTAGATATATGCTACTCTTTTTCCCCAATAGAATCTGCTAGATGAGACATCATCAACATGTTAAATCTTTAACAATGCTTAATTCTCGTTTTATTAAACTTTAGATCTTCTGAAACCAGTGAAAGCAGCCTTAACCCATAATCTTTTTTCAAATATTCAATGTACCTGACTGGTGCTTTGTTATTAACCTTAACTTTCTTTACTGTTTTGGTTGCCCCCTTTTGTTATTGTTCGGCCTTCATTGATTAAAATCTTTGTTATTTTAATTTAAATAATTAAATTACTCTAAATAATGAAAATAACTCAAAATGCTTCACAAAAACTCTTTGTTTATAATCACAATCACAATAAAAATCAACCATCCAAACTTAAATATCATTACACCATATATTTTAATAGTCATGACTCATCCATCTATCAACTCAAAGTAAAAATTAAATAAATTACTTTGATTCCTAATTTAATTTATGTTTCATTTACAGTGTCTTTTAATAAAGCATTTGATTAATGTGTGCTATAATTATTTAATTTTATTTATTAACTTTTTAGTTATTCTGTTATATATTAGGAACCAATTTACTAATATCTAGATATCTAGAATTATGTTTCAATATAATAATTATATATATTTTAGGAATTCTTTAGAAATAGGATATAAATCTTTGGAATTATTATTTTCATACTTTATTTTAACTTACTTTTTGTTACTTTGAGTTTCATACTTTCCAAGGTTAGTAATTATCTTAAATGAAGTTTTGTGGACTATTTCTAATTCAGTGATGGATATTATTGAAAAAGACTGATATTAAATTTGATTATGATCATTATATAATATAATAACATATATGCCAACATAAATTAGATAGATTATCTTTATAATTATTTCATTAAAGTTATTAATAATTATCGTTAAGTATAGAAGCATTAAATCTTAATTAATTTCTATCAAGGTCAAAAAATCTAATTGATTCATATATTTATTGTGATAAACTTATATTTCTTATACTTTTACATAAATTCACAAATATAAGGATCAATCTTAATTTTATTATTTTATATAAAATAAATGGGAAATAATAATATCTGTTGTGTTGATCAAAATGATGAACCTATCGATAAACGCAAGTACTAATTCTAAAAGAAATTACATAAACTGAATAATTAACTCATTTCTCAAGTCTAGTATCAAGACATAATAATATTTCATAAGGTTTGATATTTATGTATATAGAATTTAGTTGTATAATTAATTAATAATTGCAATGCTCCAAGATATTTATCAATAACTGAAAAAGATCCAGAAACAAAACTTGAGTTTTATTTTAGAATGAAACTAGAAATAGAACTTAATCAATCAAGTTTCTTCAATTTACTTATTGCGAATTACTTTTTACATTTCAATGAGATCTATGCTGATGAGGAGGTCATTGATATCATTCAATAATTTGATACTATTTCATAAATACTTAGAATAGTTATCCTTTAAGGTTTCTAGTAGGATCTCAAACTCTATTTTGGCAATGACCTTGATAAACTACCTGAACAGGAATTACTTGTTTAAAGAGTGCTTTAACATTACTTATTAGGGAAGGCATCTCCCATTAAGAATAAATTTAATTAGATGCTTAAACTCTATTATCAATAAATATAAATTAATGAATTACATTAATCAAATATTCCTGAGAAAGGTACAGTTTTAGAGCATAATGATTTTGAAATAGACTAAGCCTTATTACCAATATAAGGAGGAGAGATAGTTAACATTTCTAATGATAGGTACAACTTTTCAAATATTTATGTATTAGTTTTCTTGAATCATCTGGTGGATCTGTTAAACCAATACAACACTAAGCAATTATTCAAATAGATAATATTATTGAAAATGCTGAGAAATAATTTAAACATCTTCCATATGCAACAACTTTTGAAATACTTAGTCAAATGATAAAAACAACTAAACCATGGAAGAAGTTTCTTCTAATTTAAAAATTTGATAATTTAATTACTAAAACTCTTTTAACAAATCGAGATTAAAATCAATTATAAAGTATACAAGACATCCTTTTTGCTGAAGATTCTAGATCAGATATATACTTATATATTTTGTAAATTCTATAAAATTTATTCTTAGCCATCAATATGGACAAAAATTTAAAGTTGATTTCAAAGAACACTTATTGAACTCTCTTAAATTAATGTGGGAATTTGATGGATTACTTGGAAGTGATATCAAATATATTTACTGTCCTAGTTTCCTTAGATTTACTAATGTTTTAGAAATGTATTTGAAAAGTGTTAGTTTATGATATATTCTATATAACATTATATTCATACCCAATATTCATTTCAATACAGATTATTTTTAAGGTCAATTATAAAATTAATTATTATGATTCAAGCTCTAACTAAATTGGACCCCATCTAATAATACTATGTCAACGACAACTATCTCAAATCTATTTCATAAAGAGAGATTAAAACCAATACATCCTATTCTCCTAAAGCATTAATATAGGGGTATTGGAAGAAGAATTATTCACCTTTTGTCACTTTAAATTCATCAAATGAAGACTAAAGAATCACTTTACCCTAAATTAATACCAAATCCTACATAGCTAATGATTCTAGAAATGAAGATAATCAAATTGATGTAACTAGTAGTTTCATTCATAACATCCACTAAGATTCTAATTTATCAAAATATTAGATTAAACCTGCTTGTGCTAATTATTATTAAATGAGAAAATAAAAACATAGTATCAAAATACCTGGTAAAATTATTAAGGGAAGTTTTCCCCATAATAAAAATATTTAGTATCGCTCTCCTTAATAAAATACTAATGGATTAAATATTGAGTAAATTGGGATTAAATAACTAACATAATCTAAAGTTAAAATTAAATCATCTATTTCAAGCAATTCTTCTCTCGAAAATAGTTTATCTTAAAATAAGGCTATCTATGAAATTAACAAAAGCCCTAAAACTTAGTTTATTAGACCAATTACATCCTTATCAAAACCAACTCCTGATATCTAAATCAAGAAACCCTTTATTAATACAATTTTACTACAACTAGAATAAGTAAAAATCACAAATTCTTAAATAAGTAATGTTGCTTTAATTGTCTTTGATGAACTACTAGGATTTTGTGAATCTAGTTATTATGGGTTTTAATAGGACTTTATTTAATCTCAACTCTATATAGATTATCAAAATATTAAGGATCATTATTTTTCTAAATTGATACATAATTCTACTATTTATGCATTAACAAATTTAAAAGATCTGATTTATGCTTTATCTAAGAATTTCTAATTAATCTTTCTTACAAGACATTTATAAAATTAATTAACAGAGTATGTGAATATTAACCGTTTACCTATAACAGCTATCTATTAAATGAAAGATATTAAACGATCTTCCATAAATCTAAAAGCTCTAAATTGTATGGAAATCCTTAATGATCTTTAACTCAACAAGCCTAGCAATATTATTATTGTTTAGACTTATGAAAATGCAGATTACAATTCTAATTCAGATATAAAAATTCAAGAATAATCAGTCATCTATCCATATGGAATTGAGAATGGTGTAAATCATTTGTACACTCTCATATTACCAAATCTAAGCATGTAGTGTCTTTTGAAAAATGATCAGAAGCAATCCAATCTACTTTTCCATTCACTCTATTATATTGAATAATTTTGTTAGTCTCTTTTAGTTAATTGTTTATTCGATCGTAAAACCCTTAACTTTACTAATTTTAAACATTCAATTTATATGAAACAACTTTAAGATAAAATTGAATTCAAACTCAATTAAATTGATAATCTTAAATCATCTCAAAATTTACAATCTTAAAAGTATTCAAAAAAAGAAATGATTATTAGAATTTCAGAAAAATTTGAAAATCCTCAAAAATACCAGGAATTATCATCAGATCTTGTATTTAGAAATAAGAAAATAATAAAGAGAATTGGCAGATATAAATAGGAATCAATAAACTTACTTTTAAATGTTAAAGAACAGTTATCACAAGAATTTGAATTACTAAATTATTGTTAAACTCTACTTGAAAATTGTTATTATATTATATTATGATATTTTTATCCTACAAACTAATTACTCAATTCTAAATAACATGTTAATTTAATAAATCTCTAAATTTTAAATATCAATTTTATTAATAAGTGGAATCAGAACTTATGAGCAAACATGGAAGAATTCTTTGTTTTATTAATTCTGAATTAATAAGAATTAAATAATTTATTTATCATTAGTTGAATGAACGGAATATCAAAATTACTAAATGATATTATTAAAACTAGCATAGTGTTTTAATAGTTTACTATGAAACTACCGAGCTTAATTTAATTAATTTTCGGACTCCTTGCATAACTTCAGATGGTAAGTTATTTAGAATAGCCTGCTTTTGAACCTTATAAATCTTTTACCATTATTTTATTTTTTACTAGACCTCACATATATATTATTACTTAAGGAAATTATGAAATTACATTTGTTGTTTTATTTCTTTTAATTTAAATAGTTATCATCATTTGGATATATTATTGTATTGTTTTTAATTAAACAAAATAGAACAACATAATAAATGAAATATAATTTAGTCAAATGAACTCAAATAAATTACAAATAATTATTTCAATCATCTCCTTATTTTTATTTTTTAATAAAGTCTATTTAGGTCATAATATAATAGAATTTTGTATGCTGCTTCTTGCTGATAAAAAATAAATTTCAGTATTTTTTGTCATAATAAGCATCATCCTAATCCTTTAAATAAGTATAATATTATTTATTTAATGGTAATTCTTAAATAGAAGCATTAGATTTATACCTTAATTGTAATATTTAACAATTAATTAATCCCATACAAATATAATAAATTTATACTTAAAATTACTTCAAATAATAAATTATGCTTTTTTGGAAAATAAAGAAGCAGCTAAAATTGCTTAAGCAGTATTGATAATCCTAAATTTTATTCATAAATTTTGGTAAATTAGATTTAATCATATACACATGAGAAATCCATATTTATTAATAATAATTATAGTTGGTAGTATAGGATCTATAATGGCAATTTTACAATTATTTGAATGTTTATTTAATTGCTTTACATTAAGATTGTGGATTCCATTAGCTCCTATAAGTCTTTTCATAATAAGAGGATTATTAGATAGAAATATACATTAAATAATGAGTAAAAAAGGTTTTTAGGAGATAACTATTAGTGAATTAAAATATGTTTCTTGCATTATTGAAGAGGGTATAGATACTAAAAAGTTAGAGAATTAAATCTTTCTTTTTTAGTATGTTTAACATTTTTGTTAAAAAAATGAAATCTTGTTTTCATATGAGTAACTACTTTCTCAATAAATTATTGATAGGATAAGATAACATATGCTATAATAGATATTGAGATAATTAGAAAATCTATCAGAGAAAATTAGAAATCCTTTCTATTTAGGGTAGATATATATTAATTATGTTTAAACATTAATTATTCTAGATAAATATGTTGAAGCATAACATATTATTGAATAATTGTTTAGATATAAGAGCAATAATCCTTCAATTATGAATTTAAGAACATATAGATTAACAATAAGAGTTGAACTTAGCAATTCATAATAAACCTTTTTAAAAATATTAGAATGTAAAATAATAGCAATGATGTAAAGTAAAATGATTTAATAAACTTCAAAAACAAAATCCAATTAATAAACAATTTCATTGGCTATGAGATAATTATCTATTATTAATTCAAATACTATTGATGTTTAAACAATGTTTTTAAATGTTTTAATATCAAAAATAGAATTTTTCAATATTATTTTAAATGATAAAATAGAGTAGAATCAATTAAATCGCAAAGTATAAAAGATCTTATTAGAAATGGAAACTTTTTTATAGAAATTGAAATCAAATTATGAATTGTTTCCAAGTATATTTATTATATTAATTTTTAAGCTATTTCAAATTAGAGTGTTTTGATGTTCTATCAAGTAGAAATTTTGAATAATGTGTTAGATGCATATAACTTTAGTTAAATTATTGCACTTGATGAAGATATAATACTTAAACATAATTAATCAGAATTATTTAATTTTTTTAATTAAAGTTTTAATTTTGTAATATTCAAAATTATAGATGTATAAAACATAATTATTGAATACCATTCAATAACATAAGGTTAAAATTTTAAATTAAAAGAAGGTGATTAATTGTAAACCTTAATACCTTAATCACTTAAACAACAACATTAATTTTTAGTTGAAAATTTTCTTGAAACAGGTTAAAATAGATTTTTTTAATCAATTGGTGAAACATTTATAAAAATACGATAAGGTATAATATAACCAATTGATATTTGTATGGATTTGAATCAAAAAAATTCATAAAATATAGAAATTATAACAGTTTATAGGTTGCCATAAAGTGAAAAACATATAATATTTGTAGATTCCAACTTTAGACTTTAAGAAATAAGTCATAACTTATTTTTTGGTGGTTTAAATCTTTCTGAAGTCTATTTGGATCATATTATTGGTATTAATATAAATAAAGTAATTCCTTAATTTAAAAAATATATTGATGACAAAACATATGATATAAAAATATGTCCTATTAATTTTATAAGCTGTTAAGAAGAAGATGAATAGAGAGGAAAAACAAAAACTTTTAATTGTTTAGATGAAATTGAAAATATCACATTATATTCATGTCATTTAACTATCACTCAAAGATTCTTTTAAGAAAATCAATATATATTTGTATTGAGATTAGATAATCTTAAAATAGATAAAGTTAATTCATGTACATAATTTAGATATATGCAAAATTCTGAGAATCCTTTTGATATTGATGAATAAATTGAAATAAACTTACCAGATCCTGAAGAAGATTATTAAAAGTAATAAATGATATTGAATACAGAACGTCATGAATTACAAATTGATTTATTATAGGAGAATAATGATTTCTAAATTATTCCAGAGAAAAAATAAACTGAAAACTCTTTTCCTCGTTTCAGTAATAAAATTAATAGAAAATTAGAAAATTTTACAAATTTATCAAGTATTGCTAAAGTAAAAAGATCTCCATATTATCAAATATTTAAATAATCCTCAATTATTCTCAATTCTCAAAAATAATCTAAGAATTGGATTTCATTAATTATCATTTATTTAATATATATTCTTGTTGCATTTATCTTTTCGATAATTATATTTGATGAAACCTTTTATTTCAAAGAATTGATATCTCATTTAGAACTACTTTCTATAAAGAATGAAATTTATTAACCAATTGACTCCTTTTTAGTCACTAGATATACTATTGTAACTTATAATTAATTACTTAATTTGAAAATGATTGATGAGATAGAACATGCACAATTTATTTAATTTCCAAAATCAAATTTATTATCAGGTTATGATCTTTTAAAATAGAGTATTACAAAGGTATTATATATACCTGAATTTTAACCATTTTTAGAAGAGAATTATTTAATACTTTCCTTATATGTAAAGAATAATACTGGAGTGAATTATAATATAAGTTTTAGAGAATCAATTCATTTATTACTTAATTATCAATATGAATATAAATTGGCTTATACAGTAAAACCATTATTGACAGATGGACCTTATTTTTATTATTCATATAAAAACAGTTAAATATTATATAAAAAGTTTGTTGATCTTGAAAACTTTACTTTATAACAAACATTAATATATTCAAATGAAAAAATGAATAACATTAGATTATACATAACATTATTTGGAGTAATATCTTTCATATTGATTATTCTAAAAATCTATCATGTAAAACAGATTCGAAATTCCAAAAATAAAATATTATCTATTTTAAAAAATCAAGATCTACATCAAGTTGAATTGGAAATTATAAGATTAAAATAAATAACTTTGAAAATCTAAAATAATAGATAAATGATCTATGGATATTCTATGGATCTGGATAATATTGATAAATCTTTGAAAAAAAAACAATCAAATTTTAAATATCGTTAAATTAACAATAAAAAATTGGTTTCTCTAAATATATTTAGAAAAACATTCGCAATATTATTTCATTATCTAATATATTTCTTAGTAAGTTTAAGTTTCTATCTTATAACACATAATTAAATAATCTATTATTAAAATGTAGCAAAATTTTATTAGAAAATATCAGATGCCAGTGTAAATATTTTAATTATTTATGCTTGGAAAGAAGCCTTGTATTATAAAGCTACATTTACATTTTTCACTCCTTCTGAAATTTAAGATTTATATTAACATGTAGAAGAGAGTTTAGATTCATTAAAAGAGTTTAATTAGGATTTACTTTAATTGGATTAAATTAATGAAATTTTTGGACCATCTACTCAAATAGTAGAAAAAATAACTTAAATTTCTGTCTGTGATAATTTAAGCGAAGTATATACATAAAAATATCATATTTTAGGAATATAAGAAAAAGGCTAATGGGATTTGTGACAAAGTTATGTAGGGAGTATTAAAAGGAGGACTTGTAAATGCATTAAGTTATGTAATTAACAGCATATCTAATGAATATGAAACAACTCATTTTGATACTAGATAATCACTAGATAAATTAGAATTAGAAGGTTCAACACTTTTATCAGATGTCTTGTCCAAATTTTCTGGCGTTATAAAAGAATAATTTGAATTTTAAATTACTGAATTGTAATTTATAGTTTATGTAAGAGTTTTTGTCTAACTTAAGATTGTTGTTTCATTGTACTTAGCATTTGAAATCGTTAGTATTTATTGTTTAAGATTAATATCAAATTCTGAATTAAATAAAATGATTCTTTTACAAAAGTTCATTTACTTAATTCCATAAGGAACATTGTTTTTTGATGAATAATTCTAGAGAGAGATTAAAAGATTAATTTTAAGTGGCTAGATTGTTTGAAATAAATTATATATATTTATGATCTTATAATATTATAAATCACAATAACATTTTGAAAATCTCTTGATTTGGTTATAAAATTCTAAGTGTAATTTTTAATTCTTCCATTTTATTTTTAATTGCCTCAAAATCTTGAGGTTTTTTAACTTTCACTCCAACTAATGCTGGTCCCTTTTCTCTATTATTTTTTCTTGTGTATTCTAAATTAGTGATTTCATCTGTTGGTCCTATATTATATATTGATTAATATATATACCCAAACATTGTATAATAAACTGTTTTAATGCTCCAGGTTTTTAAAAGAAATTTACAAACATATAATATTATAGACCCTAATGAATTTCTGAAAGCATTCTAATATCAGTCATTCTTCCTAAATCATTGTTACTTCCAGAAATCAAACAAACAACAGTTTTACCTCTGATCTCATCTTTAAATCTGTCTAAGGCTGATATTGCTAAAGCCCCAGCAGGTTCAACTAAAATACCTTCTTCATTAAATAATTTCATCATAGTTGTACAAACATGTCCTTCTGGAATTAATATAATATCTTTTAAAACAGAATTTAAAATTTCGAATGGTATTGCTCCTGACTTTTTAATAGCAGCTCCATCAACAAATGTGTTAATACTATCCAATTCAACAACTTTTTATTATTTAATTGCCTCATACATTGAAGGTGAACTAAATAATCAATATATATATATACCCTTCTGGTTCTACACCTATCATTATTGTTTCAGGATTAACTTATTTAAAATAAGATGAAATTCCTGCTCCACATCCTCCACCTCCAACAGGAAAGAAAACAAAGTCAATTTAATTTTCAGGAATATCTTCAAGTATTTCAACAGCAATAGTTCCTTAACCTTCTATAATTTTCTCATCATCAAAAGCATGTACATATATACCGTTTTCATTATTGCATCTTTCTTTACTTGCTCTAAAACTCTCATCAAATGTATCTCCAATCAATTCAATCTAAACATATTGTTTTCCCCAAGATCTTAATATGAATTTAATATTACTTGACAGCATTAAACTTAATATTAGGTGTACTTGTTGGCATGTAAATAACACAGTTTATTTTCAATAAATTACATACATAGGCAACACCCTAAGCATGATTACCAGCACTAGAACAAAATACAGTACGATGTCTTTCACTTTCTGGTATAGATATTATTTTATTATACGCTCCTCTTAACTTATAACTTCTAACAATCTGCAAATCTTCCTAAAATTATATATTTTATTTACCCTTTTGATATAAACATTAGCTTCAAATTATTCTGATAATTTCATTGATTTTTAAGTTGGCGTTCTTGTTATAACATTTTTTAATCTTTTATATGCTCCAAAAATTTGTGAGACAGGAATTAATTTCTAAAGGTTTGGAGGATGATTATAAATCAACACATCTACTACCATTGACTCTTTCATTGTGCTATCTTCTTGCTTGTTTGAATTATTAACATGATTCTAGGGTTTTTTATCTGGAGTCTACAATAGGTCATTGTTGACAAGATTTAAAGATGAATGTGCTTTTTTAGAAATATGCATCTGATTTATATTTAATTATGACGCATTTTATAAAAATTAAGCAAATTATTAAAATATTATTTAAGCATTTAAGAATTTTTCTATACTTAATAAGTCTTAATATTAAGCATAATAATCAAGTACTAATTAAGATGGTTTTTGTATTATTTATTTAGAATATACACTTTATACTTTAATTTATCAATCAGTTTTAAAATCATATTTGGAAATATGTTTTATGTATTCCTTAAATTAATATATATATATATATATATATATATATATTTAATTAATTGAGTTGGATATATTTGTTTTTTAATTTAAAAGTAAATAAATTTATGTAAAAATATTATAATTATTTTTTTCAATTTTAACCATTTCAACCTTAATTTTACTATGATTAATTAATTAATTTATACTATTATTCAATCACTAATAGCTTGATTCTAAACCTGAGATTCCTTTAAAACAAAATAAAAAAGCATTACAGATAAATGAATTATAATGTATTTCAATAATTTAATTGTTTCAAATGACCTCTATTGATATAATTATTATATTAATTTATATGAAAATATATATTTTGAATATTGTACACTTATTCCATGAAAATAAAATAATTAAAAAGTTATTTGTTTATATAATTGAGAATATACAGTTTATAAATATAATGTTAATAAAACATAATAATAAATTTATTCAATATGTAAAATGCTTTATTGATTATGAAAGCATTTTATATTTTTCTTTATAAATTATTAATATGCAATAAAGCAAATTCAGAACAGTTTCACCAATGCAATGCTAATATATTTCAACTCCTTCCAATTGTTCTGTTGGTGGGGCATTAAAAAGAAGTAAGAACTTAAAAACTCAATCACCTTATTCTTCATAAAACAAGGAAAGTATTAACAATCAACCTTAAGGAGAGAATGATAAAAACAAAAATAGATGTAAGGAGATAGGAATTGAAGTAGCAAAGTTTTTATAATAAATCAATAAAAATGAAAGCAATTTTCCTTCTATGTATTCTTCTATAGTAGGGATTGATAATAAAAATCATGAAGATAGTTAAGCAGATTAATAATATAAGTTATTATAATAAAATCAATCTATGCATAAATAAAGTGAAATATAACAATAAGAGATTGAACAATGGAAATAAAAATATGAATAAGCTGCTATGTAATTAAATGAAATGAGAAACAAGTATGATGAGGATATTAAAATATTAAGCTAAGAAATTCAAGCAGTTAATGAACGAATTACGTCATGTGAGTAACAAAGAAACTATAGTTTTTTTGAATAGAAACCAACAGGTGATAATTTAACTAATATGAGTATGTAGACCTTCTAAAGATCATTAAATGAGAATGATAACTAGATTGAATAAAATAAACTGTTAGATGAAATCTCAGAAAAGAATTCAATTATTAAAAGTTTAACTTTTACTATAGAGAAATAAAAAATGGAGATATCTGAAGCATAATTGAGATATAATGGAGAAATAGAATAACTAAAAAATAAGATAAGTTAGATATAGGTTGAACATTAGAATTAAATTTATTAATAGAAAATGAAAATGGAGTTTTATCAAGATTCATAAGTTTAGAATATGAAAATTGCTTATAATAATTAGATTGAAATACTAAAAGAAGAAATTAATCAATTAAAATGTTTGATTGACATAAAGAATTAGGAAATACAAACTATAAATAACTAAAATTAAAGATTAAAATATTAAATTGATTTAGAAAACAATTAAATAAAATAAGAAAATGAAAGTTTGAAGTTAAAATTAATAAAAAAAGAATAATAATATTTAGAAGATGTTAATTAAATTAAAAATAATTATTTTTAAATGTAAAAAAATGAGATTGATTCAATTAAACAAAGTTCTTAAAAACAAATTTCTGTTTTAGAAAGTGAAATTAAAAATTTAAAAGAATTTTTATCAGCCAATAATTCAGAATAATAATAATTAATGATTGATAGATTAAGATAGAGAGAATATTATGAAATAGAAAATTAAAAATTGAATAATATAATTGAAGATTAAAATAATAGATTGTTATCTTAAAGATTATAGTCTGAAACTCTTAATGATGAATCAATCAAAAAAATCTAAGAGATATAATTATAATGTCAGTTATTACTTGAAGAGACTAACTAGAAAATGGAATAAATAAATAGAGAGAATATATTTTTAAAAAATTAAATTATACAAAAAGATAATGAGATTAATAATTTTGAAAATATTTACAAGAAATTAAATAATTATGAAGAAAATCTATTAAAATTAGAAGAAGAGAATTCAAATATTTTACATCATTATGAATAGTAGGATAGACAAAAACAAAAAGAAAAAGAATAATATATATATTAATTATAAAGAAACTTTGAAAATCAATTAAAGTAATATGATTTTTAATTATAAAATCTAATTAATGAAAAATTACAATATATGTAAATGTTAGAGATAAAAAATTAAGAATGCTCAGATTTAAGTTTAGAAGTTAAAAATTTATAATTGAAATAATAGAATATAAGAATTGATAATGAATTATTATACAGTAAATTAATATCTTTAAGTAATACTTAAGAATCTAATAGAATAATAAATGATCCACTCAATAATACAGTATAATTTAAGAGAATGTCAGAATAAATATCCCTTTTGTAAAATGAATTAATGATAAAAAATAAAGAACTTACTTAGATCATAGATAAATATTAATAATTAGAATAAATAGTTTGTAAAAATCAGATAAAGTAGGTTGATTAAAGTTTGAATGACTTAATGAAGAAATAAATAAGAAAAAGCAGTCAAGTATTAAACTAATGACTAAATACTATGATAAAAATAAATTTTTGTTATTATTTATCGAATAATCTTAATTATTTCATATTAATAAGATTCATTAATGAAAAATGAATATTATCATTCAATTAAATTGATTTCTATTAATTCTTATTAAGAACCATAAACTTGGAAACCTGAAATAGTTAGATTTAATACTTTAATTATTTTGTAATGGTTGTTAATATATTTTTTGAACTTCCATAGTACTTTTAAGATGACCTTATTCTACTTTATCTGAATTTATAATAGGTTATCCTCCTCTTCGATAAGCTGGTCTCAATCCTGCTACTTCAAAGACAATTGCTAAGTTTTGCTATTCTAAAAGCTTAAGTTTGCTGTCATTCATATAACGTAATGATCGATTTTCTAAATTAGAAAAAAGGTATACATGAGGATTGTAGAATCATGACAAAATCTCTTACTATAGTATAGAAATAATATTCAATAAGATTCCATATGATTGCAGTTATAATGAGAGCAACAAAAATATCAAGTACACAGTACTGTGATCTTGCTTCTTATTAATCCTAAATATTAGGGTTATTACATCTTTAAAAATGAGGGTACAATTGATAATAGGAACAATCAATCGATCAAGTATGTTAAAGCATATACTTAAGACTTTCAATTTTCTATAGATGAAGATAGGTTTTTTATTTTGCTGTTTTAATGCTCTCATATTAATGTATAAAGCAACGGAGGACTGAAATACAATGATGATAATATCCATGATGGATATAATAAGAGAAAGGGATGAGTCTTTTTAAAACATGAAGGCACATGCCACTGTTCCTAGAAATAATAATAGTAGTAGTTTAAACCCCAAATGATTCTGCTAATATCTAGATAAACAATCATAAGAAATGCTTTTTGAGTAGGTAAACAACAACATTTTTGTTGCATATGTTGAGAATAAGGTTTGATTTTTACAAATAAATTATTATAATAATAATTTCTATGCTTTGATATATTTTATATTTGGAAATAGATCATGCTCCCTTGAGTTATGATTTAACATAGTCTTGGAATCTTGGTTGGTTAAGCAATTCTAAAGCTTAATTGGCAGCATTAATTTCCTTGTTATATTCAGCAACGGTGGCATTATAAACGTCAGTGGCAAAGGCATAGTCATCGTTTTCAGCTTGTAATTATCCATTGAGGGTAGCCAAATCAGCATCAAGTTCATCAATTAATTCAAGAGTTTATTCTTATTTGGCTATTTGTTGTTAGATTAGAATGAATACTTGTATTGGCTTCGATTTCAGCATTCTTAACAACAACAGCTCTTTAGAATTCAGCATGTTCTTAGTTCAATTAAATAACTTAAGCATTGAATTCAGCAACTTAGTCAGCTTCATCAGCAGTGATTTAATTGAGTGAATCAACTAATTCAACTCTCAAATTATTGAAGGCAACAACAATCTAAAGAATATTATTTTAGACATTACATCTCTAAGAGCTCCTTAGTCAGCAAAGTTGGAGTCAACTGTGATTTCCAATAACACTTTAACAAAGATTTGGAATTAGTTGTGCTTTTTCAATGAGTTTTAGATTTTAGCCAAATTCTTTTAGACTTTCTTGACTTAAGCAAGAGATGGAGCTTCCAATGTGCTCAATAATTATAAGCATTCGTCAATAGCAGAAATAGCATCATTGTGTTCAACAACTTAAGCTTCAAATGTTTCATGATCATTGGCTCTTTAGACTGTAGCTTATTCAAGGGTTCTTCTGTTTTAAGCGATGTTTTCTTATAATTATTCAAGTTAGGCAGCAAATCTTTCTCCTTATGGGATGAGGACGTTATCAAAGAAATCGTGGGCATTGAACAATTCTAAGGAAATAATAAAACTGATATATATACCTCTTTCTTTATCTTAGATTTCTTATTCGAGTCTGGCAACTTCTCTATTGTGGACATCTGTTCTTCTATTGAATTCATGATGAACTCCAGCCAATTCCTCTTCCATTTCATCAACCTATAAACATATTAACTCATTATATGTACGAGTTTTTCAATCTCAGAGTTAAGCTCAGAAAGGATACCACCTGTTGATAAATGGAGTTCAGCAAAGTTCAAGATGAATTTACCCCAACCAGATTAGTGAATCTAAGCGAAAGCTTTTTAGTCTTTGCTTGTCCAAATTGAGGATTAGACATTAATGGCTGTTGAGGCAAGTACTAACAATGCACACACGGCAACTTTGAACATTTATTGTAATTAATAATGAATTCCTTCTAAGGATTATTTTGCTAAAAAAAGGCAAAAACGAATTTTTCTTTTTAATATTAATTATATATATATTTCTTATACTTTTTTTTATTTTCTTATATTCTAACTACTTAAAACCTACACTAAAATACACAATGTTATATTTAATCATGTGCAATCAATCAAAAAAATCATAATTATCGTATTTTCTCGATCAATTTTTGAGAACCACTATTATGTATATATTAAATTCTCTGAATTCTGTCTTTATTACTTATTTCTTCAAACTATAAACTTATTATCAATTCAAACATACATATCCACTCAAACTTTATCCATTTCCACTAACATAAATACCACTTCCATTTATTATCCCATTACTAAATTCCCCTTCATAATAACTTGAATCATTCCAAACCAATATGCCCTTTCCATTTATCTTATTCTTACTAATCTCTCCTTCATATCTAAAATCAAATCTCATTTTTACTTGCATCCATCCTTATAATATATAATTCCTTTTCCATTCTTTTATCCATCCTCAAATTATCCATAATACTTCTATCCATCCCTTCTTATCTCTTATCCCTCTCCATTAAGTACATTATTCTTCCACAGTCCTATTATGATTTAATGATCTACCTTTTACAACTTTACTCTTAGTTTAGAAAACTCCAAATCCATTAGCCTTCCCAAATTTGAATTCACTTTCGAAACTATAAAATTAAATATCATTTTACATGTCTCCATTTGAGTATATCATTCTACAAAATCCATTTAACTCATTATTCACCCAAATTCTATTTTTATAAATTATAAACTTTTACCCATCAAGTATATTTCCTATCGAAGACCATACCAGTATTCCTGTACCATTTTTTTGGTCATTTTCCACTTATCCAAAATAACAGCTGTCATCATCGAAATTTCGAATCTCATAATTGTCATTAATATCATAAACAGGACCTAGATCCTGATATAATTATCTTATTTTTTTGGATTGCAGTTTCTTTAATACTGTTTCTAAACTTATATCCAGTGATGGACTATTTGCTAAGGATTATGAAATTTCATCATTTGCTAAATGAATATAGTAATATGTGTTTTACTGTCATTCTATAAGATTTAAGACAATTTGTCATCATAAATCGACTTTTCTTGATTTTTCATTCTGCTAGATTCAGCAATTTTGAATAATTAAATATTGAAAATTGATCCAATAAGAAAATATTGAAAAGATAGGAATTTTCAGTTTCCATTAATTTAATATCGACAAGAAATGTCTCACATAAATATTTGTCACTCTTATTCCTAACTTATTTAGTAAATGAATAAATAATATAAATTACTAAAAAATGATAAATTAATAAATTTGAACTAAATTAAATAATAATATTATATCATTTTGCTTTCCAAATACGTGGAAACCAATTGTTATTTTCTTTGATTTCATGTAAAATATTGTTTACACTATTTAGCTTCAAATTCATTTTATCCATCTCACATTTACATTCATTTACAATTGTCCACATCACAGCATCCTTTTCTATTTTTTTTAAATTATTAAATTACCTTTCTGTTTCTAATTGTTAGATTCTACTAATTATTTCAGTTAATGAAATTTCGTTTCAACAAAATCTCTACTTTATGTTTCAACACCTATCTTAATATAAATATTTATTTACTTAACCAAATTTAATCAAGCATTCTTTTTTCTATAGATTTAACATCTAAATCATATTAATTTTTTCTCAAATTCTCTTTTAAATCCTTCCTTTAATTTTTATAATAAATAATTAATTACTATTAATCCAACAACATATTTATTAATGAATCATGATATTATGTTTTCTTATTCACATCCTCTTTTAGATTTTTGATTTTGTTTTTTAAATTTTTAATTTAATCTTCAGAAAGAAATTATTCATTAAAATCAGTAAAAGAACTATTCTTTGATAATACAAGTGTCTATTTTATTGTACTCTCCTAACTTCCTATATGAAACTATTTTGTCTTCAATTAATATAGTTCATTCTATAAATGAAGAAGTTAATTTTGAAACTAGGAATATATATATAATATTCACATCAAACAAGTGTCTCTGAATTAAATTGTCTATTATTAAAGAAATTTGCTTTAACAATTCTTCTAATAATGTATTCTTTTAAAATTCTTTTTCAGCAATCTCTTATGTTAAATCTCTCTATTCTTCATTCATTGAAATTGATGATCTTTATCTATGAAATGATTTTGCTCTTTTCATATACTAATTATGATTATTTATATTTACATTATCTACTACTTTTTCTACTTTATTTTATAATTCCTATTCATTTATACTCATTAATATTTGAGGAACCTTTTAGATAAACTTAATTTATAAAAAATTTCATAATTTAATCAGTTGGATGGCTCGCTATGCTAAAAAACCTATTAATAAATATACTCAACCAACAGATGCCAATAGAAGAGTGTAAACAGAAGCAGCTGATATAGATGATATAGATCTTTAATAAGCAATATTAAAATTCAAAAATTTATAAGAGAAACAAAAAACTCCATTGAAAAATTAAAGAACCAAAAGTAAATCTCCAGCTCCACCATAAAGCAATTAACCTATTGATTATTCATAATTTACATTCACTAGCTTAAAAGTAATTGGATAAGGATCTTTTGGAATTGTTTACAAAGCAAAAGTTAATGAAACAGGTGAAATAGTTGCAGTTAAGAAAGTTATATAAGATAAGAGATATAAAAATAGGGAAATTCAAATTCTATAAGAATTGGATCATCCAAATATAGTTGAAACCAAACATGCATATTTTACTTATGGAGATTCACCTGATGAACAATATTTAAATGTTATTATGGATTATTAACCTGAAACTCTTCATTCATTTAATGCATCATTTTTGAAATAACAATAGTTGTTACCAGAAATATAGGCCAAATTATATTCATATTAGTTATTACGTGGAATAGCCTTTGTTCATACAAATGGAATTTGTCATCGAGATATCAAACCACATAATGTTTTAATTAATCCAGATACAAATGTTCTAAAAATCTGTGATTTTGGAAGTGCTAAAAAATTATCACCTTTAGAACCTAATATTGCTTATATTTGTTCAAGATGTTATAGAGCTCCTGAATTATTATTTGGTGCTACAAACTATACTACTTAAGTAGATATGTGGTCAGTAGGTTGTATAATTGGAGAGATGTTTAATGGATTACCATTATTTTTAGGAGCATCAGCAGTAGATTAATTAGTAGAAATTATCAAAATACTTGGATCTCCAAGTAAAGATGAAGTATTATCAATGAATGAATTATATGATATTAAACAATACAAAATAGTTTAAATAAGAAAAAAGGATTGGAGAAAAGTATTTTAAACTGTAGTAGATCCTTCTGCTATTGATTTAATAAGTAAAATACTAACTTATTGCCCAAAAACTAGATTGACTGCACTTTAAGCATTAACACATTCATATTTTGATGATCTTAGAGATGAAACAACTTTTAGAATGTATCAATCAAAAATACAAATTCCTGATTTATTTGATTTCACAAAAGAAGAACTTTCAAATAATCAATCTTTGGCAAATAAATTAATTCCAAAATGGTATTAAAAAAGAAATAAATGCTGATTAATTTATAGAATTATATTAAATAAAATTCCTCTTACTTCAATTTGATAAATTGGAGACAAATTTAAATTAAATAATATCAAATTTGAGAAATATTTTTCATTTTTGGTAAATGTGTAGTTTCTGAATTACCTCTTCTTTCTCTAGTTCTTTTTACGACTATACCAACAGTTGATAAGATATCTCTATTGTACATAATAAATATATTACTTAGCGCTGGCTTTGTTGCCTTTCAGTTTTGTAGTAATACCTTAACTTGAAGGAACTTCTTTTCCCCAAGCTGTATTTTTATAGAGTGAAATATTATATTGATCAGTTGGAGATTTCATTATTCTAGTATCTTTTGTAATATTATTATTTGGTTTCATAATTGGAATAGAATGTTATTCTTTATCATCGAAAATAACTTAGGCAACTTATTCATAAATTTACATCGAGTTAATCCTATTGAATAATTTAATATATATATTTACTTTATATTCCCATCACTTGTAATATTTGGTTAACTTAATCTACGAATTCTATTTAGAATTTATTTTTTATCATGTTCATTTGTAAAGTCTTTAACTTAAGCATCTTCTGCTTTGACTAATTAAGCTGATGATTAATTATGAGAAGCATTGATTTATTAAGTCAATGATAAATATTCATTTCTAACCATTCTTAAAGCAGGATCATTCATTTTTTCTAGACTTATTGGTTAATCTTTTGGTCCTTCTCTAACTCTACCTTCTTAAATAATAAGAACTCCTGATTGTAAATGCATATTTTCATTAACAAGAGGTGCAAATGATTAAAATTTAATTTATTCTTTAGGATCTTTTTCTTTGTCATCTTCTTGTTTTTTTCTAATTTGAGAACCTGAATTTTAAAATTAGGATCTTCTCTTATTGAACATATTTATTTTAGTTTGGCCATCTTCAAATTTGGATCTCTCAATTTAAAATTTAAATACCCTAATGTTGCAGCAGTAGGTGGAAATTTATGACCTTTCAATGTTATAACTGAAATCAATTTTCCATCATAATCATAAGTATACAATTTAGATTTTTTATCTTTAGATATCAATTCATATTTTAATTATTATTCTTCCTATTCTTTTTATTTTCTCTTTCTTTCTTATTCTTTCAAATCTTATTTAATCTTATAATCTCTTTCCTTTTATGCTCTTAATAGTTCTTCAGTTATACTTATATCCAATGGATCATTTAGATCAACAATTCCAGGTAATTTTTCTTTTTCTCTTACATTTTTTTAATTATTGAATTATGCTTAATCCTAAAATTTAGAAATAAGTTTCAAATACTTAAATTAAGACTCTTGATCTCATAAATGTTTATGCAGTTAAAGATTGACGATTAGAATTTGTGCTTTGTTATTCTACTTCTAATATCTTTGCAGGCATTGAATTAACTTTTTATACTAACCATTACTCCTGTTTAAATCTAACCTATCAATAAGAAAGTTTGAATACAGGTTCTTCATCTTCTTCTAATCCACCAGTCAATTAATCAATTGTAAAATCTTCATGTTGTCTAAAGTATTATTGAATTGGATGTGACATTCTATCAATTGAAGATTAATAACCTATTATTGGTAACATTTTGATTTGCTCATTTTCAGTTATTTTTTTTGAGACTATGGCAATTACCTTTTTAATGAAATCTCTTATATAAAGTTCCCCTTCCACTTAATTTGTTTATTATTGAATTGGATCAGAGGCTAAGTAATATGAATGAAAATTTAGTTTCTCCATATCAACTTCAACCAATTCACTATCAGATTGAGTATTTAATTTCTCAGTGGGGTAGGAACGAATAGATGATAATTCTCCATAAGAACTTCTTTATAATTAACTTTTCATATAAATATTTTAACAGATTAATTGATTGAATACGTTTTTAGTTTGAGATGTAAGTGTAAAATTTATGTATGTTTTGAATGTTGAGTGTGCATAAATGTATGTTAATTAAATAATAATTAGTGATATTTGCAATTTTAAAACGAAGAATTTTTATTCCGTTTTTGACATTAATAAATTAATTATGAGAACTTTTGTTGCCCTTTGCTTAGTGGCTGCCGTCTTCGCTATTGACACAAACAAATTTGCTGTGCTCCTCCAAGCCGGTACTAAAGGAAATGATGCTGTTGAATCAGTTTACAACCTCTTGAGAGATTTGAAGACAGAAAATGTTAATGTCTAAGCTGCTGCCGACAGAAAGAATAACACTGATGAAGGTATTATTTAAAATTAGACTTAGAAATCTTTACTTAGGTCATTGGTGACTTGACTAATGTTGCTTCCCTTAACAAATAACAATGGGAGTCATTAGGTGCTGTTCGTACTGATGTTGAAGCCCAAATCAGAGTATGCTATTTCCCTTTAAAATTTAGGATGGATATTCATGGTTAGCATGGGCTGAAGCAAGACTTGCTGAAATCGAAAGAAGAAATGCTTAACTTTAAGACTAAAGATGTTGGGCCAATGGACTCTTTGTTAGATCATTAGCTGATCATGCTGATGCAGTTGCAGTTGTCTAACTCTTACAACAAGATGTTGCTGGATGGCTCACAAACAATGCTGGTGTTGAATTAGTTCAAAAGGCTGAAACCATCGCCGACAAATTGTCAGCATACAGTCACCTCTTCTAATAAGATGCTATCTAGAAATTCTAATCCCTTGCTGAAGTCAAGAGAGATGGCACAACTGGAGAACAAGTCCTTTCCATCTTAGCAGACTTATAAGCTGAATTAGAAGGAACACTTGCCACACTCTAAGAATAAGAAATCCATGCTGCTTTCGCTCTTGCCAAATACGTTTCAGATACTAATGCTGAAGTTGCTTGGTTGAATTCAGAACATGAAAGAAGAACAGGCTTAGTTGAAAAATTAGAAACTGTATGCATTCATTAAATAATTTGATTAGTAACTCCCAGCAGTTCTTGCTTAATAAGCAAAAGCACTCAAATTATGGAAAGATTCCTTGAATGCAGTTGCTGGAGCCACCGCTGATTTGGAAGAGAAAAGAGAATTCTATGCTTCAGAAACAGCAAGAAGATAAGGTATCTATCCTCATCTAATCTATATTAGAGGAAAACGCCATCATCGATGTTGTTATCTAATTATTCAAGGATCAAGTTAGAGCCTTAGCTTCATAAACATCCCTTGGTAGAAAGTGATTAGATTATAAAATATTCAATTTAAAAATATCCACCAAGTTAAACTACTCATTATTCTTAGTACATAAAAATATTATCAAATTATTGAATATTGTTATGATTCTTAATATAAAATCTATAGTGATCTATAAAATAAAATGATATTTCCAAATAAAAAAGAAATAGAAATTATATATAATTATTTTCAAGAAACTAAATTACACATTAGTTATTACCTTTAAAAATATGATTGTAATAAATTTTGAATTATATTTTATTTTGTACAATAATCAATTTATTAGAAAATTAGTTTATAATAATTTAATTATATTATTTTTAAAGAATAATGATAATTAAATTTAAATAGAGAAAAGTTTGGAATTATTTTGCGCATTATTATTAAATATATAGGTTCTGTATTTAAAATTTATTAAGTAATAAATAAAAATTATGTTAAATTCAAGTATCTACAGCAATGAAAACAATTCAGCTATAAAGACAAAAGGTAATTAAGCTCATCTTCTTTCAACTGCAATAAGTAAATTAGGAGATTCAAGTTTCAAATCAAGAAATTAAGATTCTAAAAACATATCTCCAGTGAGATTAAGATTGTTTAGAGATTCTCCAAAAACTTACAAAGGTTTAGAAGGTTGTGTTGTAGGATAATATCAGTAAGAATATGCATAAATATTAGTCCTCTCGCTCCAACCCATGTAGTTTTTTCTAATGATAAAACTCCATCTCCTCATAGATCAGCAAGAACATTTAGAGATTCTCCTGAAAGAGCTAAGGTTAAGTTGAATCAATTTCAAGATTGGAACTCTAAATTAGACATTCAATTATAATTATAAAATAATTAGATTGCAAAATTGAACAATCAACTTATCCAATAAAGTTATTAGCCTTACTAACATAAAAGCTCTAAATCAAACTTATTTTCAGCAAGTACTCCATCAAATTTCTAAAAGTTTGGTAGATAAAGTGATATCTCATCACTTTCTTCAAGATTGAATTAGATTCCAATATCATAAATAGGAACATTTTAATTAGGGTAATAGAATCAAATTTATTATAGACATCAAAGCGAATTGAATGGATTATAATCATCATTAAGTAGAATAATGAAAACAAGTAGAATATGATAATTCGTGAAAATATAAATAATAATTAAATATACAATTTATTTATAAACTATGTAATATATATTTAATATATTATCCAAAAAAGTATATTCAAACTTGTTTTGAATCATAATAAGCATTTGAAATTTAAGAATTTTAGTTGTTTATGTATATAATTCTTAAATATAGATTATTTAAATTCTAGCAATTAAACAGAATTAAATTGATAAGAGAATATAAAAGTAGTGATCAGAAATGATTTCTTAAATAAGATGATTAATCTTCAATAATTAGAATTAGATAGAAAGTATTGTTTTGTAGAGATATAAATAGAGATTATAAGACTCTTACAATAATATTGACAGGTGTTATTGTTCTTTATGTTTAATAAATCATTTTCTGGCAGCCAAAGCAACTTAAGTTGCAATTCTGTTTAAGTCTTATTATCCTTCTTTGGTAACAATTCTTGATCCCTTCTTTAAAAGAGATTTGTTGTCTTTTTTTAAGACTTTGATTGATTCTAATTATTAGAGTAGATATCTAATGACTTTTCCTGATCCAGATTCATGCTTACCATTATCATTGACTGATCCAAACATATGAGTCAGATTTCCAACACCCTATAAAAATTGATATATAAAAATTGAATACCCAATGACCTCTTACATATATTTTACGAGCAAGTGCAGCAGCTCTAACATACATCCAATCTTAATCAATTGGTGAAATTTCTTATCCAAGTCCAGTTTTAACAATGGATGCCCATTCTGGAATTTTTATTTTATTGTTTTTCTTCAAATATTCAGCATATGCACGAATGAAATCTTAAGCAGGTACGTCCTTCATTAAATGAGTTATATTACTTTGACGGTGTAGAATGGAGCTGACATGCAATAACAAAAATTAAAAAAATATTTTGAATATTTATTTACGAAGATATTATTTATTATTAATGGCTCTTCATTCATACTAATTGAAAATTGAATATGAGTATATAATTTTTATACTCTATTGTGATTTAGCTATCATTGAAATTGTGAATAAAAAATGAAAATAATTACTAAATTTCTTAGATTTAATTTGTAATGTTATTTCATTACCTTTGAGTGATAAAGAAATTAAGGACCAAGATTATATTGATTTAATTTAAATTTTATAAATTTATTGAATTGTAATTCTTAAATTAGGTTAAAAAGTGATTAAAATAATTATAGAAAAAGAAATAGATAGATTGATTGAGATTATAAGGGATAATGAGAATTAGATTGGAGAATTTGATTTTTGATAAGGTTTGAAGATCGATATGAAAAAATGAATATATAATAAATAGATATTTATAAGGCGGGAATTAAAATTGGAGGAAAGGGAAAATTAGATAAATAAATAAATATTGAGTGAAAGAGGAATAGTTTGTGATAGATATTTATATATTTAGATCATAATTAATAATAATTAAATGTACATTATAAGCATTTGATCGATCCGTTTTTAAAACATTAATTAAAATATATGCAAAAACTAGCCATCTTGACATTAGTTGTTGCTCTTGCAGCTTCCAAATTTGTTGATACTCACACAACCTTGGCTTAAATTGATGCTAATCCATTTGGAAATGTTGTGTTGTCAGCAATTAAGGCTCACATTCAAGCCCAAACACCAGCCAACGAAGTTAATATGTTATTGAACGGTGTCGCTGCTGGATTATAATAAGATCAAAATGACCATGATCACGCTTTCGAACTTGACACCACAACCAATAATAGAGTAAGAATATTTATTAATAATATCTTAGATTGTGGAAGATTTGGAAAAGGAAATCTTATATCACTAAAATCAAATTTCATCCAACACTTAATTGAGAGATGACACAATTGAAGCTTTGGCTGTTTCTGAAGAAGACATCAGAGTCACAATTCAAGACATTGCAACAAATGAATAAACATATGCCAGAGAAGAAGCCACAAGAAACTAATAACATGAAACCTTTGTTGCTAAGGTCGCTGCCATTGATGACGTTATTGATGCCATTGATGAAGCTGCCAAATTAATTCAACACTTGAGCTTAGGTGCTTCATTCGTCTAAGTTAAATCAAAATATGAAACTATTCACAAGAGACTCACTGACAACACCTCACACTCCCAACTCTTATAAGTATATCTTTCTTTCTATTCTCTTTCTTTAGCCAGTCGTTGCTGCTCTTACTGAATTAGCTACTCATGGAGTCAACTAAAAAGCTTTAACCAAAATTGCTTAACTTTTGAGTGAAATCAGATAATAATTAGTCTAAGAAAAGGCTACTAAAACTGTAATCATTAAATCCAATAATAAAGGACGTTGAAGATAGATAAGCTGCTCACTGGGCTGAATTCAGCGCTCATTTGAGTAACGAACACACTAGATTGGTTGAAAGAAAAGCTTAATTGGAAGTCTAAATCTAAGAATAAAAGGATACCATTGAAGATGCTCAATCATGGATCGAATTCCACACCTTAGAATTAGAAAATAGTGAAGAGAGACTTGCTGGATAATAAGCATGGTATGCAGTCTAATCAGAAATCTATGAAACTCAAACTGCTGAAAGGTATCATAGAAACTATAAACTAGAGCTGCATAAAATGAAATCGTTGACAGACTCTAAGAACACATCAGCGAGAAATTATCAACCACCGCTCAATTCATCAGCAAGAGAAATTGATTCATTAACATATACAATTATTGACAATTGTTCTACATTTAACATTATATCAATATTCTCTCTCACTTTTTTTTCACTCCTATCATTATTATTTATATTAAATGAAATTTTTAGCTCTCATCTCAGGAGGCAAAGATTCCATCTATAATATCATTAGATGTATACAAGAAGGTCATGAACTTGTTCTATTAGTGAATTTATATCCAAAATGTACAATTACAATTCATTTAAATTAGAAATTGGAATAGAATCTGATAGTTTCATGTATCAGAGTGTTGGCACTAATGCAATCGAAGCTATTGCTTAAGCTATAGATAAACCCTTAATGACAAGAGAAATATCAGGAAAACCAAAAATTACTAATTTAGATTATCAAAGCAAAGATGAAGATAGAATTGGTGATGAAGTTGAAGATCTTTATCTCATTTTAAAAGAAGCCCTTCTCAAATATCCAGATATCAAGGGAGTCAGTTCTGGAGCTATTGCTTCTACATATCAGAAATTAAGAGTAGAAGATTGGTATATTGATATCCTAATTTTAGTTGTAATCGATTAGACTTAACATCTCTTGCTTATTTGTGGAATCAAGATTAATTTTCTTTATTGGATTAAATGATGTAAAATAATATGAATATAATCCTAATTAAAATTGCAGCTATGGGATTGACTTCAAAACATTTAGGAAAAACCATAAATGAGCTTTACGATTATTTCAGAGAAATAGTACTATTTTTATTAAAAATATGTATAGAATAAAAAATTTGGTTTTCATCCTTGTGGAGAAGGAGGAGAGTTTGAAAGTTTTGTACTTGATTGNTTGAAAGAAAAGCTTAATTGGAAGTCTAAATCTAAGAATAAAAGGATACCATTGAAGATGCTCAATCATGGATCGAATTCCACACCTTAGAATTAGAAAATAGTGAAGAGAGACTTGCTGGATAATAAGCATGGTATGCAGTCTAATCAGAAATCTATGAAACTCAAACTGCTGAAAGGTATCATAGAAACTATAAACTAGAGCTGCATAAAATGAAATCGTTGACAGACTCTAAGAACACATCAGCGAGAAATTATCAACCACCGCTCAATTCATCAGCAAGAGAAATTGATTCATTAACATATACAATTATTGACAATTGTTCTACATTTAACATTATATCAATATTCTCTCTCACTTTTTTTTCACTCCTATCATTATTATTTATATTAAATGAAATTTTTAGCTCTCATCTCAGGAGGCAAAGATTCCATCTATAATATCATTAGATGTATACAAGAAGGTCATGAACTTGTTCTATTAGTGAATTTATATCCAAAATGTACAATTACAATTCATTTAAATTAGAAATTGGAATAGAATCTGATAGTTTCATGTATCAGAGTGTTGGCACTAATGCAATCGAAGCTATTGCTTAAGCTATAGATAAACCCTTAATGACAAGAGAAATATCAGGAAAACCAAAAATTACTAATTTAGATTATCAAAGCAAAGATGAAGATAGAATTGGTGATGAAGTTGAAGATCTTTATCTCATTTTAAAAGAAGCCCTTCTCAAATATCCAGATATCAAGGGAGTCAGTTCTGGAGCTATTGCTTCTACATATCAGAAATTAAGAGTAGAAGATTGGTATATTGATATCCTAATTTTAGTTGTAATCGATTAGACTTAACATCTCTTGCTTATTTGTGGAATCAAGATTAATTTTCTTTATTGGATTAAATGATGTAAAATAATATGAATATAATCCTAATTAAAATTGCAGCTATGGGATTGACTTCAAAACATTTAGGAAAAACCATAAATGAGCTTTACGATTATTTCAGAGAAATAGTACTATTTTTATTAAAAATATGTATAGAATAAAAAATTTGGTTTTCATCCTTGTGGAGAAGGAGGAGAGTTTGAAAGTTTTGTACTTGATTGTCCACTATATAAAAAAAGAATTTAAATGTAATATATTCATTTTAATTCTCATAGAAACGAAACTGAAGTTATATGCCATGAAGAAAATTCTGTAGCTCCAGTTTATTATCTTTTAATAAAAAAATATGAACTAATCGATAAAAATTGAGACTTAAGAAATTTGTATTTTAAATTAATAAGTACATTAAACTTCTGAAATTGATTATATTTCTAGCAAATAAAACAAACTCATAATTGAATCAAATATATCTATTTTTTTGGAAAAATCATCTTGATTTATTTAAATGTTAGAAATAAGAGTCTTCTTTTGAAATTATTTTTTTTGTACTTAAAATTTTCTCTTTTATTAGTCTATAGGTTATTAAAATAAAAAAAATTAATTAATATAGAGTACTTTATTTTTATTGGTACCAAAAAAGTGTTAATATAAAACTTTAACATTTTTAATTAAAATTGTAATAGTATAAAAAATATGAAATTTTAGTTAATCATTAACTATTAAATCATTGCCTTTGTGAAATAGAAAAGAATTACTAAAAATATTTCAAGAAATAGGATTGTAATAATTATCTAAAGCAAAATTAGGCTTACATATATTTTCTACTAATTTTCATTCTTGATTAGTTGAAAATGATTAGATTAAAAATTATTATTTTTTTATGAATATTTATATATTATTAGGTCTAAGTATCAATCAGTTTATTAATTAATTATATAATTTTTGTTGTAATATACTAATCTCTATTATCTATAATAATTTCAATAAGTAATATTTATCATATATATATGAATTCTGCAACCGAATAAGTTTTCAAGAAAGTAACATTGAAATCTAAATCAACTGATTTAATATAATATTTAGACTAATTAGATTATATTTGTTATTTTCAAAATATTAAAGCCTGAAACAGGGAATAATGCTCATTTAAGATGAGTAGCCTATTTAAAAATGAATATTCGACGAATATACTTAAAAATAAATGTAAAGAGTCTAAAATACTAAGTTATAGTTGTGTTTTGTAATAAAAAATAATATATAAAAAACAAAATGCAAAGTCTGTTATTTGACTAAATTATAAAAGGAAACGTAAACTGAATACTCCTTTGAAATAAAGAATGAGCACTTTATACAATTTTAGGGAAGAAAAGAGAAATTAATCAATAAAAAATCTTAATTCAGCATGATTATAAAAGTTTTATGTTAAATGTGAACATATCTAATATTAAATATATCTTTTTACCATTTGATGTTACATCACCTTTGGAAATATACCTATAACACTAGCAAAGCTTTACCTTTAGAATAATTAACAAGATGGGGACTACACAATGCCACAGTTGTAAGAAATGCCAGTACTCCTGAATTGTATGAAATCGCTGCTATGGATCCACTTTCACCAGATCCAGAGACCAGATAAGGTTCAATTTCAAGCACAGGAGCAATGGTGGCATATTCAGGTAGAAGAACAGGGTATTAAAGTGTTTGATTAATTTAATTTAGTCGTTCACCCAAGGACAAGAGAATAGTTATAGATGAACATACTGAATAAGAAATTTGGTGGGGAGATGTCAACATTCCAATTCCAAAGAAATCTCATAATTTATTGGAATAAATTGCTCTTTAATTTTTAAATACTAGACCTAGAGTAAGAATACAATATAATCAATAGTTATTTGTTGTAGATGGATATGCAGGATGGGATCCTCACAGCCGACTTAGAATTCGAGTATTTTGTACAAGAGCTTATCATGCATTATTTATGTAAAATATGCTCATTAAGCCAACAAATGAAGAATTGAAAAGAGATTTTAGTGATGATGTTGATTTTCATATTTTTAATGCTGGTCCTATGTCTGCACCAAAATTAGTAGAAGGAGTAGGTTCAGAGACTTGTGTTTCTGTTAATCTCACAGATAAAAAAATGGTTATTTTAGGAACTTAATATGCTGGAGAAATGAAAAAGGGAGTATTTGGAGTTACTCACTATATGCTACCTAAATAAGGAATCCTTACACTTCACAGTTCTGCTAATGAAGGAGTGAATGGGGATGTAACATTATTATTTGGATTGAGTGGAACTGGTAAAACTACTCTTAGTGCTGATCCAAAAAGAAAATTGATTGGAGATGATGAACATGGATGGTCTGATTATGGTATTTTTAATATTGAAGGTGGATGTTATGCTAAATGTGTTGATTTGACTTATGAGAAGGAACCTGAAATTTTTAATGCTGTTAAGTAAAATTATTTATTAATTCAAAGGTTTGGAGCAGTCTTAGAAAATGTGGAATTTTTGAATAAAGATTCTAGAGAAGTTGATTATCATAACATTTCCATTACTGAAAACACAAGAGTCAGTTATCCTTTAGATTTCATTCCTGGAGCTAAAAATCCAGCTGTTGGTGGTCATCCAAAGAATATCCTTTTCCTTACATGTGATGCTTATGGTGTTCTACCACCTGTATCCTTATTGACTCCTGAACAAGCCATGTATCATTTTATTTCTGGATACACAGCAAAAGTATAAAGCTATTTATATTTTAGGTTGCTGGTACTGAAATGGGAGTCAAAGAACCAGTTGCTACATTTTCAGCTTGTTTTGGTGAGGCTTTCTTACCATTACATCCAACTCTTTATGCAACTATGTTAGCAGCTAAAATGAATGAACATGGAACAAAATGTTGGTTAATCAATACTGGATGGTCAGGTGGAAAATATGGTGTAGGAAAAAGAATGTCTCTTAAAAATACAAGATCTATTATTGATGCCATTCATAGTGGAGAATTAGCCAAAGGAGAATTTGATAATTTTGAAGTTTTCAATCTATAAATTCCAAAGAAAGCTACAGGAGTTCCTGATTAGATTCTTCATCCTAAAAATACTTGGACGTAAATAAAAATAATTATTTTTTTATAGAAATAAATCTGAATTTGATAGAACATTGAGAAATTTAGGTGAGAAATTCAAAAAGAACTTTTAAAAATATTAAAGCAAAGCTTCTTAAGATGTCATTAATGCTGGTCCAAAAATCTGAGTAAATGTTAAAAAGATTATTAAAATACAATTAATTCTACATATATATTAAAATCTTTAATGAAGATTAGTTTTACTTATTCATGTTTATATATGATTAAGTATTTAAAATATTTATATTAAGAAACTAAAAATATAAATTTTATTAATGATAAATTAATTAATTTTGAAATAAAAAATTATTAATAGCGTTTTTTTGTCAAAATAAGTTAGTTTTAAAATATACTAAAAAAATGTTCTGCATAAACACAAAAGAGAAGGTTAATATATTAATAAACAAATGTAAAATGTTTTGTTTTATAATGTTCTTCATATTTAAGATATAAATCACATCATTTATACGAACTCATATCTCATTTGAGGATGAGATTAAGGATAAGGCAGGTATTAAGGGTTGTAATATGATTAAACTTATTAGATTGGCCAGCTTATAAAGTTTGGTTAGATACAGAATGTAATAACAGGTTGAGGAGCATAAAAGGATCCCTAAAATAAAAATGATTTTTACTTATGATTAATTCATTAAAATGAAATCAGAATGAGGTTGATATAGATTTTCATATACTTATATAGTTTGATTATCTTATTAGACATTAATTTAAGGTTGATTATATTCTTCTTATGAATCTTATTTTAAGTTTATTGTGTTTATAAGTTTAGATTCAAGTTTAGAATTTTTTAAATTTTGAACAGTTGAGCAATTTGGAATGATTGATTTACTGTTATTTTCAACAGAGAAGATCTCTTATTTTGAATTCTTTCTATTAAAGTTTCTTTCCTTCTAAGTTATGTAATTATTACTAATCATTATTTGAATTTTCTTTACTTTATGACAAATAACTGATTTAACATTGATTTGATATAGTTCACTTCATTATCTTAAAGCTATCGAAGTTCTGCTTTTTCTGTGTATCTATATCGTTTGATAAGTTATTAAAAGTCTTTCTTCATCTTCTCTTCAATGTTGAAACTTTTAAAAGAATCATCTTTGCAATATATTATTCCTAAGACACTAGGTTTGATTTATTTTAATAAATCAGATGCTAAAGAAATATTAGTATACAATTACATTAATCCAACCCGACTGCTTTACTGAGTCGACGTAAAACTTTTCTTAGAGTAGCATAAAAATAGTTCTTACATAATAAATCAGAACGACCAGGCATTTAGGAAGCAATTCTTGCCCAGCTATTTCCAAAAGATTGTTAAAGATTAAATAAATTTTATTCTTCCTCTAATGTCCAATTACTTTTATTCAAATTTGGGTTAAGAATATTTTAGTATCGTTCCCTACAAGCAGCAGGAGATCGAACTTTTAAAGGATTTTTCCCTTAAGATTGAAGTTCACGTGCAATATGATTCCAAGATGTACAACCATTAAGTTTAATAAGTTCTAATAAAAGTTTGTCTTCCTAAAAGTAATTTAAGAGAAAGTTTTACTTGATAGGACCAGCTCTATCTAGTTTCTGATGATTTAGATTACATTGTTACTGAGTAACTTGGCAAGATTATTTTAAAATAAGATATATAATTAATATGAAATGTAATTTTTGGATAATCATACTATAATAATAATTAAAGATGTCATTTTTTAATGCTGGATTATTGTTATGTTCTATTAAGCAAAAGTTTCGCTTCTTAAAGAACATCTTCATTATTACTATCATCAAAACTTTCTTATTTTTATTTCTCTATCTTACCACCTAAATTATAAAATGCTAACTGAAGATTTAATAATCATATTATTACACTTGTTATACCAAAAGTTGAAATAATTATTATTCCTATTAATTTTTGAAATTTCAACTATCTATATTATTTTTAGGATAATCTATCTTCAACTATTTCCTCACGAAGACTTCTTATGTACTTGTTAAATCTTTACATGAATTTCTCTTTTTTATAGCAAATATATGTATTAATTTAATATAATTAATGAAAAATTAATTTTCATATGGATCAAAGTATAATTCTCAAATACAATAAACCCCTTTTGGAAACTCTTAGATAATTAAAACAAATAATTAATAATCCAAATCAAGGTTACCTATATTTGATGATTATAAAATTCAGCAACCATAATCCTTCTCATAATTTAATAATTTTTCTATAAAATAATTGTAAACACAATAGAAAATTGATTAAACATAATAGTAACAATATAATGTAGTTTAATTACCAAAGGGATTAAATAACATAGGAAACAATTGTTTTATGTAAATATTTTTTAAATAAATATAGGAATGCCATAATATAAATGCTATATAGTATTAAATAATTTAGAAAAGCCATCTTAGATTTGCCTGTAAAATAATTATAAACTGATTCTATAAGTTTTCATTTGTAATCCTTATTTTAAGAGTTAAATTTCTCCAAAATACAATATTCGATAAATCCTACTCAATTTTATCATGAGATTTGTATATGATTTCCATATTCATTGTAGTGAAGAAGCATAACTAATTTTAGTTTGGTAGATAAGAAGATGCTCATGAATTTTTATTGTGTTTATTTTAAACTTTAGGATCAGAATGTAAGAACTAATAAAATGAACAAAGTTTTTTTGATGATATTAAGAATTTTTTTGAAGATATATTTCTAGTAAATAATAGAGATTTAGAATAAAAAATAGAAAAAGAATGGAAATAAAAAAGGTAATTAGAAAATAATATTATTACAAACTTATTTGTTGGTTTATTTAGTAATAAAATTATTTGCAAGAATTGTTAATTTGAATAAATCCATTATGAAGAATTTAATGTTTTAGCATTAAGTTTAGAATATTATTTAGGTATATATACATTTTAAAAAGAAAGTTGTCTTCTAAATGAACTAATCAAATTTTAATTTAAGCCATAAATCATTACAAATTACAAATGTCAAAAATGTTAATAAGATGAACATTAATTAATGTAATTAATATCATATTATTTAAGTTAAAAAATTGCTAAACTTCCAAAAATTTTAATTATTCAATTAAAGAGATTTAATTATCTGAATTCTGCATAAAGAATAAATACTAACATTATATTCCCTCTCGATAATTTATCTTTGATTGAATAATGTACTCCAAATATTAGATCATGTTCATATGATTTGTAAACAATTATTCATCATTCTGGTACTTGCAATAATGGCCATTATTATGCGTATTAAAATTATATTATAATATTAATTAGTACATGCAAGTATATAGAAAATAACTCAATAAAATGGTTTAGATTTGATGATTCAATAGTTGAGGAGGCCTAATTAGAGAAAAGACAATACGATACATATGGTACTCCAACACCATATATGTTAATTTTTGAGTAAAAATAATATGCATAATGATCAATAATATTGTATTCATTTTAATGGATAAAACACTAGTTCTTTTAGATGAACCTTAATTCTACCAGCTTCATCTTCAATATACTAATGTAATTGCTCAATTCTAGATGCAAAATGTTCTTATTAGTAAATTATTTTCTATTCAAATCCATTACTTTCATTATGATTTGAAGATTAAGCGAAATTATGTTTGATAGCATATTTAATAAAATCATTAGCTTAACAATATAATAAATCTTTTTCAGAAAATACTTATTCTTTAAATGTTTTCAATGACATTAATTTAATATTATTTTAAGCTACTATTTTATGAATTTGTAATTATAATTGTTATAATTTTTATTCTGAACCTGGGTCTTCTTTTAACAATTAAGATACTTTCTCCCAAGCATCTTCAAATTAAGAGGAAATAGATTCAAATAATTCAAATTAATCGCTTAATTATTGAAGTTTCATTTAAGTGCTAATATTAATCCAGCAATGCTTACTGTTCAATTAATTTAATCATCTATTATCCTGGACTAAATATTATTGTTTCATCCGGAAATCCATAGTCAGCATGATCTCTGACATCTTTTTTATCTTCATCAACTGTACTTTCCTAAATACCATAACTTCTTACCAACCATGCCCAAAATATTTCTTAATGTCTATGCATTGAAGTTTCAAATTCTAAAAATTAGATTATCTCCTTTAAATTTGCTGTAATTTCATTTAATTAATCTGGATCCGACAGACTAAGCAATTGATCCACTGTAAAATCCTTTAAATTCATTTATTATACTATTTTATCAATCTGTTTTTATCTTATATTCATTATACCTGGATTTATTGGGCTTCTTTTCTTTTTAATAGACAAGAAAGTTATTTGAATTAATGTCTAATTATTCTATTTAGATTTTCAAAATCCTTCACTTAACTACCTTCACTTATAAACTTAAGTGCTGGAATCTCACCTTCTTATTCTTTGGGCTTATTTATTAACTTTATTTTTAAATTAGCCACTTTCTTTTCAATTAACTTTTTATATTTCTCAAAAATATCTGATTCAGCCAATATTTGTCCAACAACTAAGAGCAAATCTCGACTTGATGAGTAATCCATTCCTGGCTTCCCATTTTTATAGATAATAAAAGGTGAATTTCTTAATGCAAGTAAGATAATCTCCAATCCATCAGGATCTGCATGTGTATTAGTAATCTCATTTAATTTAAATTCAAAATCAAATAAATCTAATATAAGTAAATTATGCATTATGCTTGAAATTGGTTTGATCTATCAATAATAAGATTAATATTATATTACTGCTTCTGATAGATTATGTTTTGCTTATCTAAAAACATTTGGATCGATATTATTGATACCAAATGCTTATAAGATGTTACATATAGCTTAAACTGTTTCTTTTACAGTTTACATATTGTTTCTTAAATTTGATTGAAATAATTATTAATTATTATATTTAGTATTAGATGGAACCTCCAAATTGTAAAACTTACTTTTCATTTAGCAATTACAAAATCTGCAATGGAAGGATTTGATAATCTCTTATTGACTTAAACCTAATTTGTAACTTAAAAGAAAAAGGTGTTTATGGAAGACAATATAAAATATGGAAAGGAAATAGATCGAGATTATAATAAATTATAAGATATTCTTGATGTATAAGTATATGATTGAATAGAAAGAATTTATAAGGGAAAATTGATAAAATTATAAAATCTTAAGAAGATGACTTTATGATTGCATATAGAGAATAAATGACAGAGGTGTAAAAAGAATTGAAGAACATGAAGAGAAAAATTGATGAAGAGGCTTTGAGATAAAAAGCAGATGAGAAAAAGAGAATTCTAGAAGAAGAAAGAGATTATTTTAAATAAGAAGCATTAAGATTAGATAAATTATGTTAAGAATAATTGAGAACTATAGAAGAACTAAAATTTAAATTAAAAATTACATTAGAAGAAAAATAATATTATGAAGGCTTTGTAATTGGTATTAGCTATTATAATATTAAATATTTAATTAGATTCTAAAAAAGAGAATAAAGCTTTAAAATATGAATTATTATATTTATATAAACAAAAGAGTGAGGAATAAAAGGCAATTACAAGATTAGGTTCAAATGGAAATGTTGGTTAAAGATATAAAGTTAAAAAGATGCTAGATTTAAGACCTATGACTTAAGATGGTACTCATGTGAGTTCAACAAAGGATGAAATTGGTGAAGGATCAAAACGAGGTTTTTCATCAATCAAATAAACCTAGAAAACATAATTGTCAAATAAATTTTAAGATTAAGGTTCTTCATTACATGATTTTTATAAAAGAGAATTATCTTCTTAATAATAAAGTAGATAAAATCCAGATATGGAATAAGTAAAAATTGTATTAGATTAGATTGAAGAAATTTCTAAAAGAGATATTATTTCAGATTTAAAGTAACAATTATAAAAAGAAAAATAATTGAATTAGCAATTAAAAGTAGAATTATCATAATAAAATTGTTAAAGAGGAGAACTTGAATAAATTTTATTAGAATGTGTTGTAGAAACAAAAAAAGAAATTCATTCTCGTTAATGTTTGCAAAAATAAGTTTTGAATCATAGATATTTGGATCTAAATCATCGTGAAGGAGATATAAATTATTAACAATTCACACATACAGATAAAATGTATTTACAAATTTAAAAATTAGAACATTATTAAAAAAATATATAGAAAGTGAAGAATTCTTAGATTAATTATATTAAATCACTTTTAATAGTTAATTGTAAATCTCTTCATCACTTAAATTAAATGAAAAATGGAAGATAGATGCAGATGAAGCAACTAAAAAATTCAATAATTTTAAAACATTTAAATTTAAACATATTACCAGTTAACGTAATCTATATATTTTTATAATAGCTATTATAAAAACACTTGTTAAGAAAAATGAAAGAGAAATTAATTCAAAATCAAATAATTTTACAGATAAAAATAACATAATTAAAAATTGAAAAATTAGATTCTGTATTATATTATTAATAACAAAAAATCATTTAAAATTGGCTCACTAAATTGTAATTAGTAACATTATTATAAATAACCTCCCAATTTACAATTTTATAAGTTATTTTACTATTATTTTAATTCTTTATTCATTTAAATAATTAAATTATATAATCTATTGTGTTTAATAAATTACTGGAGTTATTAAAACAATAACATAATTTTTAGTTAATAAATATCATATTTAGTGTTTAATATAAATTATTGCATAATTAAATAGTAGATTCTTAAGATTGATTAAATGAAGGATGTTTCTGTTTACACAGATAGATTTGTAAGATATTTATTTCTATTATTTTGATCATCATATCTTTAAATATATATATATATCAATCGATTTCTTATTAATAATTTCAGTTTAAACTCTCATCTTAATAGAACTTTAATTCTTCTTCAATTTTAAGATAATAAATAAATTATAATAACAATAGACTTTTATTATTCGATGCAATTAAAATGTGCAGAATATCTAAAAGAAGCTGTATTTTATTTATTCAAATATAGGTTAACACAAATATAGAATAAATTCGATATTCATTTATGTCGAAAGCATGTAAATAGATTGCATAATTACTACCTTTTCAATCAATGTGGCATCTATTACTTAAATAAGAGAATCTCTTTTTTTATATGTTGATGCTCTAATCAATGTTTGGTTAAAATATCAAAATGCTCTTAGAACTAATAATTGAAAGATTTGCACCAATTACATAATTTTAGATTTAATTCTTAAATGCTTGTACATTGGTGTTTTCATAAGATACTTATATGTTGTCAGATGTAATCAAAAGTCATCTTCCAAACATATATAAAGAGTGTATAACTTAACTACAGTTTTTTATCAAACAAATTCCTAAAAATGATTCTAAGGAAGGTTAGTCAGTTGCAGAATAAATAGCTTAGGCTTACAAAACCATTTTGGGAAATATTCATGATTAATAAGTTACTATCGAACTCTATACAAGTCTACAGCAAATTGTTCACAAATGGCCTTTGATACACGATATAAATCCTTTAATTTTTCATGAGGTTGAAGAAATTATTGCAATGAGAACTCCTAGAAATGTGGAGATCTAATTCTATGAAGAACCAACTGAATGTGATAGCCCATCTAAATCCAATTCAATTAGAAAAGAAAATTAGATAGTAGTTGAGTTATAAAGATGGCTCAGTAAAATGAATTATCCTATTCCTATAATATCCAAAAGAATAGCCAGCAGTGTTATTAATTCATAAAATATTTTTAAATTAAAAGAAAACATTGAGATTATGCTCTCATTTATATATTGTCCCTTAAAATACGAACCTGCAAATTGTGTATAAATTTCAATAATTTTTATATTTACACATTTTTCATGTTATATTAAGAAAAAAATTAAAATTTATTTGAAAATTTCTAACCATATTGGCCTTCATTATTTTTTTTTAATCTTTCATTTATTTGGAGAGATTTTAAGCAATCTTTACAAACTATAATGAATTTAATTGAATTATTTGCTTTGGATTATCTATTTTTAAGATACATATTAAATTTAGGAAATATATAATTAGAATAATATAAAAATAGACTTATAAACGCACCTACTCCTTTTGCCCTATTTCCCATAAGAAAAGATCCAAGACAGTGAAAATTGAGCTCAAACAGATAGAAAAATCAAAAAGAAGAAAAACTTCTCTGATTTTACATATATTTTGATTTTCAGAATATTACTATAAAATTTATAAAAATTTATTTGAGTATAAATGAATTAATACTTAAAATATAATAATATTTTAAGATAATAATTATGAAGCTTAATTAAAAAAATAGTGGAAATAATAGTTTTTGATTTGATAGTATTTTATTTAGAAAAAGAATAAGATATTTCAATATACTTCTGTCTACATTATAATATTCCTTATGCATTTTTGCATTACATAAATTATGAATAATCTTCTACATTTCTCATCAATCTCTTTTTATAAATAAATATGCTTGGTAATTATGTAACAGAACATTAAAAAAAATTGTACGATTAAGTATGGACATATTTTAATGCTGCTAAATTGTTTGAGGATATTATAAATTTATTATTTAATCCTAAAAATAAATAGGATTTATTAATTAAATGTACATCAAATTTTAGAAATAATAATATGATTGAAGTATTCACATTACATCCAGATTTTTAATTAAAAGAAAAAGTGTATTAATAAAATGAAAATAATTTTAATTTTACAGTTGAAGAAAAGATTCATTTAAAATGGGATATAGATTAAATTAAAAAATTTGTTTAAAAGAAAACAATAAAATAATTGTCATTTTTTAATAAAGTATCAAATAAGATATTACCCTCATTTAATGAAAAACCAGCTTCGATGATGGATGTCATTAGAGTAGCAATTCAGAATGCAGAAATCATAAATGAACCACATAAAAAAAGATAATAAAGAACTACACGAGAAAGGCTAATTGTTTTAAGAAGTGCATCAGTAATGTTTGATTTAGATGAATAAGATTCTTAAAAAGATCCATTTGTTCCTTATAGCTATAATCCTAATCCTTTAGAATTAAGAGTTGAAACCAAAGAGAGTAATACGAAATATGATTAAAAATCTGTTTCATTTAATAGAGATAGTCAAAAATAAAATATTAAGAAACACTCAAGAAATTTGTCATTTTAATTGTATCCTCTGTCTTTGAAAGATGTCACACTTGGAAAATGGGATCATGAATAAAAATAAGATCAATTTCAAATAGAGAAGTATTTAAAATATCATAATTTAATAGTTTAATAAAAGATGAACCATTTTGTTATAATCTACTCTAATTTTTATCAATTATTATATAGCAATTAATATTAGGAGATCATAAATTCATTTCAAAAACTCATTTTATGAATAATAGATAATAGTTGTTAGGAATCATATTGCTTGATGAAAATAGTAAAGTCTTTGATAATCTAATGAAAGTAATATTAATTATTATCATCAGATATACTTATTTAAAATTAAATTAATACCATATGTAAAAGAGAATAGCGCTGTCTTATGTGGTTAGTTAGTAAATCTAATTATAAAGAAAAAGCCTGAATACATGAACTTTTAGGACAACGCATAAACTTATATTGATTATTTGTGTAAAGTTATTATCAACTCTATATAATGGAAAACTTCAACAACTTAAGTTATTGAATTGGATATAAGTAAAACTCTATTATGTGAGACACTATATTTATTGATTGAATATGGGATAAGCAGAGGATAGATCTAATTACTAAATAGGATAACTGCTACAACTTGGAGTTGCCTAATTGAAATATGTAAATAATGTTTCCCTATTCGACCTAATCAAACATTTTAAGGGATATTTATTAAATTACTAAAATTAAATTTGGAATTTGGATCAGAATTTAATATTCATACAATATTTATGAAATTGAATTTATTAAGTGTTATTAAATAATTGGCAGAATTAACATAATCAAATTCTGTGTAAAATAAGAAATTTAATTATTTAAATGAATTTATAAAGTAAATTTGTAATTTAATATCTAATCTAATTGGTAAATAATAAACAAAAGAATGCTTTAAAGTTATTTAAAATCTTGATTCATGGAATTAACTTAAATAGTAATATAAAATTACTAATCATAATCATGCAAATAGTTTTTATAGTGTAGATTCGAGAATAATTAATAATTCAACTCCAGCAACAAGTTAAAGCTTTACAAAAATCAGAATTCGAAAATCTGCTCATTCATAAGCATCAAAAGAATGATTCATAGATATTTATATATATATATATTATAAAACCTTATAATTATTAATTTCATTCATTTTATTTTAATAAATTCTTAATCTAATCTTTGAGTTGTTTTAAGTTAAGTGTTTCATCTATAAAAAAGTATTTTTGATTCTTTTGCTATTCTAATTAAATTTATTTAGAAGGACTTAATGCTCTCTTTTAAATAGAGCTACGTTTTGACTTTATTCTCTCAACTGTTCCCTTTTGAGAGAGTTTCTTACCAACTTCTGGATTTTTCATTCTAAGATTATTTTTTTATTCATCGATTTCATTTTCTTATTTTATATTCTCATCTTTTTCATTAATTTAGTTAATATTGATATCGACATGATGTTCTTCAATTTATTAATTAATTAAAGATTTTTAACTTTTGAATTAAGGCTATTGAGAATTAGTTTCTTTTTCTGAAAATTCTTAATTAGAGATTAAAGGTTCTTGTTTTTAGTCCTCAGAATATTTAGATTATTTGTTATTTTCTTGGATAAATTTAAATTTATATATACTTTTTTCTTTAATTATTTCAGCTAATTATATTTCCTTAGAACTTGCTTTTCTTTCATTTTTTTCTTCAATTATTAATTATTATCCTTGTTCATATTTTTCAACTGCAGTTTCATACAATGATTCAAGAGTAGATTCATCTTTGCGCTATTTTGCTTTTTCACCTCCATTGGTAAATTAAACTTTTTTACAAAATTTTTCTTGTTAATTGGCACTCATATTATTCCATTCTAACATTAATGATTCAAATAATCTAGCTTTGTTTTCATACAATTCTTCAGGACTATATTCATGAATTTTGTAATCCATAAAATATAATAGTTGAGTGGACTTAACATTTGATATTCAATATTTACTAATCTTATTGATGCACTTTTTCCTGTATCACAATTCATGATAACAAAATAATAATAGTAAAATGTTTTAAATTTAAATAATCAAATTTACTAATATATAATATTCATATTTAATACAATTAATAAGTTAAATCATATAATTAATTCTAATTGATTCCAAAATCATTTATAATCATAAAATATCTCATTCATTTTGTTATATAATTGCAATAAATATTGAGATATCAATATAATACTAATTTTAATGAAAATATTAAAAATTAAATTTTATAACAAACTTAAAATAAAAATAAGTACTAATAATTTGAATTTATAAACACTAAATTTCAACATTTTTAATCAAACCATAACTAATTTTTAAAGACAAATTATATCTAAATTAATTTAACATCATAAATTACCAATTTTTATAGTATATTGTCTTATTTAAGAAGAGATCATCATCTTTCTTAATTTGTTGATTAGATTTAGTATTAAAATATCAATACCAATACAATAAAATATGATAATTAAGTAAGAAATCTTAAGAATATTTTAGATTGAATTAAAGTATTATTTTTTTATTGTCTATTTTAAGAATATTCATTAAAATAATGAGGAATTGAATATGAATTTGTTTAAGAAATTCAATAAAAATAAATTAGAAAATGGAAAAATAAAAAAGTCTAATTGATGTATAAAAATAATAATATTGTTAGCTTACTTTTGAACATGGATAGAGTTACGAAGAAAAAGTAAGAGGGAAGTAGTGGTTATTTGAGTATATGACTGAATGCTTAAAGGAGGTATTGAATTTGAATGATTGATTAGAAAATTCTGGAGTTATTAAACACTATGTTTGGAGACTATGTTAATGATCTGTTTCTTATTGCTAGTTTTATTTTGATTTTAGTAGGAATAGCTTATGATGACAATACAGAAGATGTCATACCATCGTAATTATTGAACAATTTACAAATAGACTCATTTTGTTTATAGTTTACTTATTACCCTTTCTAATTGAAGCTGGAATTAGAGCAATATAATTATTGATAGAGTAAAAGTAAAGTTGGCAATCTATTTTGTAATAAACACGCATTGTCTATACTAGACTAAAAGGATTTAAACGTGAAGACTTAGTCTTTAATGATACATAAAATTTCATCAAATAGGCACGATCATCTTCAATTAGAAGTATATAATACCTTGACTCTTAATCAAATGTGCCTGATATTCTACCTGCTTCAAATGTTGAGGATGTAAATTATAGCAATTTGAAAAGAGGAGACTTTATTCTTCTTAGCCGTAATTAATAGTGTCCAGGTGATTTAGTCATATTAGATATGAGTAATAGATATGGATACTTTTATTCGAAAAGTTATTATAAATAAGCTTTTCTTTAACGTAAGGAACCTATGAAGACAACAAAAGTTGAAATGAATGCACCTAACAAAGGAGATTTGAATTATTTGAGGAAGATTTTAAAAGGTAAAATAAGCTTTAATAATAATTACAATTTTGAATAATTTGAAGGTCATATTAAATTATCTAAAGATCCAAAAGGAGAACCTATATTACCAGAAAATATTCTTTTTTTTGGTTAAGCATTATAGTTTAGTGAATGGGTATTTGGAATATTAATCAATGTTGGTGGACAATCATTATATTGTAGAAAAGTTTAATCTGTAAAAAAACAATAGAAAAATAAAAATAGATATAAAAATCTTAGCATATTATAATTATTCCTATATATTATCATGCCCATAATTGCATCATTGATTTAATATTATGGATACTAATCTAATTAATCATTCAACCATATATTATTACATTGTTATCAACAATTTTTGGCTATTTTACCATCATATTTGAATTTATTTCTACATTTATTTGATATAGTTCTTATCATCAATGAAAATAGATCATAATTATAATCAAAAGACTGCAAAGAATTGATATTGGATTCAAAAATAGTTGGTAAATAATAGAATATAAATTATCCTATCAATATGACAGAAATTATGGATACTACTCATGTATTTCTAAATATTCAGATATTATCTGATGCAAAAATTGAAGCTTTATGTCATGGAGATATTATTTATTAGATTGATCAAACCTTGATTCCAGATTTAGTTTTATCATAATCTTTTAAAAAAACCTAATTTTATTATAATCTAATTAAGTAAGTTAATGATTAAAACATTGAAATCTTACAAGAGAAGATTGAAACAATTAGTCCTAATGTGCCTCCTTAAAAATTAAGCATAACTTCTCATTAATAATTTAATTTCAATATTGTTAAAGATAATGGATAAAATAAGAGACCTTTTTTTAAATAAAACACTTAAACTCTTCATTCTCCTATATTTAATAATCCTAATAGTGCCAGACCTTCATTAGAAATCTATCACAGTATGGATGGAGGATTAATTTAATCTACGTTAGCTGGGAATCTTTTAAATTAATAATAACATAGTTAAGTTAGTCAAGAACCTGAGGAAGAACAGGTTAAATAAGTCTAAATTTATAGGGAAAATACACTTGTTGAATTAGGATTAAACTAACCTTTTTAATATTTTGAATTATTTTCTGTTATATCATTGTGTCATCTAACTAGAAGTGAATTAATGAGTGGAGGAGAAGAAAACAGGTTATCTTCAAAAAATTCAAAATTAGGATTTACAGAAAGAGATAGAATAAGAAAACCTAAATTTAACATTGATTAATATTTTCTAGCTGAAGATGAAGCATTATTAAAATTAAGTAAACTTTTCAAAATTTCATATAAAACTTATGGTTATAATAAATAAGAGTAACTTTGTTATGTATTAAAAATTAATGATTTAGAAATTCCTTACATAATTCATTATAGATTATATCATTAAGGATTTATAGATTATGATGAAACTAAAAACAATAAAATGTTTAAAATACCTTCTAGATTTATAGCTATGATGATTTAAGATAATAATTTTTAAATAAAAGAATCAAATTAATTGGTATTATTGTGTAGATTCTGTATTGTAACAATTTCTGACATTCCTGGATATGAGAAATTCGATTTAGTAAAGAAAACATAATTATAGAAATAAATCTAATATTTAATTAATAGAGGAGATATTATTGTATGTTTTTTAAAAATGTCAATAAAATAATAAGATCTATAAGAATCAAAGAGTTTGATAATAAATGATTATGAGAAAACTATTTAATTGATAGAATTATTATCTGAAAATTAGTATGATATTATTGGTCTTTTTGGGATAAGTTAAAATGATAATTAAGATTTAATTAAAGAATCCTTTATTACTAATAGAGCAAGAGTAGTTATTTAATCAGAAAAACCATACGAATTAGTTTTACCATTTTGTATTAAAAATAGTGTTTTACATAATGAAACTATTACATATATATTCTAATCTTCTTCAAGAGATGATATACTTTATTAAATTAGATAAATTATTAGTAGTCTAAGCTAAGAGGATCCAAAGAAAAGTTCAAATTAATTAAATCGTAGAAATGCATAAGTTCAAACTGATAAAATTAAGATTAATAATAATGCTTTAATTATAGATGGAAATGTATTGGATTTAATTTTAAATGATAAATACCTCAATAATCATTTTGGATTTATCATTCATTTTAATAAAATTATTATTGTTTATAATATGAACAACAATTTAAAGTAAAAATTATTAAATTTTGTAACTACATATGATAGTGAATATTCTTCATCCTTATGTGTTAATTATAGTGCAGGATCACATGGTTTAGTGAAAATGAGTAATTTCTCTTATCAGAGACATGATGAAATAGAATCAGATGTAATGGGTTTTATTAATTAATATTCAATAAATATAGATGAGTTAGAATTGTTTGATAATTTAGTAATTAAAACTGGATTTTAATTATTTTAAATAAAAGATGCAACATAACGTATATGTATTTAATGGAATTTATGTTTTGCATTATTGTAAATGACATTCTATTGTTTTCCAAATTATAATGGTTAATTATTATCAAAAGATAGATTATTAATATTATAAATATTAGTGCCAGCAATACTTTTAACATATGCAATTAAGACTATTTTTGTAGAATAAGAATATTTGAGTGTGAAAATAAATACAATTAAATAGAAATCACTAGATTTAGAGAATAATCATATTGTAGAATTATTATTAGAAACAATAATGGATGTATTTTTAATAACAGTTGTAAGATATATTTGTTATAACACTGATATTTAAATAGGAGTATACAATACAAAAGAAGAGATAGCATTATTTTTTAGTTTTATTTTAATAATACATCTCTTTAAATTAGCTTTATTATCAAAGGAAATTTATTTAGCATTATTTTTATCTTTAAGTACCTTATTATTGATATTATTACATATAACAATAGAGATGATAAATTTGGATTATGATATATTAAGATAGTTTTTAATATAACCTACTACTATAATGTCATTTTTGATATTATTGGCAATGAAATTAGTAGTTAATTTATTTGGACAATTTAGCATTTATTTGTATAATAGTTTTTTAGAAAGATCTTAATAAGATATTGATTTTAATTAAATTTTGGAAACAATTACAAAAGAATTGTAGAGTATGAAAAATATTTAATATTTAATAAAAAAAGTGTTCAAGGATTCAGAGATAGATTTATCAGTAAAATAAATATTAGGAGAAAATAAGAATCAATTAATTTAATTAAATAATTATACATTAAATTTTGAAGAACATATTTATAATTAAGAATTTATACAAATGTATATTTCAAAATGGAAATTTATAGGAATTATAACAAATCTAAGTTATTTTTTTGGTTTAGATATATTTTTATTAATACATTATGGATTAAGATTTGAGAAAATCAATACAGCATTATTTACTATAATGTTATTCTTAACTTTTTGTTAAGTGTTTCTTATTAATTAATCTTGTTATCCAAAATATAAAAAGTTAATAATATATTTTGGATTTGTGTAAACAATATTTAGATTATTCATAATAAGTGTTGATGTATATGATCATGATAAATAATTTTATGCATTTATCTTTTATTATTTAGTCATTTTTTCATTGACATAATAAATCAATTATAAATACATTTTTATAGTGATCTAATAAATAATGACATTAATATCTGGAATAGTTATGTTAAATGCAAATAAAATGTAAAATGCAGAAGATGTATATTTAGGTGAAATAATAGTATTATTTGTGGCTTTTAGTATTATTTCTCTATAATCTCGTTATCAAGATGATGTTACTCAAAGAGAGGATTATATTTGTGGTAAAGTATTAGAAATTGAAAGATCTAAGTATTAATCAGTAATGTCATTATTATTACCTCCATTTGTATTAGGTAGACTTGATTAAGGAAATCTTAATTTTTCAGAGAATTAAGGATTGGTTGGTATAATCTTTGTGGATATGTGTAGTTTTGATATGATAGTAAGTGAAGAGGCTTAAAATATAGTATAATTGATGGATAATATCTATCGATAATTTGATTAAATTTGTTCATCAACTAATTGTTAGAAAATAGAGACTGTTGGAAAGACTTATATGGCTTGTTCAGGATTATAATGTGTAGAGAAATTTTAGCCAAAAGGTCATTTAAAGAATCCTATAGAAAGATTAGTAGAATTAGCTTTTGGTATTCAATAAGAAATTACTAATTTTAAATGGGGACCCAATTAAAAGAGTTTTGGATTGAAAATTGGTATACATTATGGTAGAGTTCTAATGGGTGTGATTGGATCAATAAAACCATAATTTTCATTGATTGGTGATACTGTCAATACAACTAGTAGATTATGTGCTCATTGTCCAGAAGGTTTAATATAAATATCTCTTTAAGCATTTGATTAAATAAAAAATGTTAAATCAATTAAATTTACAACTAGTAAAATTGAAGCTAAAGGTAAAGGTATAATTGAAACTTATTTAATTGAAAAGAAAAGGAATTTTGAATAATCTTTTAATAATAAATAAAAAAAATCAGAAATGCCACATATTGATTAAAAATTGAAATTTGTATTGAATAATTAATAATAACAAAACTCTTTTAGAAATCCAAATTAAATTAGTATAGCAGCAATTAGATAAAAGACTACTAGACATTTAACTAATAAATTGAATTCTATGAAATAAGAGGATAATTAATAATTAAATCAACCATAATATAATTAATCATAATAATAACCAAATTAATAGGTTTTATCTACTTAATAATAAATAATTAATTAAAAAACACCTACTCTTAATTTTACAGCAAGTTAATTATAATTATTTAGAAAATAAACAAAGAGAAATTTAATGAGTAATTAAACAAATTTATCATCACTTAGTTAAATATAATCACCTCATATTTTATAACCAAATCTTAATGTTTTAGGTCCTAATAATAAATTAGTTCATTAAAAATCTATATTCAGTTAACAACAATAACAATAGAATTAATAAATGTCATAATAATTAGAAAAAATTGATAAATATTAATAATAATCATCAATACATCTTCCATAATAAGATCCTTCAAATTAGAATATTTTAGCTGGTATACCTGATATACCATTAGATCAATCTTTGAATGTAATGGATTCTTCAATGAAAGAATAGACTCCATTTAATTGTAGAAGAGATGATTAAAAGAAGTTTATTGATTCTGCAATTAGAGTGATCAAATTTAATGATATAGAATTATTCATAAAATAAAAACCAGAAGTTTTTAATAAAACTATCCCTTTATTTAAGATATAAGAGTTTTTTCTAGAAGGTAGAAGTACAACATTATAAGAGAATAATAATAATAATTGGCATTTGATTTCAAAAGAGTTTTTGTTTGAAGCATTTAAGAATAGTGAAAATGTCAGTAGATATTATGGTAAAGAATTAGAAAATGGTATTAGAAGTGTTTTTGTATCATTATTGCTTCTTTTAATGATACATATCCTATTTATAATACTTTCTTAATTATAATAAGTAAATACTTAATAGGCAGTAATAAGAGCATTAGGATGTTTTTTTATTTTAATAGAATTATATTTTTTAAAAGCTCATTTTTTTGAATGGAAAAGAGAAAGATTATTGAAAGTAATTATTATCTAATTAATATCTTAATGTATTATATTAGGAGTATTTTATGATTAAGATAAAGATAAATCAGTAATTTTATCAATTGAATCAATAATTACTAGTTGTTTATTATTTGCACATAAATGGTTATATGTTTAAGAAAAGATATTAATTTGTGCATTTATGTTAACTGCTTGGTTAATTATTATTAGTTCAGTATTTATAATAAATATTTGGGAAGTATTTTTTCTATTAATTTCAATTGCTTTATTATTATAAAGAGAACTATTAAGTTATTTGTTTTCTTATAAATAAATGCTTAATTAAGAATAAATAGAGATAAAGAAAGAAGATAAAATAAATCTCTTAAGTTGTTTATTACCTATTCATGTTTTAAGTTAATTTTTAGATGATTCTACAAGTGCAAGATTATTCTCTGATGTTTATAATGATTGTACAATCTTATTTGCAGATATTGCTGGATTTACTAAGTATTCATCAAGTGTATAACCAGAAGAAGTTGTTTCAATGCTTAAAAATTTATTTGATGAATTTGATACATTAACTTAAGTTAATAATGTATTCAAATTATATACAATTGGTGATTGTTATGTTGTAATAGGTGTAACAGATAATTTCAAAAGAGATCCAATTTAAGAAGCATTAAATGTAGTTGAAATGAGTCTCAATATGTTGGAAGCAATAACAAGAGTAAGAAATTAAATAAAGTATCAAGATCTTCATATGAGGATTGGAATACATACAGTATTTATAATTAATATAATAGGGTAATGTAATTGGTGGTATTATTGGTACAGATATCATTAGATATGATGTATATGGTAAGGACATTCTCATTGCAAATAAAATGGAAAGCAGTTCTGAAGAAGGTAGAGTATTAATATCAGAAACTACAAAGAAATTAATAGAAGAAAACTTTCCATAAGATTATATATTCAATGGACGAAAATTAATTAATATTCCATCAATTAATACAACTATTACTGGATTCTTTTTAGACACAGCAATTTGATTAAATAATATCTTACAAATTAATTAAATATTTATTTTTAGAGACATTAAATATATATATATTTATAATAATAATAATTAATATAAATCTCATATTTAAAGTATCATTCCTATAAATTCTTCTTAATTAATTTATCCATCTCCATTTTAATCTAATTATTTTGATAACTATTCATATTTTTTTATTGGTATAGACATATCTCTTAATAATCTTTTAAGTTCCTCTTTATTTAAATAACCACTATGATCACTGTCAATTTATTAAAAAATCATCATCAACTTTTCTTTGTTGAAATATTTCTTTTAATCTATTGTTGCTATTACAAATTCTGCTTTTCATAATTAAGTTATACCTTGGTAATCTATTTTACCACTACCATTTACATCGATCTTCTTAAATATATTATTGACTTCTTTTAATGCTCTATCATGTGGTAATGTTCTTGAATAAACACTTAATAATTCTTCTTTTGTCAATAAACCATCATTATTTAAATCAAATTTCATAAATTCATCCATTAACTTCTTCTTATCTTAATCAGACATTAAATTTTCTGCAATATAAATTAACATTGCCGTTGATAATTATGATGATATCTTTATATATATATATATAAAAATACTTTAAATTCTCTCATATGTCTTTATAATGTCTTGTTTGGATTCTTGAGAATTCGAGCTCTCCCAACAAATACATTATGATTCAATACTTATTAAGCAGATGGTCTCTATTATGGATTTGGATGTAACATTTTACTAATTAATTATTTAAGAGCAGGATTAATACTATTCCATTCTTAACCTTCAAAGTTTGGTACTCCCCTTAATATTGAATTTTTCAAAGATTATACGTTATTTGCTTAAAAAGGCATGTGAGATGTAAGGAAGAAATAGAGAAGACAACCACATGACCATATATCAGATTTCATTGATGTTTATCCTTTTAAAGATTCAGGTGATCTAAATGATAATTCATGCATTGTTGTTGTTGGTTTCCAATTTGTACATTAAGATTTCAAAGAATTAGAAATACCAAAATCCACTAATTTAATCTTTTCTAATGATTTATTTGTAAACATTATATGTTCTAAACGAATATCTCTATAAAATTGATATAATATATACCCATGAGTTATTTAATTCTCATGTAAGTACTATAATCCAGCCATGATTTAACAAAATATTTCAATCATTACAAATTATTACATTTAACTAAATACATCCAATTTCAATAACATATTTCCACCATCTAAATACTCACCTATCAAACTTATTTTTTTCTTATTACAATAATAAGAAAGTGTGCTTTAAACATTCAAATGTTTCTAAAGTTTTAAACACAGCCAATACCAACTAAAATAATATATTTATATTCTCTTGGAATTCTTAAAGTTATTATTCATTACGAATATTATCACAATTATAAGTCCTTACAATCCTTGAAATACTATTTTATTTAGAAACCCCTTTCATTATATAACTTCTTTAAGCTATAATTATAGTTTATAAAAACAATACTAGTCAAAGGATCTAACTTATGAAGAATATAATCTGTCTCTATATTTTCAGTCTCTTCAAAAACACAAGGAGAACTCACTGCTTATTAGACTGGTTAACGAGCACTTGATGTTCTAGAAGATTTAATAACGATTGACTTTTTCTAATCTTTTGGTGATACACAACCCATTAATTATTGTTATGTAATAAAAATTAATAAATCTAAATGATTTTTCAGTATTTTAGGCAAAAATCATTTATTTTCAATATAATTATCATCTTTAGATTAATCATATAATTTTAATATTCTTATTTTCTAATTGAATAGATAATATTTCTAATTATTATCTCTTAAGAAATTAATTATATTATTATTCTTATAATACAAAAATATAAAAAAATTGGATTACAATTAAAATGTTGCTATTATTATTATATTTTACACAAGAATTGATTCAATTTAAGATTTAAGATGTAAATTGAAAAAAATTGAGTTTAAATTGAATTTATAGATTTTATAAATGATTATTATAACATTAATATGAGTTCCGTTTAAAAAGAATTAGATAATTCAAATTGTAATGGAAGAGGATTGTATTTTGATTAAGCTTGCTAATGTGATTTAGGGTATTTTGGAATGGATTGTTCATAAAAATTAGAGGAACTTCATGTTGCCTCTTATTTCACATTTATAGGATTATTTTTAATTCTTTTTATATTGCTACTTGTTCTAACAATGAAACAACTTCAACTATCTTTAAAAACTAATAAAATTCCAACATATTAAAGGTACTTCAGAGATAATTATACTTTCTAGAGGATTAAGTTATCTAAAGAATTTTCTAGGTTCTCCATTAAATTGTATTTTGTGTTTAACAATTTTATTCAATGTTTTAAAAATCATATGGCTTACTTTAGATCCTATTAAACCATTTGTAATATTCATCATAAAGGTAGGATCGTGATAAAAGAGTTTATGAAAGAATCCTAGCAGAAGTAGTGTACACTATTCTATTTTATATATATGGCATATTATTGATGGTTTGGTATACAATGTATGATGAAATTTCATTTAATGTTTCAGAAAGAAACTAAAATTCAAAATCTCAATTATTATTATTTAGAAATGAATTAAAAATTGAAACAAGAAAATGGATATTCGTTTACTATAAAGATATAATGAAAATAAGACTTCTATTTGTTTTGTTAATACAATTAACAATTAGTACATTAAATGGTAACTTAAATATTTAATTAGGATTAAGATTAAGTCAGTAATATAAAACTATTCTTTACATAGCATATGCAATCTTACTTTTAAATTTCATGTAATATTGAAATTAATATAAAAAGTTCCTTTATATTTGAATTCTTTCTTTATGGAAGATTGTTAAATCAATGTATAGAATCACAATTAAGGAAATTAGACAAAGATAGTAAGGAAATGGAGAAGGTTATTGAAGAAAAATCTGTTCAAGAAAATTAATAGTAATAAGTAAGATATCTATAAATTTGAAAGATAGTATTCTCAAAGAGTTCATTAGGAATATAATAAGATGAATAACTTTAATCACCAGAAACTTAAGATTAATAAGTTTTAAGACTTAGTTCTTAGAGTGGTAGTGAAGATAACAATGAATAAATATCAACATTAAGAGCTATTGTGTCTATTGAAAAATTAAATCTATCTAATTTAAAAAAGTCTGTTTCTTTTAAAAAACAATAAAATTCAATTAATGAATTACAAGATTAATAGATTAAAATTAAAGTTGTTCAAAGTTCTTATGATTTAGAACCAAATAAAGATTTACAGAAAAACCAATTAAAAACAATAGTTAGTGAAGAATCATAGAGTTCTAAAGATGAGGGAGTATTTCATTAAAAAGTTAATTCTTGTTTATTGAATGAAGATGATGATAATAATTAAGAAAATGTGAAATGGGATATTGATAAAAATAGATAGAATATTAGAAAAATAAAGAATATGTAAATTAAGATTGTTGAGAAAACTAAATAGTAAGTATTAGAAACAAAAAAGTTTAAAAAAGCTACAATTAAGAATTGTAATAGAGAAGCTTTATTTGATATTTAATTAAATGATGATAGGAAAACTAAAGTATTATCTGCAGAGGATTATTAATCAGAAATATAAGCATAATAAAAATAAATAAGAACTGCCAATCTTAATGCAGATAAAAAAGTAATCATCAAAATATAAATTTTAATTTATGCAGGAGTATTCTTAGAAATTTGTTTTGGTTCATTATCTATTGTAATTTTATTAACAGATTTATTAAAAACACCTACAGGTAAACAATAATATAATTAATTTAGGAACTCTTTGTTATTTATATATTTCAGCAATGTTGTAATATTTATCTCTGATTACAGTATTGAAATTATTTAGAGATGTGAGAAGCCAAGAAGTTTTGAATCTAATTTGGATACAAAAAGTAGGTAATGGCAAAAATAAAATCAATCAAAAATATTTCTTTACAATTCCATAATAATAAAGTATAATAGATGATTCAAAGAAGAAATTTGAATAAAGAATTAATATGCATATTAGGTGAATTTAAATTAGTTTGTATATGTAAATAATATCAATACTAATACAAAAATTAGAATTATAAATATTTATATAAATTTAAATTATTTAATAATTAGATTCATAAGTTAGGCTTCTTGAGTTCCATCTTAGTTTCATTGAAGTTTACTTATTTTTAATTATTTTTGAATTATTATTATTATTATTATTATTATTATTATTATTATTATTATTATTCCTACTATTCCAAATATATTTGATATCTTTCAAGAGAATCTTATGTTAATTTAGTAGCCTTCTTAAAGCAAAAATCAAAGGTTTCAATAAATGTATCCATTTGACTTAAAGATATGATAAATTATAATACTCTTTAGTATGTTATGGTTACAAATTTACTCTTAAACGAGCCTATCCCATTTTTACAATAGGATATTCAATACCATTGCAATGAATTCCCTCATCTAACATTAATCTAGTTACAATTCTGCATGTTAATTCATCACCTATTAATAATGGTAGAATAGGAGAAGGATATCCTAAGATTTTGTAATTTCTAGAATTCAATTCTTTTTTCATATAATGATAATTTTCAAGCACTTGAGTTCTCAATCTAACACCTACTTCACTATTTAAAATTCTGAGTTATGCTAAAGCAGTAGCACATTAAACAGGATTAACTGAATTAGTGAACATATAAGCAGAAGAAAAGAATTTAAGATAATCAATTACTTCAAAAGAATTGCAGGCAACCCATCCAACATTTGTAGATAAACATTTAGATCCTCCAGACATCAAAAGAACATTAGAAAAATCCTTAAGTCCTTAAATTTCATAGACTCCCTTTCCTAAATAAATTCATATTTAATATTTGGTACCTGTTTTACCCATACATCCAAAATCATGTGCACAATCTATCAATAAGAATGCTTCATATTTTAAAGTTATCTTTTATAAAGCCACAAGATCAGTGTAATCACTATCCATACTAAACAAACCTTCTGTCACAACCAAAATACATGCTTCTGGATTCTCTAATCTAACTTCAGCTATCTTCTTCTCCATTGCTTCAAGACTCAAGTGAGTTACTCTAAACACATTCTTTGTTGCTGCATGAGCTCCTTCAGTTAAACAATTATGACATAATTCATCCATTATTACAAAATCATAAGGTCTAAGTACATTAATAATCAACAGTTACCTTATTAATCCTTTTACTACACCATAACCTGCCAACCAACCAGCACTATAAATTATTACCTCTTTCATATTCCAATAATCTTTTAACTCTTCCTTCAATTACATGTAATATTTTGATGCTCCAAAAGCTAATGGTGCTCCACAAGAATTTACAGAATATTCTTATGCTGCCGTTGCTGCTGCTTCCTATTCTATTTATTTTAATTTATACCTTTGCTTACTCATTAGTGCATAAACCCAAATAGTCTGCAGATGCAAAATTGATCCCATAAAATATATCTCCATAATCATCCATTCCTATTATGAACTTTTTTTAAATACCATAACATTCCTGGGCTGGTGCTGACATATTTCTTCTTTCATATAGTATAATCTTTTGTTTTCTGAATTGACCAATCAAATCTTGATAACCTTTCACTCTTTCAAACAAGTTCTAAATTATATTTAAAAATGCTGTTACCTTTCCTTCTACATTTCTGTACTCTAAATGATTTAATTTTAGGTTTGTTATTGTAACGTTTCTATTGAACTCCTCTACAGGATTGTTAGTTGGATATCTTTTCATTTTCCTTCAATTTTAAATATGTTTTTGAAAATTATGTTCCTAAATTGTTCTCAAATTTGAATGCCTCCTAGCGTTAATTTATTTTATAAATACTTAAATAATACGCATTATTATAGAAATGTTAGAATTTAAAAGACAATTTATCATTAACTAAGACAATATTAGAAGAAAATTAAAAGAGTTAAAAGACATAGAATATTAGATCAATAATTAAATCTTAATAAAATTATCTTATATATATATAAAATCAATTTAAATGAAAAGGATCATAAAATTCATCAACTACATCTATTGAGTCAAATTACATTTCATCATCATCAACTTCTTATTCTTAGGCAATAAAATTAAAATTTCCACTATAAAAGTCCTCCCATTTCTTATTTTATAATTATGGTTCCCTAAAATAGGAATCTGGAATCTCTCTTTTTTCCTCTTTTTCATCATCTCCTTAATCCCCTTTATCAGAATCCTAATTTTTTGAACCCTATTTATCCTTTGCTTTATTATTAGAGTCTGCACTTTTAGATGATTTCTTATTCTTCTTTTATGCTTCATTATTTTAATTATCTGTATCTTAAGATCCTTCTTAATTTTGATCATCATTTTAAGTATCATTATTTTCATTATTATCTCCATCTCCATCTCCATCTTCTTATTATTCTTATTCATTCGAATCTCTGGCCTCTTCATTTTATTCATCTTCTTATTTTTTATTCTCTAAATCTTCTTATAATTTCTTTCTCTTTTCTTCCTCCTCTTCTTTTTTTTTCTTTTTCTTCTCTTCTTCTTCTTATTTTTTCTTTTTCTTTTATTCTTCTTGTTTTTTTTTCTCTTCTTCTTTCTTTTTCTTCTCTTCTTCTGCTTTCTTCTTTTTTTCTTCTTCCTTCTTTTTTTTATTTTCTTCATTATTTTATTTTTTTTCTTCTTTTTTCTTTTTCTTCTCCTCTTTCTTTTTTTCTGCTTCATCTTATGTTTATTGATTCTCCTCTTATTATTCTTATTATGGTTCTTCTTCTTATTATTCCTATTAATCTCCTTCTCCTTCCTCTCCTTTATTAAACTTATCCAACCAATCAACTGTTTCTTAATATCTTTTCTATAATGATTCAATTTCTTTTTCTATCTCTTTTACCAAAGCTTCTAATTATTTAATTTGATTAGCCACTTACTATTATTTCTTATTATATTCTGTATTAGATTCACTTTCTTCTACTCCTCCTCTACCATTCAAAGCATTATTTTTATCTTATTCATTACTTTCTTCTTCATCTACATAAGCAGAATCATCAAGTGGTTTTGACCAATAAGAATTTTCATCAAACTCTTCTTCATATACCTTCCTCAATTATTAAGGACATGTATTTTATCTACTTTCTAAATGAAACCACCCATTTCTGGGACATCCTTAATAATCATAGGGTTATTATAAACATCCTGACATAAATCGATTATCATCTATGCACCAACCACAAGAAGGATCAGCTATACATGTCTTGTATAATATTTAATTAATACTGCACATGTATTATATTTATGACATTATCTCCCATTGCATTATTTATAACTATAAAAATTGCAACTGATTTTTTATGGTCCTTTTTCATCTCCTTCAACACATTTATCTTCCATTGAACACCATCCACAACTCTCATCTTATAAACAATCATAACAAGTAAAATATTTGCTGCATTTATCAGATAGTCTAGGAATCTTAGCTTTAAGTTATTTAATTTATTATTTGACTCCTGCTAATTCTTAAACTTTCTTATCTAATTGATCCATGATTATTATTAAAGAAATAGCTTCAGTTTAATAGATATGTTCTTAAACTCTATCATTGATTCTAGTCATCTTAGTATCAGTAACATATGCCATTTTATCTAGAATAGTCTTGATATCAGAAGATAATTCAGAGATGTTTTCAGCTCTCTCTTCAGTTGCACCTCTCAGTTCTTTGGCTAAAGCTTTATTTTATAATTTTAGTGACACCTTAATTCTATCTACTTCTTTTGATAATTCATCTCCCAATCCCATCCTGAATTGTAAATTAAATTATACGTGCCTGTCTACAAAAGTAGTTGCTCTTCTTTATGATGATGGACTGCCAATCCCAAATATATAATTACGCTTTCGATTAAAATAATAAACATATTTAACTATTAGAAAAACGAACAATTCTCATTTTGGATAATACTTCTCAAAATCTCTAAAATGTTTTTTTCTTTATTAATAATAATCTTTGTAATAATCTGTTTCTAAATCTCCTTCTATATCTCTATCCCCTTGATCTCTATATTTTTTATCCTCAATTTCTTCTTTATCAATCTTCTTTTTTTTCTCTTTTTCCACATGAATTTCACGTATATCAACCTTGTATTCTTTAGATGTCTCAAAAACATATTCCACATCTTCTTCTCCCTATTCAACTACTTCCTCTTAAACTTCCTCTTATAAACTTTCTGGCATTTATTCTTCCTCTGGTGTTGCTGTTTCTTCAGCAAAGATTTAAACAATTTCTAACTTTTCAATATATAAATATACTCTTCTTTGATTTTTTCTCCTTTTTCACTTAGACCTTATTACTGGCCCCTGACCCTTAAGAATTGGATGAATCCTATTATTCTTAATTTTCTTGAGGTGATTCTTCCCCCGCATCCTACTACTCTTGGTTTTCAGCAGGCTCAGATGGTTCAATACCTTTTTATTTCATATATTCATCCAACCATGCTTAGATATCATCTTTTCTCTCAGTAAGTTCTTCTACTAAACTCTTTAATTAAACTACTTTTTGCTGAAGAGTGTTTTTATAATTCAATTACTATTGTACATAAGTACAAGTTTTACCACTTCTTTATTTCTATTTTATTCACCCTTATATTCTGATTTATCATTATATTATTGTCTTTCTTTTTGGATCTTTGCTTTCATTGCAGAATCTACAGGTTTACATTCAGGAGGTTTAGTTTTAGGCCTCATCCAAAATTTATGATTAGGCACATCTTCTTCCATCTTTTCTTTTTATTTCTTAAATGGACAAGCAAAGTTTTCTCCTGCTATATGATACCAATGACCCTCAGGACAACCTTAGAAATTTCTTGGTTATTATAGACATACTTTAATGTCATCTTCTTCAACTTAACACCATCCACATTCAGAATCAGATAAGCATGTCTAATTATAATTTGATATTCTTACATTACATGTAGAATATTTCAAACATTATTTACCTTAGCAAAACTAATAATTATAATATTGACATTATTAAAATAATGGTCCATTTTCATCTCCAACAACACATTTATCATTTAATGGACACCATCCACAACCCTGATTACTCAAACATTCCTTGCATGTATAAAACTATGCACATTATTCTTCCTCATCTGGGATTTGATCCTACAATCTATACAATTATCCATAATATATTTTAAGTTATTAATTAGCTTTTCTGATTTAACTTTCGATTGCCTAAACATATAAAATATAAACTATACTATTATAGCAGTTTTTGCTGATGTATATCTACTGTCTTCTAAAGCAAAATTGATTTTTTAGAATTTACTATAGACTCTATAGGTCCAATGATCAATATTATCTGTCAAATCATAGATTAATTCTTCCATTTCTTCATTTTATTCAATTGCATCTCCATACAATGCATCCATCAATCTTTAATTTTGTACAATCATAAATTCATCTAAATTCCTTATTATAGACCAAGCATCCAATCTTAAATTCTCTTCTGTTTCTGCATCTCTAGGATTTCCACCTGATAATCCACCCAAACTTGGACCACCTCCTCCTCCTGCTTCAATTTCATCATCTCCCATATCATCTCCACCATCATCTCCTCCCTCATCTTCTGATAACTCTGGCATAGATCTTTATTTATGTACTACTAATCATTACCTCAATTATGCAAATCTCTTTTATTTCACTAATACTTAATGTTGTTTTCCATTCACAAATATCATTTGACCATCACCACTCTATCGTAATGTAGCATCATCAATAAAATTCAAGAATAAAATAAATAAAACGATTTTTAACATTTATAAATTAATTTCACAATTACTTATCAACCTCATACATTGTGCATTTATAATAGTCTAAAATCTGTTTCAAATTTTTGATCTAAATAAAACTACAATTATGGTATTAAAAATATCATATTCTTAACTATCATAGTTCTTCTCATAAGATATGGATAATAATATCGTACCATAATAAAACCAAGTATTCCACTAATTGATATGTAAATACCAATCAAAATCTAAATAGTCCTTTAAATTTTAATACTTAATGAGCAGTTATTAATTCTGAAGTCTTTAATTCTACAGCATTAAATACTTCAGATTATAAATATAAAATTGAATCTGATGCAATTAATCCAATTTCAACTTCCTCAAAAGCACCAAATTTATTTCTATATTAAATTTAAAAGCCTTTAGTATTTTCATATTCTGTCTTAATCTATCTGTATATTTCAGTAAGTGTATTAATCAATCCTAATTTCATCACTCCCTCATAAATTAAATTACAATGTTCTTAAGCCAGAGTTTAGTTGTACTAATCATGATAAATAATCATTTACATGAATTATAAAATTACATAAATTTGTTGATTAAACATTTTCGAATTTATCTACAAAATCATCATCTGTTAATGATAAATCACTAATAAATATTGTTATATTATTTACAAATCAAGAAACAAATAAAAAACTAGAAATTCATTTATTTTTTCAAGTTCTTTCTCTACTATAACATTTTATTCAATTCGTTTTTAATCAGTATAGAAATCAAAAAAAGGAGACTTACCTGAAATCATATAATTAATTTCTCGAATTTCATAAACTGCAGTTACTGCTGATCCTAATTTAGACAATTTAACTAAAAGATCTGTACTTTATTTGTATTTATCAAAAAATGTACCATTCATTGATTACAATACTATTTATGGAAGTAAATAAATTGTAAGAACTATAAAAAATATAGTGATTAATTTTAATCTAGGTAATTTATATTCATGATTAATTATTCTATTTAAATTAATTTTTAAATTATATGAAAATGCTTAAGCAGATATTTCTTTTTCCCAAACACTTACTTCAAAATTATAAATTTAATATGCATCATCATGATTTAATAAATGTATCATTTTTTATAATTTTTAAATTTCCTTCTATAATGCAAATGTATTTATATTAGTAAATAAACTAAATAATTCTGATAGTGTATATTGATTTTACAAAACAAGAGAAATTCCCAAAGTCACTATTAACAATTACAAAAATATCATTTTTAAAAAAAACTTTGTTTAATCACTTTCAAATGTTAAAATTCTAGAATCAACAAATGCTTATACTTCATCACTTAAATAATCAAAATAATCATCAACACCAACAATATTAGCCATATAATAAACAAAATCATTTGAAGGAATTACTGTAAGTACATTATAATAATCTATTATTGAAGTGAAATATTAAGCTTGCTAATAATAAATCAAAGCAGACTTTAATGATATATTTCTAGGAACCAAACTTAAATTCTCTAATTAATACATTAATATTTCTTAATCATAAAAAAATTCTTATAGATTTTAATTATCTAATTAAGTAGTAAATGAAATTTTCAAATGTTCATATGATTTATAAATAGAATCTAATCCAAATTACATTTTTGAAAAAGCAACTTCTTAACTAATCTCTTTAAATACAAAAGCCAAAAGCATATAATTTACAACACATACTTAAGCTGTTACACAATTGTGAATTGGAGCCATAAAATTACCTTTAAGGGTTAACATATCAATATCTGAATTTACTTTTTAATATTATGGTAAAAATTAAGTTAAATTTATTAACTAAAAAATAACATTTATTAATAATGCTAAGAGAAATAATAATAAAGCCATTGTAATTTATCTATTTCTAGTACTTTAAACTAAAAATAAGTTTAGTTTATTATATTTTTAATAAAATATTGAATTATCTAAAAACCCTCTTGAAAATTTTGATGAAGCTTAATCATTATTGAAATCATCTTTTTATTCTTTAACACTCAATTTTTAATTTTTTGTTTTCTCTTATATAGGTTCACTAATTACATTACTACCTTCTTTACTTTTTATTGTTTGGTTTTGTTTTATGTCACTTTATAATAACTCTTGATAGGGTTTATCTCTTCTTGCCAATGATAGAGGACTATTCAAATCATCTAAAAATAGCTGATTTGGAATTAAGACTACAGATTCTTCATTAAGTACTAAACTACATTTTTAACTTGGTTCTTGACTAAATACTTCTTGATTTAATAAATAATCCCAATTTTCATCCAAAATGATTAATTCTATTATACCTCTTCTTTCAATAAATTCTAAAGCTATTTCTGATGTTGAATCTTATGTCAAACGTCCCTTTATATACTTTTATCCAAGATGATGCTTATTAATAATTATTATTTTATTTAGTTCTAATAAATATAAAGATTTAGAAGTAAAATTAAGGTTTTTTTTGTTTATATACTTTAAAAATGATGTAGTATAACCAATAATTTATTGTTACTTATTGATGAATACAGAATTAGGTTATTCTTCATTTATTTTTATGAAAACATAAAAAGATAATTCTGGTTCATTAGAATTTTCAATATTTAATTAAAACATAGTATAAAAGTAAATATTATCTTAACCTCTAATTAGCATATCTGAGATCTTATTTAAATACTTACAAGTTCCACTTTCCAAAAAATGCTTTATTAATTCTTAATGAGTGTCATAAAAAGCATCTGGAAAGAGCATTTTGAATTGAAAAAACTATTCATCTTTTAATTTATATCCTAATCTCAAAAATAGACTTTAACTAAAATATTTAATTTAAGTATTTAGTAAATTATCTTCTAGCTTAAGATTGAGAAAATCCATATTTTCTAAAGGATTCTATTTCAATTCTTCATTATTCAATTAAAAGTATTTAAGAAGTTCAGCCTATATAATATTATTGAAAAATTCAACATAAAGCATAGTCAATAATTAATGAATACGATATGTTTTCTAGTTAGTTAATTCTTATCTTAAATCCTATTATATTTATAAAGCTTCTTAAAGGATATTGTAACATTTATTAAAAATACTATTAATTTTTGTAGGTTTTCCCTCTAAGAGTTGAGAATAGAGTGCTTCCTTTTCTTTGAAGATATTTAAAATTTAAGTTTAACTTTTTTGAATTTGAACTTTGTAATGAATAAAAGAATTTGAATTGAGTTTATCTAATTCAAAATTCTTAGTAATATTGTAATTTAGTAATTAATAAACTTCACTTTTTAAATTTATGAGTTTCAATTACTAAATAAATGAAATTGTTATCTAAACTCTAACGAATTATTTATTTACTTCAGAATAAAATTAGGACTATTTGAAATTATGTATCAATATCAAAGTTTCTGTGTATTAAAATTATGATAATTTTATAAGTATATATTTATAATACCAAAAAGCCTTTTAGTTTTTTTTAGATTTAATAATTTTATTGTTGAATAAGATTAATTCTGAATTAAATGGATCATTGGCATATGTTGTTATTTATTTGAGCATTAATGTTTCAAAATTTTCTTATTTAAAATTTTTAGATTTGTTTTCATTTAGTATAAGGAGATTATTAAATATCTAAGCAATAGTTCTATTCTTTGAGTAGACTATTTTAGTTGATTATCTTGAGTAATGAATAACTAAATTTAGAAATAAAGGACACAAGACAAATAGTAATGCAATCTAATATTCTTTTTTTGTCGTTTGAATAACAAAAAAGAATGATAAATTATTAAAAAAACCATATGTGAGTAATAATAATATTAAAGTATTAAGATAATTAATTTTCTTCTAACACTCTTCATAAATGTAAAATCCAATAATAAATAAATTAATAATATGGAAAAGTGAAGTTTATAAGTCTCCGTTTTCATGATTCAAATATAGACTTATTACTATAAGAATTATGTTAAAATATTATCCTATTGATAATATATTAAAATGAATCGGAGAACTTGGAAAGTGAATAGATTCTGAACACAAAAGGGTTAGTAGTATGAATAGTAATTTACAAAAAAGGAAAAAAAAAGAAAAAGCGAGCATTGGAATTGAATCTGGCAAATTTAATATTCCATCTTTAAGAGATAACATAAAAAGGTCTAATTCATATAGTGAAATAGTATACAAATGTACCTGAAAGATAATAGAGAGTATTTTTTCATTGTTGTTATGAATTCCTTTTAAATTTTACTTTTTTTGTTATGTATTCTTGCTTCTAACTTCCTCCATCCATTATAACAAAAAATCAACCATAATCAAAATAATTAGAAGTGAAGGTATTAAAAAGGCATATTATTTGAATCCCTTATATTTGATTAAATAATTATAGGGTCTCCATATTTGTCCATAATACTAAAATAAATTTAGTAAGTTTATTTATATCTGCTGATCGAAAGTATTTTCTTAAGTTTATTAAAGTAAGCAAATTAGTTGAGAGTAATAAACGATAAATAAGAGGGAAACAATAACTTCTGATTCAATTTTTACTTTGTGATGCTTATTTAAGAAATGGCTTAAAACATAGTGATAAAATTATATCATTAAATTAATTTAAATAATCTCCTTAGTAATGATAGAAATCAATAAAACAAAATACATTTCAACTAAATTTATAAGAATCCTGATAATTGATTTTATATTTTTTGAATAATATTCTGACAGTTGAGAAATAGGTTACTTATATTCTTAAATAAAGTAGAAAAAAAGATTTTTGATAAAACAATTAAAATTTATCATCTTATAAGGATTATGTAAAACATTCTTGAAAATTTATTATTATTATAAAAAAATATTTAATAGTCATTAATTTGATGACTGCAAAATTTCTGATTTTTTTAGGGTTAATTGTTATTGTTGCTTGGTAATTAGTGGTTAGATGTACTTGTTAGTAATTATTTTGGGAAGAAGAATGTTTATTAGGAGGATGCTTTTGGAAGAATGATATTTGTATTTAAGTTGGTTGTGAGAATAGGATTAGTGAATCAGAATGTAATTAAACCACAACAACAGATGATTGGAATCCAAATTGTAAATGGGTTGATGAAAAATGTGTAGACATTGATACTTATAATTGCGATGACACATGTGAAAATTCAACAATTTGTGAACTTGATGACACTGGCGCATGTGAAATTAAATATGTATTAGATAGAAAACATTGTACAGATTTTTCAACTAATAATTGCAATCAATAATTGAGTAATTATGAATTTTGTGAGAAACATGATCATGCATGTTCATCTGTTACATTTGAAACTAAATGTAATGAGATTCTAACAGAAAAAGCATGTAATGGTTTAGGATGTTATTGGGATAATAAAAATACTAAAACTAAATGTAATTCAAAGGAGTGTCTCTATTTTGATCAACCAAATTGTTCATGGACTATTAATGGAGAAAGAAAATTCACTTTTTGTAATTGGAATGAAACAAGAGCATTTTGTTAGGAAACAAATGATACAACTGCATTCACTAATATATCTAGATGTAGTTTGGATTCCAATTTTATCTATCATTTTGATAACAGCACAGGAAATTAAGAATGTTAAGCATGTGTTGATCCAGCCGAATTATATTCTCAATTATTTCAGATAATTTCAATAACAATAATAACTCTATATTGATTAAATTACAATAATTTATTTTTAAGATCTATAATGTTCTATTTATTATATTAATTTAATTTGACATTATATTATTATTATTATTGTTATTATTATTATTGTTATTATTGTTATTATTATTGTTATTATTATTATT